GTTAGATATTTTCAAGATATTGGAGTTATTGGAGTATAGAAGTCGTCATTTTCAAAATTTGAAGAGCCATCGAGCACAACAATATATCGTATCCAAAAATCATATTTATGCGAATATAATATTAAATTATATATTACAATCAAAGTAACTACGCCACTGGCTCACATTTTCAAGATGTCTGAACAGCGTTGCCATTCTCTCGGGAATCGTTCATGTCTGCGATCAGCCCGTCTTTTTCCCACTTGCATACAACAAAAAACGAATGTCTGATTCTGATTTTTTCCTTTTTATGAATGAAATGCTGGGTCTACTTTATTTAGATATCATTGAATAAACCCATCCCTGTTGTCCTCCCCACAGACCGCCATAGAAGCTTCGGTAACAAGTTTAACACATCGTTCAGCAGCTTGTGTATTAAACGGATATATAACAATTTCTATTGTATTGGGGTTTTCTATCATTGCTAATACCGTATGATCGAATAAAAACGGCGTCAACGATAGCTATGAAATGAAGATCGCTGTCATTTTATATGTAAAATTATATGGGAAATGTCATCGATAGTCATTTCCAAGCCAACTGGACGCCATTTTTTTTTCGATCATACGGTATATCCTTGTTTGAAATATTAGTTAATAGTGGAGCTTCCGTTACCTTGCAAGACTAACTATAATTTAATAGTAATTTTCTGGAATTCGCAATAATGTCACTGTTAATTTAAGTTCTGACAAATTATTTCCGTGTCTTTATACACAAAATGTATTATACAAAAAAAAATAAAATGTCAATCCAAATATGAAGAGGGTGCTGTATTTAAAATAGGCAAATTGGCAGGCAACCCGAGAGAGCCAAGGGGTGATTTTTTCCTAAAAGGCAGTACACCTGTAAATAATCTTAACTTGATACAAATTTTTATAGTTGGATATTTTTATAAACATAATAATAAACATATAATTGGATATTTGATTTTAAACTTGCGATATTTCCCGGTATACGAAACTAGTTGGAAAAATCATAATTTGTCATAATGCATGTTAACATTTTTTCGTTAACAGTTAAAAAACGATTTGGTATGTTAGTATCGTTGTTTTTTTTCCACTTTTAAGATTAAGATTATCAAATGAATAGAATATTATGTCCAAAATATAACGAAAATGTTTCCCTTCTCTAGGTGTGCCCAATCCAGGAGTATTTAAAAGAGCCGATAATAATCTAGATTCAGATAAAACTACATACACTCTTATTTGGGAAGTTGACAGTTATACCCCTATAATAGAATATTCCCTCTGGTTTCGACCGTACAGAACTGGAAGAGGTTTAAATCGACCCGATTGGACCAAACTGACTATTCCAACGGAACACAATTCCGGACCGGTATACTCCAAAAGCTTTACTTTAAAAGGTCTAAAAGAAAAGACAATATATGAAGTACTGTTGGTATCGAGGAATCGATATGGCTGGTCGAAACCCAGTCCCATATTGAGATTTGCATCGCCAGGAGCAAGTAAGTTTATACAATAGACAGGGTATTTTTTAAATAAGTGCAAATATGTTTGTGTGCAAATGTAATTTTCAAAGGTTGGTAGATAAAAAATATATTTTCCAACATTCAAATTCTCAAACATTTTCATTTTTCAAACAAGCCTAAAAGACTTTTAATTTTAAACTTTTTGAGAACCGCCGATTTTTAGAGTATCCGAGGTGTGTCTCACTGTTGGAATTACATGTACATTTTCTTGGCAGTAGTTGGCATCAGTCTTACGGTAGTCGACTATCGTTATATGACTCTTATCTGATAGTCAAGCAGCGTTAAAAGCGATCAATTCAGTATCAATCAATGCGAAATCGGTCAAAGAAAAAAGAAGCTGAATAAATTAGGCAAAGGAAACAAAGTCCTCCTGCTCTGGGTGCCTGCTCACCAAGGGATAGAAAGCAATGAAAAGGCAAATGATCTAGCTAGAAAAGAAGCGAACACTCCACTAACTGGACCAGAACCGTTCTGCTTACCAAGTGGTAACCAATTAACCAATTAGCGGAACTCAAGAACTTGGAAGACTCCATCCGCAACCTGGAATGGGAATCTTGCAACGGTCTAAAACACTTGAAGAAGTTTCTGAGGACTTACGACCAAGAAAAATCAAATATCTTCCTGGATTTAAGTAAGAACAATCTTCGGATTGTCACGGGGTTTTTAACAGGACACTCTCTCCTCAATGAACAGCTCAGTAAATTGAAACTAAGAAGAAACGGCGAATGAAGATTCTATGGGGAAAATGGGGAAACACCAGAACACCTCATCACTGAGTGCGCCGAGACGACGACCATTCGTGCCGTGAACTTTGGTACAACTGATATTGGAGATGGAGAACTACCCTCTGTAAAACCGTCCCAGATACTGGATTTTGTCAAAGCCCTGGGACTGTATGATGAGTTGTAACTCAAGAAAGGGGGACACAATAGATCTGTAACGTCGCAGTGATTAACCCCCCTCCCACTCATTCTAAATTCTAATTCTAAATCGTTATATGACAGACATAGGCAGTCTTGTTTGCCGTCATTGGCAGTCGCTTGGCAGTAAATCAATAATAATATGGCAAGCTCTCCGTATACTGACTAAAAAATTTGACTGAATCTTCATACTGACTAAGAAAATCTTAAAATAACGTGTAGCTCTAAAAACAGTTTTAAAATATAGAAAAAAATCTAAATGAATACACAATGCTTAGCGACAAAAATGTATAGACGTGTTTCTGGAGTCAATCCAGTTAAACAATTTGCACTTATTTTAGAAAAACACTGTATAAACTGACTAAAATATCTGACATACTATTTCAGCTTTAAACCAGGATATGATTACTACGGTTCAAATTGGTACTCAAGAAAACTCAATACCATTAGATTTCAGAATCTCGTCCGCTGGATCACAAAATATCCTCAATATTGGTAGTTTATTTATTGTAGTATGGTTCCTATTCAAAATAAAATAACATGTATATTTTTAATATTTATTTATTTATTACATTAATCAACAAATTAAATTAATTTCACTAATACTTCGATTTACTGAACATCGCAAAGAAAAGCTACTCCTCTCAAGCACCAGTGCTCTGGCGGTTTCACCGTTTGCAACCACAGGGTAGTTATAAAATTAAGACCTGTTCGTCTAGCTTTCTTGTACACTGGACACTACAACGAAATAATATTTACTTTTAACTGTGTGAATAAAAAAGTTCTGAAAGACTTAAATCATCGTTGATAACAGATTTAACAAAAAATAAATAAATTACTTGTATATATCCAGATAGTGATGGGTTGTTATTTAACTACCTGTTATTTTATAACAATTATTTAGAAATAACATAACGCCACCGTTACTTTTTCTAAAAAAAACAGATATAAAATAACGACACGTAGAGATCGACCGTTCGTGAAACGCAGTCGGCGCTCTGCACCGCCACGGAATTCGATGCTGCTCGAAGCACAATTCCAAAAAACAACTAGTATAGATGGAAAACATGTTATTTCGACAACCATCGATACAGGCGGCGAGATACAACGGACAACGGAGTGGGGAATGCGCTACGGCGCGGCGAACGTGGCTGCATCGGTCGATGGTCGTGTTCGGCTTGCAACAGCTTAAAAATAATAGGATATAAAAGAAGCAGCTTTTTTGAAAGAGTTGCGGGCATAACGCCTCGGTCGATTGTCGATGGAGGCTCGCAACGGGTTGAAGAATAACGTATAGAAAATAAGCAGTCATTTTAGATACATTGTTTCTTAACCTGTTACGAGCATAACAGGCGGCGGTCGAGATAATCGGAGTGGGAAAGGAACGCTGCTGCATCGGTCGATTGTTGATGGAGGTTCGAAACAGGTTGGAGAATAACGCATCAGTTGTTTTAGATACATTGTTTTTCAACCTGTTACGAGCATAACGGGCGGAGGTCGAGATATTATGGCGCTATATGTTTCAGTACTTAGTTATTTAGTTAAGTTTCAATATTTAGGTATTTATTTATTCTGAAAGATTTTCAGAATAAATACCTATAAGTAGAAATTCTCCTTTGGAAATTTAAGTGTAAAATTAATTCGAACTCTAGTGTGTAGTTAGTTTACTTATAAAGAATATACTACACATTTTTTTATATTGCTTTTTTTAACGCAAATGGTAAAATCATAACTAAGAGCTTCTCGCCCGTCGAGTGAGATGCACCCTGTACACTGCTATGCAATTCAGGCGGATCGAGGGGCAGGGCGTAGGTAGGGTAGATCGGAATATATAGGTATAGACGAGTGGCGGCATTTTGGCTTTTTTTATTTCGCAATTTGTAAACAGCGCTTATTTGTAAACAACCACCGTTTTTAGAGAGGTATTTTAGATAACAATCGATATTTAGAAATTTTTTGACACCCTGGAAATACTACCACCGAGCACGTCATTGTTGCAACTTGCAACTGCGTTAGTACGCCTGGCGGTGACCGCCTCATACTCTTTCAGATATTTAGCAATAAAATAAAGAAACCTGTTATTTTTAAGCTGTTATTTTAAGCTGCTTTTTATAAAAAACTATAACAGTTTCAACTGTTATCTAAAAATAACAATTTTGCCCATCACTATATCCAGATCAGTTTTCTTAAAACAACTAATAGCTCAAAAATAAATAAGCTGATAGTCATTTGTAAAACTTGGAAAATAAGTTCGTTATAGTAATACTTTAATTGTCCAGTATTATAATAAATATATGAGGTGTCAAGTTGCAAAACCCGCCTTATCCATTTTTTAAAAAAGATGACCTAATGACACATATTAATACTGGACCCTGAAATCTACATAAACATAATCCCAACCTGCAGTAAAAGTCGCCTATTCCTATATAAAAATCACAACAAATTACGTTACTGCAGCAAAATCCGTTTTATCCACTTATATTTGCTTCTTATCTCCATTATTGTTACAAACCCCGCATTTTTTCATAAGCTTTTTACACAAGTATAATATTACGTCTGACGTCTTTTCAAATCCTTACTTAATTTTAATAAAATAGTATATTTAATAAATCAAGTTAGGATGCAAATACAGAATACATACATACAGCCGCTACTCGCTGACGAGTATTCGACACACATAAAGAAGATGGTCACGCAAGGCGTTTTCTTTCATGAGCTTTTCTGTGACTGAAAAGCCCGATACGTGATGTTATCTGCCTACCGCACTCCGGACATTCAAAAATCTCATTGCTTTGTTGCCTCTTTACTTTTTGGTTGTCGCTGTTAACTGAGTTTACAACTCTTTTCCATTGAGTTCTATTGTGAGCTGCTACTTCCCACTCATTCTGCACATTAATTCCCTTTAAGTTTTCGTGGAAAATGTCCTTGTACCTTTTGAGTTGTCCACCCGGCCTCCTCTTACCGTCTACAAGCTCACCGTAAAGCAGAGATTTTGGTATGCGGTTTTCTTGCATTCTGCATACAGTACGTCTGCTGGATCTGTGTCTATGAAAGGAATGCGGACAAAAAACATTTAAATAAACAACAATATATTTTATGCTTTTAAGCTTGACGAGCACGTCACCGCAAATCGCTCCGCCCACTCATTTTATTGGCTACTTGCAAATTTCTCAAATTTTTATTGATGGGACGCGTCGTCTAATTTTTTACGAAAAACATGGAGAGAATATCGTTTCCCCTCTCACGGATACCCAGTAGCTACCGAACGGACAGACGTACTGTACGTGACCAGCCCATCTTAAGCGGGATTTTGTAACCATGACTTCAATAGCTTAAGGCCTAAAGACTCGAATGCCCAGGTATATGTGTTCAACATTTCTTGTAATTGTTGTACCGTGTTTGCAACTAGAGCGCAGTCGTCAGCGTATTGAAGTTCTGTGATGAATTTTGTACATGTTTTTGCCCTGAGTCTTTTTATGTTGAACAGACCGCCGTCGTATCTGTATCTAATGCCCAATCTTCTCTCCTGCAGTTTGCTGTCCACTATAATGGAGAGCGCTGCCATGAATATGTTGAATAGGAGAGGCGCTAAGACACATCCCTGCCTAACTCCTGTATTTGTTAGGAATGGGTCGCTCAGTGATCCATGATGTGACACTCTTGACTTGTTGTTGTTATGGAGGCTTTTACACACTGTAAGAAATTTGTTGGGTACTCCGAACTTTTTCATAATTGCCCAAAGCGCATCTCTGTTCACAGATTCGTAACGTAAAGTTTAGACTGCTGCTCTCTTACTTTTCCTTGTAGTTGACGGATGGAAAATATAGAATCGACGGTACCGCGGTTGGTACGAAAACCCGTTTGCGATTCTGGAAGGATTTTTTCTATATATGGGTCCAAGCGATTTGACATTATTTTGGCAGGAATTTTGCCGCCGATAGCCAATAGTGAAATTCCCCGGTAATTTCCGCAGTCTGATGCACTTCCTTTGTTCTTAAATATATTCACTATATTCGCGTTGCGAAAGTCCTGAGGTACCTCTCCGCTCTCCCATACGACATCGAAGAGAGCCTTAAGATGGCCAATAAGTTCTTTACTTGCACACTTATAGATTTCCGCCGGAATCGCGTCACAGCCAGCCGATTTGTTGTTCTTAAGCTGTCTTATGGAGGTCTCTATTTCCTGTTCTGTTATTGGGATGTCTAATATATCGAGGCTGTTATACTGAGGTATTGTGTTTAGTGCTTCCATATTGGGGTTGCTTTCTTGGTTAATTCTAAATACAGAATGCTCGAAAAAAAACGGCCTCCAGCTGGCTAGGAAATGACGATCGATGACATTTCCCATAAAAATTTACATATAAAATGACAGCGTGCTTCATTTCATAGCCAATATGCATCAAACTGCAACCAAACCCGCCTTATCCAAATTATTTTTGGGTTTGTTTTTTCTGTTTAAAAATTAAATATTAGTTTGTTTAAATAATATTTTTTTTATTTCTAGAAAAACAAGAGACAAAACAATGATTCCACTCAATGCAATGGACACGTTTTTTGTAAATTTGTAAAACAGTTTTTGCTTATTATCTCGAAACAATAGTTAACATGTTAACATAACAACTAAGCATATTTATGCTACTTTAACAATAAAATTTCACTTAAAAGTACTTCAAAATTCTTCTCTTCGTTCAATCTTAGTCCGCGGTTGTTGTTTTTTCTATACCGGGTGCATCTTGAAAGTGACTCACCCCTATAACTCTTTTATTTTTATAGATAAAAACGAAATTTGGTATGTTAGTATATGACATAAATTAGGATTGATTGACGTATTCAATTGTTTTTGGTCACTTCCTGTTTCAACGAAAAACTATTGATTTTTAAATGGCACCGTCGGTATATTTCTGGTTTATTCGATAGAAAATGACACTCTGAGTAGAATGACATATCATATGACAACTTTTGACATTTTTGCTAAAAAATCGTATTTTAAATTTCAATCTAGAGTGTCATGGTAGTGTTAAAAACACTAATTTTTAAACAAAGAGCCTTGGAAAAATATATTTGATCGTCTAATGTTTTTCGTGTCGTATTTTTAATCATATGCCAATTTTTTTAAATGGAACAAGTGGGTTATTTGCATATTTGGAAAAAGAATTTTTTAGGAAAAATTTTGTACCACACACTTGATATTTCGAGTCAAATTATGGTCATGAACCGTACGTTACAATTTCAAATAAACCATATGCGAAAAAGTTGACATATGATATGTCATTTTATTCAGATTGTCATTTTCTATCGCATAAAGTAGAAATATACCGAGGTTGACATTTAAAAATCAAAAGTTTTATTAATTTCCGGGAAAGAAGAAGTGATCAAAAACAATTGAATACGACAATTAATCCTAATTTATGTCGTATACTAATATACCAAATCTCGTTTTTTCATTTGAAAAAATAAACAAGTTATAGGAGTGAGCCAGTCTTGAGACGCACCCGGTATATAAATGATAAGTATAAGTGATCTTTGAAAACATTACTATTTAGGTGCAAGCAATTATTGCATTATTTCTCTATAAGAATTTAAGAAAAATTTCTTTTCTTTTTCACAATCAATTATTTCGTGCAGAATCAGTATTGGTATGATCAGATACAGTTTTGTCGACTTAAAAATGAGGATCAACCAGTGTTTGAGATTTGTGATGCATTCATTTGTCTTGCTTTAATGAAAAATTTCTATGATTCTGCTACCATTCACCATGTATTACTACATATTCAATCCAGAACAATCAAAATCACCAAAAGATTGATATTTTTCCCACTATACTGTTAATAAATTAATGAGGCAAACTTACAAGTATTTTTTGATAATAAGGATATCGGGATCCTATTTAGCTTCTTGCGAATGAATATTGTATTAAGTTATATGTCTCATATAATTTTAGGGCAGATCAGCCATTAACAAATAAAGCGTGCGGGTAGTAGACAACGTGCAATTTTGAGCGGTCAGTCTAAAACTGTCAATTTTGCTGGCTCTAGACCCAAAACAGTTCCCAAGTAGCATTTGGACGTTATCTAACGTCGGGTATACGTCGCGTTCAATAAATCCGACGTCGTGTACCAACGTCGGTTCGACCGCCTGACGACCCTTATTTGCACCTAAATGGGGAATACAGATTCGGGTCGCCTCGGCGTCGGTATCTGACCTAATAGGGTATGTAGTTCTACCAATTACCAACGTCATATTACGTTGGATTTTAGTCACTTAAAATTCGTCGCTAAGCACTTACGTTACGTTTGGTTTCATATTCGCTACCAAGAATACATAAAAACCTAACCAAACTACCTAATTACAAATGGATTCATAATCACTCCTCGAATATAACTATAAGTGCCTACCTAATTTCATATTATAATAATTCTGAATCATTAATCCAAACATCAGTTTTGTCAACGGAAGTCACTTTTTTGATATACCTGATTAAAATACTCCGGAAAACAACGAGCGCCTTCAAAATTAGGTAGATTTATGAAATAAAAACATCTATAAAAAAGTAACTCGCAAAATATTTTTTTTTTATTTTCTAGCTGGTTTAATCATAAAACTGTACTGTAGTTCCCCCCAAACTCAACTTTATCAATATTATTTTACTATAAATCGGAATGTGAATATAAAAATGGCTGACAATCGGATACTTGTTAAGAATGGCGGATTTCTGTGTCCGACTTAATATGAACTACCAATATACCTATTCCGACCGGGTCTCCAACATTAGTCGTCTCACACGACCGAAGTCATCAAACCGGACAACCGGCAATCGTATTATGACGTATATAATTCCAACGTACGCCACGTAACCTCACTTTGCGTATCAGTGATTTGTGGATTTGTGCAACTATATTTTATTTTTTGTTTTCTCCTTAAAAAAATGGGTAGCCACTTTTTTAAGATAGTATATATACAAAATTTAAAAGAATTGGAACCAGTACCTCACATGAGGGAGGAGGATGGGGTCTGCTGGTTTCCTAAGCTAAAAATAAAATTAAGATGCACCAGTGTAATGCAGCATCTCTTCCGGATAAAAAGCATTCGTGGGTGGAGGCTCTTGCCATCACTACTACTATTATTATTTTGTAAAAGCCTCGACCTCTTTCTGTAAAATGTAGATGAATGTCTAAATGCCTTGATGTTCATTAGGCCGCAAATGCTACTTAATGTGTTGTATTTACTACGTACGTAAATTAGGTTATAAATATGAACATAAAATATAACAAAATATAATTGGACATTACTTTAGAGATTATCAGTGAGACGTATCCTATTCGGACAACGGGTAGACGTCGGGCTAGTTCAAGTATATGTACGTCGTGCAAGTCAACGTGGGAAGGACGTTGGGAAATTAATAAAAATGGTACGTTGTTATTTTGTACGTCGACAGATCGTTGGATTTACCGACTTGGATCCAACGACGTCGCTTTTAATAGGAAAGCGCCGTCACCGGTCGTATCACCAGCACACGACCTAAATTTGCACAAAGTCTGACGTCGCTTCAGGTCAGATTTAGTTCGAAGTCATATAGATGCTACTTGGGTTTGTTTAGAGAAATTTTATAAAAACAAGAATTATATAAAGAAAGGTTATTTACAAAAAGTTGATAGCTTTCCAGTTATAAGTATCACGAACAATTTTTTTTAAATATTTTAGTTGCTGGCGTGGTGCCCCTCACATGCGGCGCCCCGGGCGGTCGCTCGAGTCGCCCGGCCCCTCCGCCGGCCCTGCCTATCGATGAATTATTATGCTTTACCTATCGATGAAAAGATGCATGAAAATGTACTTCCTAGCACACAACCAGAGTATATTCATTGATTACACTTGATTACACATCAAGATTGGTACAGTATCGAGTTTAATATAGTGATTTTCTTAGCCGTGTATGGCACATATCGTTAAGCTTATTTTTCATCGGGGTAGATGATCACGAGATAGCGGAGTTAAATTGTTTTATAAAGGGGTAGATCTACCCCGAATGGGGTGGCTGTGGCAACACTGCCGTTACCACTTTTCCTCTCTGTAGCTCCTGCATCACGGCCTTCTCATGGCCGTCATTCAAGACCGTGTGTCATTTTTACTTCTATCGCGCGTAAAGAAGTTTCACTTCAAGAATAACTTTTATTTTGTAGATTTTCTTCACAATAAAATCCGCCACAAATGTATAGACAAGAGTTATAAGACAAATATTTTACCGTATACAATGTTGCTGGTTTCGGATCAGTCGAATAAATCGCAAATATATGAACGACGGGTATCATCGTGTAAAGAACTTTGTTCGTCGATTCTGTCAATCTAACGTGCCTTCGATCCCAACCGGCTCCGTCTAGATATAGTCCGTAAACCAATACACCTTCCTAAAAATATTAACAAGATCGATTTTAAGACACCAGAACATAGTACAAAATTTCACAAAATACCGGTGGTGCACTAAATATCTCTTCTTTCATATTTTTGGTAACCTCGTTATGGAGACTGACTTGATCTAGAGCCCAGCCTTTATGAGCTCTCGCTACTTCTTGCTTCATGGCGGTTAAGAAGCCCTGAGGGTTGAAAAAACCGGCCATCCAAAACCATGGCGGTCTTCCTATAAATACAAAAGATAGAATAAAAATGGGATTTCTTCTCTATTTTCGTTTTTTTTCAAGATACACAACTACCAAAAGTTTAGAAGATATTTGTTTATATTTTAAATCTGTATTATATGAAAAAGATGGTTTATGGTGAACCGTATTTTATTCATTTGGATACTTTTAATTTAAAAAATAACAAAAAAATATAATTTTAAATCCTATTACCTATATACGGTTCATATCAAATAAACTTTTAGTTACGTCATCGAGGGCGCGATTTTTAAATTAATTGTTGCCAAACATGGACATATTCGGTGCTGTGCTGACTAAGGCTGCGGGCACGCTTGCGAGCGATTTATCGCGAGCGATATATCGTGGACGACTAAACGACAAACAAATATTTCAAACACATTAAATTTCATTGCAGTGGCCATACCAAAAAAGTCGTCCAGCGATAAATCGCTTAGCGGCTAAGCGTGTCGCTCATAAATAGCTGGAACATGCGGTCAGACACTGTCTTGTTATTGTTGTGTTATTGTTTTAGGTTATAACGAGTGCGACACGAGCGATAGATAGGTTGTCTCTGTCGTAACGGTCGTTCCCTGACGACTCTGCCGAGAAACACAACACTGTCTTTTGTTTCTCAAGTACACCTGAACTCTCCGTATCATAGCCGGGTAATTTTTTGTTTTAATGAAGCTATAATTAAATTAAAAATATATCGTATTTAAACTTTTTTATATTTTATTAAGATTTAGGAGAGGTTTTAAATAAAAGTTTAGAAAAAGTCGTCTTAGAGTCCAAAAGGATAAAAATAATAAAATACACGTTATAGAAGAAATTTTATAATCGAAATTACGTAATTTTTGAAATTAATAATAAATTATTAATTTTAGTCAAACATTTACAACCCCTAATACACAGATATAATAGAATCGGCGACAGGAGAGAAAAAAAAAATATGATTGTTGTAATTTTTTTTCTGGTTAAGTGATGTCTTATGTAAATTAGAGAAAACATAAATCTGTTCCATTAAAGCAAGGAAGGTGGTAGGAAGTGGATAAAATGAAAACTACATTTATTTAACTCGGTACTGTCTTTATTATACCGGGTGCGTCCCAAAAGTGGCTCAGCCCCATAATTTTTTTATATTTTCAAATAAGAAAATAAGATTTAGTATGTTAGTACATGACAAATTAGGATTGATTGACGCATTCAATTGTTTTTGGTCACTTCCTGTTTCACCGGAAATGACTATAACTTTTAATTTTTAAACGGCACCCTTGGTATATTTCTACTTTATTCGATAGAAAATGACACTCTGAATAGAATGACACATCATATGTCAACTTTTGACATTCTCGCATATGGTTTAATTGTAATTGTAACACGCGGTTCATAACAACAATTTGACTCGAAATACCAAGTGTGTGGTATCAATATATTCATAAAAAAATGCTTTTTCCAAATATGCTAATGAGTCACCCTTACAAATCTGTTATTTTTATCTGAAAAAATACAAAAGTTATAGGGGTGAGCCACTTTTGAGATGACCCGGTATATTAAAAAATATTGTTTCATAATGTAATATCATTTTAAAATTCTTGTATGTTATTTTAGATTCTGAAGATAATTTTAGAATAAACCGGAATATATTTTTAATAAAAACATTATTAATTATTAACAGGGTTATAATTATGATTTTGTTACAATGTAAGTAAGTAAATAATGTAATGTAAGAGAAAAAATTCAGATTTTACATTTTACTAAAATATTATCTAAATAAGCGCCTTTCTACAACAACGCCACTGACTCCCAATGGGTAAATTGAGAGTTGCCTACCGGTCAAAAGTCGTTTCAAGACTTAAATGGATTATTTAAGTCAAATTTCTTGCAAATTTGGCACTGGCGAACCATATTTTATAGTTCTTGAACAGAAAAAGTCAATAAAATAAACACTTAAGCACTACAAGCTAAGAAAATGCGTTAATACAGCCGGGGAGATAGCGGCAACAAAGCTTTACCGCACACGTGCGACACGTACTACAAGGTAATAAATGAATGAATAGGCTCCCTCGCCTCTAATCGGTGTTGTCATATTGTAAAGAACTTATCCTTTTTAAACAGTATCCGACTTATAATTTAGTAGTATAAGGACTATTTAATACATCTCTGGAATATTAAAACCTACTTTATTAAACTGTAGTATTAATATCTCAATATATGTGTATAACAAGAAAAAAAATATTGATAATATTAAAGACGTGACAACATAGGCTGGATGAGGAAGGCTCGGTCGACTGTACCCAGAAGTAAACATGTGTACAAAAAATATTGTCTGTCCGCGTTGAGATGTAAATAGTGTAGTCTATATTTTATTTTAAGTCTATGTTGCGAACATAGTAAAGCGATCTGCTCGAGCGGTTAGATCGAGCGGCGATATCGATTCAAATAATTTTGTTTTCGTCGCTCTGTCGCGCTGTAGAAAATGATAGATTCTCAAAAATTAATAGATTTAGTATTTGTAAGAGAGATTTTATGGGATCAGAATGGTAGTAATCACCATAACCGGTACATTTTAGATAAGTTATGAGATGAAGTGGCAACAAAGTGGCTTTACTTTCGTAAAGGTTGTTTTATTTTTTTTGAAAACTTCATCTAACCTAATGTTTGCGATACTACTGCCCAGAATTTTAGCCACTGTTAACATTTTAAATTATCAATAAGCAAATGAAAATAATAAAATTTCACAAGTATCTCGATATTCCTCGCCGCTCTACTATGTTTTAACACCTGGGTACCTATTCTTCAGTTTCAGGGAGTAGAACTCCCGAGAGAAGTGGGCGTGGTAATCATAAAACTGGTAGTTTCCGTATTCTTGAAAAATATTGTGGGAGGGAGTAAGAAACTGGGGAGTTGCTAGGGAGTTAAAAGTTCTCCTACTACAAAGCGAGGGAGAGAGCAAACCTAACCCAACTTACCGTATTTATTTACGATGTTTTTTGTTTACTTGGCTGTTACAGACTTAATATTTATAGACAAAAATGTTTCTTTAAATGTGTGTAAAAAATGTTTTATACAGGGTGGATCGAAATTTAAACATGTTATTTTTAAAATTAGTAAATGTGCATTTGTTTGAGAACCAAAATTAAGGTATAAAAAGAGAACATTTATCTTCTCTTAATAAAAAATCAATTAAGTTTTATTATGTATAAATTACGGTTACAGTGGAATATATGGCTTTGAATATGGATAAAAACTCCAAAAAGTATATATATTTTTTGAACAATTTTAAATTTAGATATTAGTCGTTTTTGTTTGCACCTGCTGTATTAATGTCCTTAATTTGAAAATAATACGTATCTGAATAAAGTTTCTGTATTGACTAAAGTGCAAGACAAGCAAAAAAGCCCTTTTGTTGATCTTACGGGAGGCGCAAAGACTTGGGACACAAACAAATCAACCTACATTTACAATCGTTCGAAATTTTACGTTTTAAAGTATATCTCTAGACGCGATGTACGCAAGCCGAAGTCGCTGACCATAGAATAAGTAAGCCGCTGTCCGTCAAGATTTGATGTAATTCTATTGGTTGTACAAACCGGCAACGCTGTTCTCCGATTCTACTTCCTCCCTTAAGGTGTACGCGCACTGAATCGGTACCAGTCCGGCGAGAAACGGCGAAGGCGGTGACTCGACTATCGTAGATAGGTAGAGGTAGGAATCTGGCCTCTACAGGCCGAAATGTTTTAGTGGACACCGGCGCCGTCTATATGTACGACGGTCGCAGTCGCTTTTGCCGGTCGCACAGTGCTTCGAACATATGGCTCTAGAGGACAAAAATGCAAAACTTCTCTTTTATTGTAGGCAATTTATTCAAACTAGGTTTATTTGACACAAATGATGAGTACTTTCATTGTACTAAATGATGATGTCCTTAGTCCCACGTTTATGAAAAAACATCTTATAAATAATAAAAATGTGGGAGCTGTGTTCCATCTAAGGAAATAATAATTTATAGTATGAAAACGGTGTAAGTATTAAATAAATCCCTATGATAAAAAAGAATTGGAATAACATTAGAACATGATTCCTACAATATAAGCCAATATAAAATAAAAATGTTTTTCTTTAATGAAAAAGAAACATTAATGCTATATTTAATTAAAAAAAAACTTAAGATACTATAAATTTACTTTAGAACAACAAAATGCATAGATCGTAACTACTCTGATCTGAAGAATCACTGCTGACAGAATCTTCCAAATTTATAGTATCCAAATCACAGGTAGATGAAATATCCTCACATATAAGATATTTCTGTACATCATTTTCTAATATGTTACATTTTCGCGTTGTTACTGTTCTTTTTGTTGGTATGAGGGGTTCGGATGTGAATAGTTACCTCTTTAATAGACCATATCAATATATTATTTCTTCGTTTTCTTGGGTATGAGGTTTTATAATAAATTGAAAGATGGAAACTTTTTTATGCGACGTTTCGCTCCAAAATAGTGGTCTTTTTCAGGCACAAATGGTCTCATTTGACTGGAATATTCATCAATATCTAATAAAGAACACATTTTTTGAAATACAAATAATTTTGAGTTCTTGTCCTTATGATCAAGCCAAGTATTAACCAGATCGGCATTGCTTATCAATTTTACTCCATCTGAAAAGTATTATAAAATAAAGTTCGTCGCAAGCAGACGCAGGTGAACTATACAAAAATTAAAAGTGTATGAATATGACAATAAAAATATTCAATAAATACGATATGTTTTGATATGTTTTTTTTAAATGCCTTTTTAAAGTTTGAAAACGTAAAATTTTTATGCCCATTTAAGAATCGTTTTAAAAAATAAATAAAAACTAAACAATCACGAACTTGTTTAGAAATAAATTTAAAGTACATACCTTGATTAACAATATCCATAGTGGCTTTCAATTAAGTACGTACCGTTTAACTCCATATACAGAACTACTATGAATGTTATTCTTTTCATTGATATAAGATACTGATCGCATAATTTATTTTTAGTGAAAATATTTGCTAACAAAAAAACGCTGTTTATGAAAAATAATATACAGGATGGTTGAACATTGCTATAAGTATAAAATTACATATTCAGATATTAGTAAATTTTAACTTTTTTTTCGATTTTTGTCCATGGGACGAAGCACTGTGGGTCGGTCCGATCCGATGCAGTGCGCGCGGAGCTTTATACTCCTCGGTACGTCCGGTACTTCAAGAATACGACATTTCGTTTTCAGGGAGGTCGAGTGAGGGAGCATTCCCCGGGAGCTCCCAGGGACCACTCCCTTCTCTCGCTTTCAAGAATAGGTACCCTGGAGGCTTGCTCGACGCGGTATCCCGCTGCTTGCTCGCCGCTATCTTCGTCGCTCCACTATGTTCCTAGCCTAAGTTAAATCTAAATTTCCGCTGGGGATTCAACTCTGCTGTAAAAAATGTCAAGTCCGCATTTATTTATTTATTTCTTGACATTGTCATTCATTCTGATATTTGGTTTTTTATTATGAGTATTTATAGTTTAAATAAATAATGTTGTGATAATTTAAGCTTAAAAATTTTTACTAGCAGACCTTGCAGTCGAACATTGTTCTTTTTAGAACCTCTTTTAGTACGAAGTGTGCAAGATATCTTAATAGCCGTAAAAAACTCGTCGTAACTTTATTAGAATATTGTGAACGGGAAAGCGGTAGTAATGGCACTTTATGTCCCTTAATTGCTGCTAAGAAGGTGAGTTTTGTTAATGTAAATAATAACTGTTTATATATTTATAATTAATTTATTTTTGTTTCCTAAAATATTTTGATTAAAAGAAAATATATAAAAGTGGGCAACGCTGTGCCGGTCAGGCTTAGTCACGTGACTAAAAATTTATTTGGTATGAACCTCATTGATTAATAACTGTCAAAGAATGACATTAAAAAAAATAAAGCTTCATTCAGAGCTTCGAAATTAGTGGTTTAGTTTAGCATATAGAAGAAACTTTTAAATTTTGCCATTAATTATACTACAAAATTTTCGAGTAATATCATTTTGGCCTTTGGTTTTAATTCGTCAAGAGAAATTGTTGTTAGACATGAAAAATTTATTGTTTTATAAATAAATTTATAAGTTAAAAGTTGGTTAACTTTTCCTACTAATTGAAAATTACAACCACTAATTTTGACGGTCTAAATGCTAATTGAAACCACTAATTTATTCCACTAATTTCGAGGTTCTGAATGAAACTTAAGTATTTATATTGTATGATTAAACAAAAAAAATGGCGTCAAAGATGGCTGGGGAATGAGAATCGCTGATAATTTTGGCGAGGTCAGTACTGTAGACGTCATTTAGTAAAAATTGACACATACAACTTGTTAAAAATTAACACTAATTATAAAAAAGATTAAAAAAGACAGAACGTTTGCAGACACACAAATCTATTTCAAAAAAATTATTTTTCTCAAATTTTAAATTAGGTACACCATTTAAAAATAATTTTTACTCAATATAAAAAAATTACAAACTTCTTAAGGTCAACAGGCGGTAAACGTCATTAAAAAAAATAAAGAAGAGTACGGGTTGAGCAAATGACGTCTAGCTCATTCCCCAGCCGCCTTTCACGCCGTTTTTTTGGTAATTATTGGAAAAACTGGACATCGTCCGATATGCACAAAAATTGGTATACACCCTATTTTGAGGTCGTAGATTACGAATCTGAACTTTATTCTGGCGGTCTCTTACCGTTTTTCAGAAAAACGAAAAATTGTTTCAACATTGATTTTTTTTTGAATTTCTCATATTTTTAAGGTTTTCTAGTACATATTTTGTTAGATATTCAATAAACAATTAGGTGTTTGCTATTTTCTGTTACTTTTTTAACCAATTCAATGCATAATAGAGGAACATTTGCTAAAATAAATTTGTAAACAATCTGAAAATGTTGGGTTATGTGCTTCTGACATTTAAAGCAACGTTGCCAATACTAAACCTAATATTACGAAAGGCGGTCGCCAGAGAAACGGCTCCTACCCATAACTGCTATTTTACCAACGAGATCTGACTATTTATAACCACAAAGTTTCACGAAAGAGTTTTGATTGCATTGTTTTCAACTTCTTGCTTTAGTATTTTTTTTGAAATTGAATGTGAAAATGAAAATTTGAACGTTTGTTATAATATAACAAAAAAAGATTAACCTCCTCCGCAAAGAAGTTGAAACCAATGCAATCAAAACTCTTTTGTGCAACTTTGTGGTTAATCTATACTAATATATAAAATCCATAAGTGACTGACTCGCTAATTAATCACGATCCTGCTCAAACCACTCCACGTAAGAAGCTCAATTTTGGCATAGAGGTTGATTCTAGAGTGTAGAGGTTCGATAAGAAGGGATTTTTCGAAATTCCAGTTTCAAGGGGGTGAAACCACCCTTCAAATATTATAATATTTTTTATTTAAAAAACGGTCAAGTTTCAGAAAAAAGCGCTTAAACACGTATATTTTATTTTGTTTTTTACATATTTTAAGATTTTTTTAAAAATGTATACAGGATGTTTCGAAAAATCTGGTCATTGATTAATCACGATCCTGCTTAAAGCGCTTCACGTAAAATGCTGATTTTTGGAAAACGGATTGACTTGGAAGGGTGTTGGTGACTGTATGGGTGTAGTATGTAAGGGTGACTTTGTAAGGGTGTAGAGGTTCGATAAGAAGGGATTTTTCGAAACTCGAATTCTAAGGGTGTGAAACCATCCCTCAAATATTAAAATATTTTTTATTTAAAAACCGGTGAGTTCTTCGGAAAGTTCAGTTTGCATGTTAATGGAAATTCTTGCTTTATCACCATTACAAATGATTAATTCGACGCGAACGAAGTCGCGGGTACACGCTAGTATATTATGACAAAAAAGATTAACCTCCTCTGCAAAGAAGTTAAAACCATTGCAATCAAAACTCTTTCGTACAACTTTGTGGTTACATATTTAACTAATTTATTTAAAATCCCGAAAAAAAATACCAGATATGGCAACGTTGCAAATTTTCAAATTTCTAGATTAGGTCTAGAATATATTTGTCTCTCTCATTACATAGAAGAGAAAGAAAGGTATATGAAATGTCAAACTTCCATCTGATCTCAATTTTCTATGTTATTTTGTTAAGAAAAGTGTCCAAAAACATTTTGGACATTTTTCTATCCTCAATCAAGTGTGGCTTTTAGATAAACTATAATATGAAAATATAGTGAAATTATTATTTTATAGGGCTGAAATAAAGAAAAATTCAATGTTGAAATTATTTTCCGTTTTTTTCTGATAAACGGTAAGAGACCGCCAGGAAAAAAGTTCAGATTCGTAATCTATGACCTCAAAATAGGGGTCAAAAATGGCTGGACCTCAATCGGACGATTTCCAGTTTTTTCAATAATTACCGTTTTTTTTTCTATCGTATTATATTATGAGGTGGTTTTTGATGAGGTGCCCGTGGCGTAGAGGTACAACTCTCGTCTACCAATCTGAAGGTTGTGGATTCGAATCATATACAGCCAGCATTTCTTCAGCCGACTATTTTTATTAAAATAAAAGTAGTTTAGGTACCTAGATCGACTCAGCCTTAAATTAGTACTTGAGATTCACAATCCTGAGGTAATAATAGGCGGTTGAAGCGTAGTGCTAGCCACATTACCTTCCTTGTATACCGAACGGCTCTAGTATGGCAAGCTGTACCTTGCTACTCCCAAGGCATTAAACGCTATATACGGGAGCTATTATTATTATTATATTATGAAATATATCATTTGAGTTATAGTAAATTCTAACCACTGAAACACCAAGACCTAAACTGAGCATCACGTTCTATTAGCTCAGTAAACCAGAATCCTAAAGTGTTAGATTCCCACGATCCTCTTAGCCAAATAAATGGAACTTTAGCATCATAAATACTATCCAAAGCTTCTCCAAGGGCCTATAAACGGTAAAATGTATTATTTTTCCGCTTTTGCAAATAGAAATTAAGTTTTACCTCACTCATAATGATAGTACCTTCAATTGCCAACAACAAATCTGTTAAAGTAGCGCGTACCAAACTAATAACTTTTTGCATTCTGTCTATTTCTTGTCTCAAAAAGATATTTAGTGGATTCAGATGATTCATAATTCTTAACCTAGAATACCATTTATTATTTTTTATGACATAGAATTAAGACAAAATCATCTCAAATTTAAAAAAAATATATATCACCAAAAACACCTCGGAATATATAAGTGTACTTTACGGTTATATGCAATATTTTATACTAGAGAGCATCACGAACATATCAAATCTGCTTATTATGCTACAAATGAACCTTAACAACCAAATCACTCTTGAAATTAAGTAAGCTACACTGAGATGCAAAAAAAACGCAACGGAGAAAATTTTGGTCAAATTTGAAGTGTTATATTTTTGTTATTTTTAGCCCTATTTTCATAATTTTTTTAGCAAACTGTGTATAACTATATCAACTATATTCGTAAACTAAGTTTTTTTATAAACTTTAGTATTTCGCATATTATAAAGGGTTAATCGAGGGGTTGTTTTTTTACCTTAACTTTAAAACACCCTGTGCAATAATTTTGTGTGCAAATTTTCCGAAAATATAATTTTACGGTCAGAACCATGTCTTCTGAGCATTTTGTTTTTTGGATCATGTCAATATATGCCTTGGTTAATTTTTAAGAGCGAAATGAACTTGACAACAACAATTTGCAATTTTTGACCCAAGAAAATAAATTAGGGGATTTATACACGCTCTTGAATAATATTAACGAAAATGTTTGCAATAAGATTGATAACATCAAGACAGACCTAGATAATCTCAGCTCTAAAGTTGATAAGCAGCTTTTTTTCCTTCAAAGTAAAATTGAAGTATTAGAAACAGAAAATAAGGAATTAAAACATCAAGTATATCTTACACAAAAACTTTTAAAGAAAAACAATTTGATAATATATGGAATGCCAGAGAGAAATAGTGAACATCTTGTGGAATCCGTAATAGATCTTGTAAATTTGAAGATAGAAGATTTATCGGAGTGTTTCAGACTTGGAAAAAATATAACCAAAGATCGACCTATCCTTATAAGCTTAGTGTCTTGTTTAAAAAGAACGGAACTCCTTAAAAATAAGGGAAAACTCAGAGGAACAAATATATTTATAGACGAAGATTTAGTAGCAGAAGACAGAGTGAACAAAAAGGTTTTAGTCGAAAAATTGAAAGAAGCAAAAGCTCAAAACAGAAACGCTAAGCTAAAAGGAAATACGTTAGTAATTGATGGTATTAATTATACTAGTGGCGATTTTAAAGAAAAGTATCATCAAGAAGCATCCGGATCCAGAACGTTGTCATTTCTCCAAGAAATGAATCCATACAATTATCCACAATCGCAGATTGAGGTAGAAAAACTGCAAACTCAAAAAACTGGAAAATTACTAAATCATAATAATATTGGAAATAGCGAAGATCTACCAAGAGAAGATATACCGGGTTCCGAAAAAAAACGTAAGGTGCAAGACATATCTATTCTATTTCCTGAAACGAACGTGAAACGAGCACCTCCGTATCGGACGCGAGCGAATTCCAACAAATCTTAATAAATTATTTTTTTGTGAAACCGTTGTAAAAAGGTTAGGATATTTTTAACTATAGATTAAGATTAATATGTTTTTATTATTTATATTTTTTTTTGTTGATAATTATTCTGTGAATTATTTTTTTTTGAGTATTATAGAAATGTTAATAAAGATAGCAATAGCAAGTTATAGAAAAATAAGAAAAAATAAGTAGTGGTCAGAATTATATTATGGAAACGTTTAACATATTGTATTTTAATTATATTTTTAGGGTGTATGTATGAATGTAATCTGAATTTGTATTTGTTGATCGCATAGAAAACCTCGCACAAAAAACTTTTAGTTTTTTCAGAGGTAAATTTATGTTTATTGTATATTTATTGATACATTGTAATTTATTGAGTATATAAAATAAATAAACATCATATTAATTAAAGTGTTCTTTAAACATATAAATATGTAAAGATATATAGAAAATATATAATAAACCTTTCTTTGACTTCAAACGGGTCATAATTTTTGGGCAATTTGGATAACATGTCCGTAGACAGTCGTTTCACCGCACCTTCCCTGGATTCTCCACCACCTCCGCCAGATTCTTTAGGTTGAATAGCCAACATAACATTAAACATTTCAATAGTTGTATTGGTCTGATATCTGTAAGAGGTATATATTATTTAATACATAATATATTCCAGCAATAACAGCTATGAAATATAAAAAATTACGTAATATCTGCGTTAGAGTGTAATCCGTATGCTTGAGGAGGATCTATGGTAGGAAAACCGTCTATGTGGGCGAGATAGTCGGTAACATTTTTAAACTTCACTATTTTGTAACCTTTATAAAATATAAAATCTTCCTTAAATATATCATCATTGAACCATACTCTACAGAATGTGTTAAGTAATTTCTTATCAAAGTCATCAGTAACTCTTCCTCCGTAATGCACTTCTCCTAACATGTACCTACAATTTTAGTATTTTAAAATTAAAGATTACGTAAGATCGTTGATTGAAGAAATAATAAGATGGGCAACTTTATGGACGATTTCGTAGCACAAAACGGAAAAGAAAAGATTTAGTTTAACTCTGCGCCGCTGCGCACTGGTAGTCATTTACAGCGCAGCGGATAAAGAATACAAAACCTGTCCGAGTTGTAGCTGGCGTTACCGTCAATCCAAGATTTAGTTTAACTCTGCGCCGCTGCGCACTGGTAGTCGTTTACAGCGCAGCAGATAAAGAGTAAAACGCCGTAATTAATTCAATCATTTCAGTAAAGTTGTTTGCTGTTATATTTATTGTTTCAGTTCAACAGGGTAACTTAAATAATTTAGTTAATTACAGCGTTTCACTGAAATACCCCGTCATTACAGGGAACGTGATCTACAGCCAAACGATGTATCAAGTGAAGAGTTACAATATCTGCCGGCAGTACGTGAACTGACTAGGCATTCCAGAAGAGGTCGAATTTCACTGTATATTTAATTCTTTAAAAACTAAAGTTACAACTTCATGAAAAGAGCTCACGTCGCATTGATGTTATAGCAATTGACAACGAAGTTAAATAACATTCCCAAGCAGCATTTGGACGTCGGGACAACGTTGTGTCACGCGACCAAACGTCGGGGCGCAACGTCGGCACAACCTCGTGCCAACCCTAGTCTGCATTAGTTTGGAGAATAATTTTTGGGACGAAACGACGTTGGATACCGACGTTGGCTAGGAGCCTAATTTAGTACAAACTGCAACGTTGTTTAAAATCATAATTCACAGAAATACAAAACTATAATAATATGGCGTCTAAGTCGCGTTTTATCCTAAATTGGGATAATTATAGTAAAAATATTATTTTATGATTTAGTTAGAGACATATGTCAGATGGCAGTAAAGGAAAACAAAACAAAAGTATTTAATAAGTGTGGAGGATGTTTGAAGATCATAATTATTGAAACACTTTAACCGACTCTGTAACTCGTTACCCAAGGCAAAAAAGTTAAACGCAAACAACTTTATTGATAAATGTATTGTTTCTACTTTGAAAAATACTAATGGGCCTTAAAATTAAAGAAGTTTTAAAAAATTTCTTGATTTTTTTTTAGTAAAATGAGAATAATTTAATCGCAGTCGAAAAAATTGTTTCCGCGTGTTGTTTAGGGTCAAATATTTCAAGTTAATGTATTCAAAAAGCAGGAATTGCTATATTAGGAACGAAACATTTTATTATTCAACAACATGGCGGCTTTCACTTTGTTGTTCTGGAGATTAAGATGGAGTAATTCGAGTAGTCGCATGAGTTGCATACTGGACTAATAAAGTCGCAGTTCAGCCTTAACAGGTAGTATACTAGTTGCAAGATTGCCTAATTTAGTCATCCTAGAGTCTAGCTTGTGCCGCCCTCTATATTCTAAATAAACGAGGGAGTGGATAAACTATCGGTAATATGTCGATGTATATTTAAATTTAGTTTTATATGTACCTTTTTTATGTCCCATTTTAATTAAGTTTTTTTTGTAAAAACAAAAACAGCACTGAATTGTCTGCTGAACAGAAAAATGAAGTGACAATTTAAGATTTAAGGTTATGGTTCAATACAGTTGCAAAAAGGTAGTCGCACGACGTCCTACCAACGTAAGAATATGGAAATTTAAACAACGTTGGAATTAGTAAAACAGACGACGTTTGCATAACGTTGGAATAGGTCCTGAAAGTGACGTCGGAAAACTCTTTATTGCCCAACATTGTAACTACGTTGTCCGAATCACCTAAAGATCACTTAAGCAATAAAGGTTACAAGACAACGTTTATTCGACATCGCAGAGGCTTTTGCTTTGTTATAGTACTAGTTCAACGTCGGCACAACGTTACAACAACGTTTACATTTATTTTAATACCCAAGGTACGGAGCTAACTATTTTTTGTAATTAATCCAACGTTGTGTTTAGTAAACTCCAGTGTAAAAGTAAAAGTGTTTTGGTGTATTGTGGTGATTTAGTGTTTTTATTTTGTTATTTTGATGACTTTACTCGCTAATTTTTAAGTAATGTGGTCGCAAGTCGTGAAGATGTTACTTGGGTTCTGATAACAGGGAAAAGAATGATATTGAATACGCAACAGGGATAGAGTTTTTCAACGATACAATGCATGACAGTGACAGACGTTGCATGATAGTGACAGACGACATTTAGATGTCAGATATCTACTCAGTGACAACATAATAAAACTATACAATCGATAAATTACTCTAATAAATTTTATTTTCGCAAAAACATATTCAGCAGGTTTAATTTTATGATAACATACATTTTCAACTTACAAAGACCCGCAATACTTAGAATAAACTCTATATTATTCCTAGCTCAACTGACATAATAGGGAATACTAGGGACACCAGGTCCTTATATTATCTGAAATGGTAATTTTGACACGATATTTCTGCTACGTAACTGTAACTAACTGTCATGAAATAAAATCTAAAAACTATAGTTTATACTAGTGCACCTCATGTGGAAGTGCTTCTCCACTGGCTTAAACATTTAAATATAATCAATTACTATAAAACTGCATCAACCTTGAAATTAGTGGAATAAATTGGTGGTTTCAATGGTACTTTAAGCTTCATTCAGAACCTCGCAACTAGTGGAATAAATTAGTGGTTTCAGTTACACTTTATACCTTATACACAGTATACGATCATTCACAATGTTTAAAAAACTCAATTAAAATTAGTAGAATATCCTAGAAACGGCTTTTCAGCAATTTCAAATCAAATTCAAATGTGTCAAATGAATCGTCAAACAGAACTGTCAAGGATCCCCACCCTAGAGTCCTTTTTCGTCCACCATGCAAGAATACATGGATAGCATTCTCCTTCCTTAATTTTTTTATTCAAAGCAATTTACGCACGGATGAGTAATGAATGTTCGCATAATTTATATTGGTCTCCTAGCAGAAGAGATTTTAACTCAATATTTTATATATAGGAGTGATATTTTACCTCAGCGTTTGCCAACTAATTCCTCTTTTAGGATCAAGGTCATCCAGATGATTTTGTAAAAAGAGGCAACTCGATAACCAATCGGCTGAATTAAATTCATAAGGTATATTCCAACCTAAAGGTCCAAATTTTCTACGTTCTTGAACAGTAGTGTGCAAGAATGATATTGCATAAACTAATGGTATATACTGCCATGCATCTGAGTAATCCAGCATATCTTGATTCATAGAGCTGTAGGTTCTCATAAGACCTATATCAGAGATAGGTATTTAATTATTAAATTATAATCTAATTTAATTGATAGTATTCAAATATATCCAGAAGAAATTTATGATTAAAAAAATAATACTAATTAAGAAAAATAAATAAAGTTAGATCTAAATGAACAATAGACCAAAATAAGGAAAAAAGAATATTAAAAAACGTGTTTTATAATATTAGGTGTTTAAACTGTTTTGATCATATTTTTATATATATGTTAAATTATGTAATTTTTCAATTTCAAAAGTTAAAGGATATTTTAAACCAAAAACTATTTTTAATAAGGCCACTATTACACTGTCAAATTTTATTTGTCAAAGATTTTATTAGGTTTTATTATAATTAGGTTAATTTATCAAGAAGTAGTAGCGCAGTTCGAGCAAAATAGTATTGTTAATATTAAGCAGACATCCACATAGTATTCATGGAGAAATGCACATTATTCAAGGGTGCATCTAGACATCATTCATCCAGACAAATTAAGCAACGATCAAGAAATGCAGGAACGAGAGTTAAATGTTACATCCGATCTAGTCTTGTGATTGAATCTTGCAAAGTAAAATTGCTCACGGAGGTTAGTATAGTTAGTATTAGATGTTGTTACTAGTAGTTAGTAATAGACTAGTTTGCATAAGCAGGAATCATGAACCCATTGTTTCATTTGTTTTGACAATCTTATTTTATTTGAGTTTTATTTTTGTTTTATCTCTTACATTATTTCCTTTCAGATTTACTTTCTTTTTTTATATTTATTTTTTGGAAACAATAGTTTGACTCTTAAGGGGTGGGCAAAATGTAACAGATTATTTTTTTAGTTCTCTCAAATTCAATCTTTTGGGTTGTTAGTTCTAGAGAAAACCATTTTAGCAAAGAAAGTTGTAAAACAAACATCTGCAACTATCTTTCAAGAGCATCTTAATATTTGTAAAATTCCCAAGTTCCATAGTTGTAAAACCAACGACCTTTGATAGGGCAAACTGACGCCTGAGGGCTGATAATGGACTACGAAAAACTATCCAAGATGTGAAAACAAATAATTTGTAAACTAAAACGTAGATAAAATAATTAATTAGTAAGTAAACGTTTAGAATTCACGAAACGATGCCTGAGTCTTGTTTCAAAGATGCACTTGTAATCTATAGATAACGGATAAGACAGATAGGATAAATAAATACAAAATATACATGAGTCGCCGGTAAATAGATAAAGTAGTACCATCTTACAATAAGAGGTATGACGGATCTGGGTTGAAAGGGAGTGTCAACCTGACCAATCGAAGAAGTACTCGCATTTTAAAGGATTACGTAATTTGCCAATTGGGATTTGGTTCTGCCTACCAACCCTTAGACCGTACCAGAAAATTATTTGGAGAGTAGTTGGGTTGAAATCTCTAAAACTGGTAAGGTTTACAATATGATCCATGTAGATTTTGTAAGTCTGGGTGTCAAGGTTCTTTTAATTATCTGTTTAAGTAATCTACCGTAAAGTCATTTCAATTTCATTTAGCAAGATTTAGTTATCAAATATTGTTTCAGTTTATTTATTATGGTCATATTTTATGTTAATACCAAACACCAGACCTCTTGTTCTTAGTTTTTTTTTTTATTTTTAATATTAATTTGTAATCCTTTTATATTCTTTCTTTTAATTAATTTAAAATTTATAATATAATAAGTGTTGTTAAACTATCGTCTTTCATTTCTCAAAAATAACACATTATGTCCCTAGCATAATAATAAATTAGGCAGTTAATGCCCTCAATATTCAAGAAGGATCCGCTCAAATATAATTATTTTAATTATATTTAAATCGAGGTCATGCTAATCAGAGTAAGAGACAAATCCCAAAAGATCTCTTACAATGTAAAAGTCATCAACGACTAAAAGTTTATTTGGTATAATCTATAGAAAATAATTTTTATTTACCCGCTCTTATACCCGAGGGAGCTTCATTCGTAAACTTAATACAAATCTGAAGTAAACTTATTGGAAACTTCTCGTGCTCCTCGGTAGTTATCCAAAGCCGAAAATTAGGATGAACACTGCCAATTCCCTTCTCCAAATCCAGAAACTGAAGAAGCACTTCCTGCATATAGTCCAACGATAAATGACAATTTTGCAACAATGCCCAGAATCCCTATTAAACAAAATATACAGTATTATCTTTGTTTTAAAATATAAAAAAATATATTTAATTCACCTCTTGCATTGCTTGAGCTAACATTTTTCTAGCATGAACCTCTTGTCCTTGTCCCATTGAAATACTTTTACTCTTTAGTTCTAATCGTTTAGCCAACATCTCAATATACGGAGTAGGATCAGAGCCCATGCTCAAGAAGCATATCAAAGGCGTTAAAGGTCTCGATTCTTCATGCATTGATTCAAAATTCAATATAACTGGTTCAGCAAACCTGAGCCCTAAAGAATTAGCAATATATTTACGACTTTGTGTGATGGTTCTATCTGGACACCAAGAGCGTATTACTAAAAGTTTTCTAAAGGTATCTAAATTATTATATCCATCTGGAATTATAGCTTCCTCTGGAGCATCTTTGTCAAACCAACTCTTCCACTGTTTATCATTAGCAGTAACTTGTTGTACAATATACTGGAAGTGGCGCAATTTGGTTAACTCAACCAGGTTCAACCAAGTTAGATCCATGATCCACTTTGCTGCTTTTGGAGGACAGGCATTTAAATCTAAAGCTGCGCCGCCTTTAATGAAATTTTGAAATTCGTCATGTGTGATGTGTTCCCTTTCTAAGTCGATATTCAAGCACATTAGCAAAACAAATAGGTATTTATGTCGTTCATATAGGCCCCTCGATTTATATTTGAAAATTTCATAAGTAAGATAATCAATTATAAAGTGAATTCTTTTACTAATAATAGCAGATTTTTCGGATCTGTTCATAGACACATCAAATCTTTCCAGAAACTGTACTAGCGATGTTTGATACATGTAGTTCACCATTGCCATACTAACTACCAGGAAATATAAAATGCTTCCTCGAGTGGCGATAGGCCTAAATTCTTCTCTAGCTGCATTGATTTTTACTTCTGTTTCTTTAGCAATTTGTAACTTTTCACGAACTTCGGCAGCTGTATTTTTCGTCACATTTAACACCTCAATTACAGAGTCATCATCTAATAACGATCCTTTAGTCGTTGTTAGTTTATATAGTAAATTCTGTTCAAGTTCCAACATTTTCCTTCTATTAGCTGTGACATCTGTAATCAGAGTAGTTCTCTCCATTTCCAACTCTTTCTTCTCCGTCAAAATAACCCTTCCAAGCAACTGATCTTCTAAACCTTTCATTGTGACTGTGAAATCTATGATAGCTGTTCTCGCAAACACTTCCGGAGTGTAATTAGGGTTAGCTAATTTTGTAGTAATATATAGCTTAAACCCGGCGTTCACATCAACTTCCTTATCTCCTAATTTAACTTTAAAAGTAGTTCCTATCTTAATATAATTCTTTTCAAGGACATTATCTAAAACAGGATCTAGTTCTTCAGCTATATCTTCAATAATCATTGGGTAACCTAAGGAGACAGCATCTTCTACGTGATTTCTAAAAATTATATTATTTATAAGAGTACAGATTGTCCCATTGTGTTGTTGCTCTCGACTTTATCTCGGAAAGTATTAGTGGTAGGGCTTGCGGAAAAAAATATTTATAACAAAAGATACCACGAAAAATTACTGAAAATTATTTTCAAGTTTGTAGAACGGTCGCATAACTGCTATGGAAAATAACAAAATAAAATGTTTAAGAAAGTCTGCCTAGATACGATGTACTATAAATGACAGCTTCATAGTCTTCAGTAAATTTTGAATCTTTTTTGTTAGAACCATTTTCCCCCTATCTACTAAAATAAAGTGGTGGGGGAATGTTAGATCTGTTTATATTTAAATGTTAATAACTCCGGATTGGATGATTCAAAAAGTGAGAGCTCGTTTCAAAGAGCGTTTCTTACTATATGTATATTATACCCTTGTTTATATATTCTTAAAGTTGTTCAATCGACTAGACAAAATGTGCTGCCAACTGGAGGACAAATCGTGAACCTTTCGGGGCGGAGTCAAAAATATCGATTATTTTCGTTATTTTCCTCAGAGTAATGTAATAATATAGCCCGGGTTTCTGCGAACTTTAATAGTGATCAGCTGATTAAGAAATTTAAACGAAACTTTTATTTTATTGTAAATTGTGGATTATTTTTGCCTGTTATTTTAAGAATTCTAAACCGTATTAACAAAGAAATTATTATTTCGATATGTTGGTACATTATTTATAATTTATGATAATGCTAATTGATGTTAATTAATATTTAAAAAAAAGTTATATACCTATTTTAATTTGATTTAATGCAGGTTTATAAAAGAATCATTTCATTCTTAGATTATTTTATTCTAAATTGAGTGCTTTACCAATTTTAAGATATTTTTTTTTGAAAACATAAAACTTTTTACATTTTTGATGCCAACTAATTGGCATGGTATTATTGGTATGGGAATTAGCCAAGAAAGAAAAGAATTGGCTATAACTTGTAATTTTTCGAAAAAAAAATATTATACCTATATCGCTGAAAAGCTTAAAGAATGGGCTCTTTATGAAGTCATGGCCAACTAGGGTTTCCATTTAAAAAAAACATAATGTTTGTGTTATATGTCAAAAATGACAGGCTTTAGAAAAAAAAAACAGAAAACACAAACTCATTAGGTATGTGATTATCTACAACTTTTATCTGAAAACTTTTTGTCTAAAATACCGTATGATCGAATAAAAACGGCGTCAGCGATGGTTATGAAATGACGATCGATGATATTTCCCATATAATTTTAAATATAAAATGACAACGATCTTCATTTCATAGCCATCGTTGACGCCGTTTTTATTCGATCATACGGTAGATTATAATGGAATTAGAGACAAGTTTTAAAATAGCCAAAATTTGTTTTTTTTCGTAATATCTAGTAAGCCTTGAACTTCACCGAAAAATCCGAAAGGCGCATATTTAAGACCCCACAAAACTGCAGTTCTTTCCCCATTTAACCGACTCTCTGTCTCCAGTAGTTGCCGAGATACCCATAGCGAACATCGTAGGAAACTCACCCTGTATAGTATTTAGAAACTAACTATTATTATTATTTGACTAGATTGATTTGATTAATAAGACTCGATTAATTTATTTTAAAATAAATTTGATCAGATTTTTTTTTCGTATATTCTACTACCAGAAAACCAAAATTATATGATAAGCACTTTTCAACGAAGTTCAAAGAAGATACCTATCACAATACTTAATAGAATTACTACAATTAGAAGAAAAACAAAAAGAAAAAATACCCAAATACCTTCACCTACTACTCATCTACAAAATAAACGAATATAATCTCTTATAAAAATACTACACAACTACTTCTTGTACTTTACACTGAAAAAATGATCAAACTTACTAATTAACCAAACAAAAAGAAAAAATAACCAAATTATCCCTTCAATTCATCCTACTACTTAACTACAAAATAATAAACTATAAAAACACTACTAAACTAATTCTGGTATTCTACACTAAACATTATAATTAAACTTAATAAAATTAATTTAGATTTTTTAATTAAAATTAGTTTTACACTACAACCACAACAACTACAAAGAAATGAGAACATTTTTTAAAACTAGAAGAAACAGAACTTCGATACGTGCGACCAGTATAATAGATCAAGCTGACAAAGAATATAAAATACTTTAAAAATGTGCATTCAGAAAGAAAAAATATCTCGAAAATTATCTAAACAAACAATTTTTTTTCTTATCAGTGAAAAGCATCGGCCTCGTGGGCCTTGCGGAATTTCTCGGGTATTTACAATGGTCGAATTGAATAATTACCAGCTTTTATAGCATATCTAATAGACAAAAAGTATCTGGTCGATTAGTAACCAATTGGCACAGTCCGAAAATTATCGATTTTTATTTTCTCTGTTTTTATTGGTCGCTTCAAAATTCAGAGTAACCAAAAATATTTTTCTGTAGTAAAAGACTGTGAAATACGCCCCGCCATCTGGTGCTTTACATCCATAAACGTCTTAGGTTGAGCTACTTTAAAAATTCATATACAAGGATTATACCTATGGAGTGTAGAGATGAGGAGAAATATCTCTTATGGGACTTTTATTGAAAAAGTGGTCACAAAATGGAAAGAATAATATGGTTCACCAAATGACCACAGTGGCGCTAATAACGCAAAAATCTAAAAAAATGAAAAGTAACCATAGATAAGAGAAACCGGTGAGTTTTTCGGAAAAACTCTTAAAACGCGTATATTTTATTATGTTGTTTTACATATTTTAAGATTTTTTAAAAATATATACAGGGTGTTTCATAAAATATGACCATTGAGTAATCACTATTCTGTTTAAACTGCTGGACGTTTAAAGCTGGTTTTTTGCAAACGGATTGACTGTGGGATTGAGGTTCGATAAGGAGGGGTTTCTCGAATCTCAAATTCTAACAGGGTGAAAACGCCCCTCAAATATTACAATATTTGTTATTTAAAAAACGGTTAGTCTTTCGGGAAAACGCCTGGACACGCATAATTTATTTTGTTTTTTTTACATATTTTGAAATTTTTTAAAAAATCATACAGGGTGTTCCAAAAAGTTGAGTAATTGATTAACCACAATTCTGCTTAAACTGCTCGACGTTAGAAATATTTTTGACAAATGTGAGACAATTTTATCCAGTTTGTATGTTAATGGAAATTTGACTTGTTTTGCTTTATCATCACCATTAGAAATTATTAATTCGACGCGAACGAAGTCGCGGGTACACGCTAGTTTAAGTGTAAAATTAATTCGAACTCTAGTGTGTAGTTGGTTTACTTATGAAGAATATACTACATTTTTATATATTGCTATTTTTTGACCGCAAATGGTAAAATCATAATTAAGAGCTTCTCGCCCGTCGAGTGAGATGCACCCTGTACACTGTTACGCAATTCAGGATCTACGCGGATCGAGGGGCAGGGCGTAGGTAGATCGCAATGTGTAGGTATAGACGAGTGGCGGAATTTTGGCTTTTTTATATCGCACCTTTGTAAACAGCGCTTATTTGTAAATAACCACCGTATTTAGAGAGGTATTTTAGATAACAATCGATATTTAGAAATGTTTTGACACCTGGAAATACTACCACCGAGCACGTCATTGTTGCAACTTGACGCCTGGCGATGACCGTCTCATACTCTTTCAGATATTTAGCAGTAAAATAAAGAAACCTGTTATTTTTAAGCTGTTATTTTAAGCTGCTTTTTATAAATAACTATAACAGTTTCAACTGTTATCTAAAAATAACAGTTTTGCCCATCACTAGTGGGACACCCTGTACACTAAAGCAGATCTGCTTAATTATTACCTAAAATATTTGTGACTTAAAGAGGACACTATTAAGCTATTTTGTTTTTCTTTCATCTTTATCCAAGCTTTTCCTTGACTTTGTGGATCGATTAAAAGTGGAAATCTAGAAGCCGTTGTAACAATAATGCCATTTTGTATCGAAAGTTCGTCTGTTGGCAATCCTTGCAAATTCCACTCGCCGATCTAAAAATATTGCATAATAAAATCATAATTACTGTAATATATTTGGTCGTACGGTTGCCATATCCGTTAAGCTATCTATAATATTTATACTTAGAGTAACTGGTATTTTTCTTCTAATTAAAGAATCAAGCCAGTTCTGTTGCATAACAGATCTAAATTCTTGGTTGAAAGGACCAGTATAACCTAAGAAACCAGTCAGTAAAACGACATCGCCAATTAGGCGTTCGGTTTCGGCCTTAAATTGCGCCAACTGCTCAGTCCATCGGATTCGTTCTCCTGCTAACCCATCGATAAGCGCCGTTGCAGCATCCATTTTATTTTTAACTTTCATCGCAGCTTCAAATATTTCCTTAATACAAATAATAGATTTGAAAACAATGTGAACATGTGTTTACTGAACAGAACGTTACTTGTTTGAATGCCATAGCCTCATCATACTGTTTTTGACATTCTCTTACTTCTGCTTCTTTAGTAGCAAGCAATTCCATAGCTGCCTCTAATTCTTCTTGAGCCTTGGATAATTTAGCTTGTTGAATAGTCAAGTTAGCCTAAAAATTAAAAAAAATGTATCTATCAGAGAGTAAATTGTTTAATAAAAAAATGGATTTACCTTTAGTGGCAATACTTCCCTGTTAACTTCAAAGAAAGCAGACATAGCTATAGTCCAAGCAATTAAACCGGCTACGTTACCACAAGCTGTTTTCGCAGCCTCGTATGTATACAAAGAATGAGTTAAGTATGGCTGAAGTAAGTCAACAATCTCAGCATTAATTGTATCTTTAGGATAATTCTGGAGATTCTTCAAAAAGTTCGTATCTGCCATAACCTGAAGTATATAATATTTAACCATCACTTAAAACACATTTATAAATTAAAATACTTTTAGAGAATCGGTCCATGATGGAAGTAAGAAATTTTTTTCAAAATCGGGCTTTGTGGGCTCAATTCGTTTCTTAAAATATATAAGCACTGCATCCATAATTAACAAAATTAAATATGGTGGCTTTCCTAGCTTTCGGACGGTTGCTATATCAGCGGCTTTAATTGTCTGTAAAACAATATACCGATCGAAATAAAAACGGCGTCGAGTTGGCTTGGAAATGACGATCGATGACATTTCTCATATAATTTTACATATAAAATGACAGCGGTCTTCATTTCATAGCCATCGATGACGCCGTTTTTATTCGATCATACGGTATTATAAATTAATGTATTAACAAAACAAAGTATAGAAAAATACCAAAAGAGCAGCTTCAGCGGCATCTAAAGCGGGTTTTGCCGCCAGCAGCTTCTGTTCTGCCTCTTTTTGGTCAACGCTGATCAATTCTACTAAGTTTTCAGCCCTTTCTTTAACCACTGTAGCTTCCTCTTTAATTTTGTTTGCTATTTCACTTGCAGCAAGTACTTCATTTAATACCTATAACATAATAAAACGACAACTAGGTAATTCATTTTTTAATTCATCAGATGACAAATACTTTTTCAGCTGCTTCCGTGGCGACTGTCATTTCTTGCTCTTTGACTGCTAACTCTTGCCTTAAAATATCAACACTAGCCTGCGCTTCAACTAACTTGGAAAGTCCAGTTTTCATTCTCATCGCCAACATATCTATGTTGTCAACTTTTTTCTTATAAAGTTCTTTATAGGCAGCTAAATACGATATAAAAGTTTTTGGTGTCACGTAGGTTCTCCGTCTGAATCTATATTACACAAGACGAATAAGTAAGGAGTAAACTACACATTAACAAAACCAACTTGTCATAATATTTCTCACAATAATCCGATACTCCATCGTGAACTTCAGCCATAATCAAAATAAGTTCCCTTTTTACTTCGGGAGTTGATACAACATCGTATTGTGTCAAAAAATGTTCAGATACTTCTTCTAAAGCGTCTTGAGGCCATTTTTGGAACCAATTGATCGTGCAACCGGAAATTAACCCGGGAAATTTGAGAGCCCTGCTACGAAACTTCTCTCCTACCTACAATCCAAACATATTTTAAAGTGTGTTTAATTTGAAAAATTATTTTTATATAAGGTGTTTCAAAAAACATGTGCCATCTTTCGTAGGAAGATTTATTTTTCATATCAACATAGGTCCGATTCTGCTTTGTTTCATAGCTACAGGGTGTTAAAGTTTTAATATTTTTTCGATTTATTATAATTTTCTTCCGAGTACTTTTAGCGTTTCGAAAGAAATTTTGGGGGTAAAAGTTACTATAAATGCGACATATTTTAAAGGTAAAAAAGTGTCGACATATTCACCAGCGACGTGCACATGGGTTATTACTGGAATATTTTTCTAAAAAAAGCATGTACGCCACTGACTTTTTTCTCTAGTTAGAGAAACAGTGTAAGCAGTTTAATGGGCGATTAAAAGTTGTCTCTTCGTATTTTGTCCATTTCGGCCACATTGATAAGATAAACGCAAGTTTATTAATTTGTCTTGATCCAACTTTAATAGCAACCTTTAAAAAATTAATATCATTCTTTGAATAAGAAGACTAAGAAAGGAGCATATCAAAAATCGTAGGTACACCGCGATGGGCCTCAAATATGGCCGACTTAAATTCCGGTTTATCAGTGTCGTTCTAATTTTATTTAAAAAATGTAAAACTATGATGTAGGGTAGACGTGGGGTAGACTCAATAATTTGTTGTTTTATTTTACGTTGTGAATAAATGTTGGTAGTTATTAAAATTGTTATAAAATATATAATTCTAATAAAAATAGATAAGTTATAATAAGTATTTATTACCACAAACATCCGATACGCTACTGAAGCAGGTAAGTCAAATTAACGTATCTAAATTCTTTGACATCTAATCTTTGACAAGTAATAAATAAAAGCTAAAATGCAAGAAAAATATATAATTTAGTTAATTTAAGTGAATTTCATAAATGATCGGTTTACTACACGTATGTATATTATATAGTCACTTACTAGCGAAAAGTTGTTCCATTATTTCACTCAATTTTTGCCGAGATCTACCGCACGCTACACAACCAACTATTTTAGAGTCTTTTTCGATAAATCGCGATAGTGTCACTGTTAATTTAAGTGCTGCCACAATTTCCATCTAGATTTACTACCTTTATACAACTATCAGTAGTAGAATAAATAATAAATAACATATAAAATAAGCTCCTTAAAGACTGATAAATCCACAAAACTTCAAATCAAATTCAAAGGGCAATGTTTTTTGGAGGGGAAGCTAGAGGAAGGGGAACTAGAGGAAGCAGCAGAAGCCAACATCAGCGACATCGGGAACTCTGCAAAGAGCTGGAAGTGCTTTAACGCAAAGAAAGAATGAGAGGAAGGTTTGGTACAACAATAACAGGGATATCGCAATGGGCCCAAGGCCTCCGCGTGAGGGATCAAACATGATCCCAAACCCCAGCAACCTAACCTAACCTAACTTGTGAAAGTTTTAAATAAGTATGCATTGATTCCTCATCAAAAAAATATGAAAAAAAGTGCCTATAAACATGGGTATGGAAATGCATAGTTTTAGAGTTACAGGGTGTTAAAACATTTTATAAATAGGTTTTTTGTAATTATCTTAAATACCATTATTTTTTATTTGAAATTGCTGTAGGCTGGACTAATAGTAATAATAACTAATATAATAATATTTAATAATAAATTAGGTAAAATATATATTTTATTAATTTTCTTTTTCTTTTAATTTTATTAATTATGATAAATAAAATTGCGTTTATCTCATCAAGGAGGTCGAATTCGACAAAACATCAAGAGATAACTTTCTTTTGTGTTTAAAAACTATTCCAGTGATAACTCATATGCACGTCCCTGACTTTTTACCCTCAAATTTCATTCGAATCAATATTTGGAAGAAAATTATAATAAATCGAAAGATTATTAAGACTTTAACACCCTGTAGCTACGAAACAAAGCAGAATCGGACCTATGTTGTTATGAAAAATAAATCTTATTTTTACGTGAGGACTCTCCCTACGAGAGATGGCACATGTTTTTTGAAACACGCTGTATAAATATAGCATATTCATGGTATTTCCAAACTGAAAAATATACGATTTCAACAGACGACATCGAAAAAGTGTAAAAAAATAAGAATTATTATGGTTTACTGACAGTAAATAATTAAAAAGTCTTACAGGTGAAAAGCATAAAACAACATGGAGGTTTTGTCTAGATCTCGTAATAAAAAAGTCATACAGGTTATCTACAGTCGGAGGGCGCTTCGGTTGAATTTTTTTCATTATCGGAATCAATTCGGATTGGATTTCGTCCAACTCGTCTTTGGCGAACAGATTAGCAATTTCGCCTGAACTTAAAATATTGTTAATACTCTCCAAAAATGTCTCGTCTTTTATTTCGTTGTCTGTAAAAATAAATGTCATTCCGCGTCCTTCCAATCCTCCCACCCTATAAAGCCCTTTCATGTCTTCCATTAAGTTATTCACATTATATGTTCTAAAATAAATATATAAAGTAATCTATAAATATATATTACAACCTAACGACAAAAATAAGTATATGCATTAATTATTACCTGGTTAATTGAATTTGGAAACTTTTGTAGTTAGCTATGAAAGATGAAAGTCTTGTTAAACTCTGTTTTCCTGATCCACCAACTCCTACTAATAAAGCATTGCCGCGAGGAGTTCGAATAACTCTTGATATTATCATTAAATTCACCATGGCATCGTGGAAAAATACCAGGTCCATTGGAGAACCGCGTACAGCTTCATTATATTCAGCCATGAATGCTAAAATAATACAATAAGAAACATTAATTAGTTTTCTATGGTCACACAATGTTTAAAAATTGTATGGGTTTATTAGTTATGAAACAAATAGAGTCAAGTAGTATAAAAATGACACAGGCAATATTTAGGTAAAAAATGGGACATTCAAATAAAACTACTAGAAACTCATATTCGGTCAGCTTTCTTGTTAGGAGATCGTCCCCATAGTTTGTTTAATCTTTGTGCGATGAATCATGGAAAAACTAATATTACAAATCCATTGTCTCGTTTTGACGCTTAAAACTTTTGAAACTAACTACCAATCTTTTGTCGTGTGACATCAGTACGAAGTAGTAAGGGGCCGACTCCTGTCATCGCGACCGTAGATGGGTTACGTTGGCAAGCCGCTCTTAGCCAAACCCGCTTTGCAGATGAAGGTAGTCTGACTGAGAAGCATTACACCTTCTTTTGGAAGGGTCACCCCGCAACACACTCTAGAATTCATGACGTAGGCATTGCAGTCAAAAACGAAATTACCACCAGTTTAACAGAAGTACCCATAAGGGGTCTCCGAACGTCTCATGACCCTAAGGTACCCCATATCAGATAAAACTTACGTCAATATCATCAGTGTCTACGCTCCCACCCTAGACACTAAAGTTGAGGATAAGGATACATTTTACCAAGATCTACAAAATGATCTTCAACGAATTCCAAAGCAGGAGCGAATCATCTTGCTAGGTGACTTTAATGCCCGTGTCGGCAATCAGCAAGAAATATGGCCAGACGTATTGGGAAAACATGGAATGGGAAACGTAAATAATGGTTGCTAACAACATGCCCATAGTACTATCTTTGCATCACCAATACATGTTTCAAGCTGAAAGACAAGTTTAAAGATACCTGGAAACATTCCAGATCAGGCCACTGGCATCAATTGGACCACGTAATCGATCGAAGGAAGCATCTAAAAGATGTCAGACTTACAAAAGTCAGAATAGATGCAGAATGTGGTACTGACCACCGACTTATAGTTTCGAAAATGAAACTACAGTTAAAACCCAAACATCCACACTGCAAAAAGCAAAACAACGACCAGATTGAACGTACGGAGTCTAACGAACAACGACACCGCCAACGCCCTCCGGGAAGCCATCAGAGAAGCACTTACACCGATAACCTCAATCTCGGAAGCTGAACAGGAGGCTGGACACAATTGAGAGTTGCGATTTATAATACCAGCGAAGAAGTACTGGGAAAATCCAACAAAAAGAAACAACCAGACTGGTTTAACGAAAATGAACCACATATACAGGCTTTGTTGGAACAAAAGCATATAGCACATCAAGCAGTCACTGCAAATCCACACAATCCAAGGCTGGTGGACAACTTTAAAGCAGCCAACAACACGCATCGAAGAAACCTGTGCCAACTAAAGGATAACTGGTGATCACAAAAAGACTATCGTAAATTCTTCGAGGCTGTAAAAGAAGTATACGGCCCAACTAAGAACGTAAGCTGTCCAATCAAGGCACAAAACGGTGAACTTCTAAAAGAGGAAGAGCAAATCAGAAATCGCTGGAAAGAGCATTACAGCCATATCCTTAACCAAGACAACATCCCCAATATGCAACCACTAAACACAATACCTCAGTATAACAGCATCGATGTATTAGATATCCCAATAACGGAACAGGAAATAAAAGCCTCCATAAAACAACTTAAAAACAATAAATCGACTGGCTGTGACGCGATTCTTAAGAATTATTAAATTAAAGAACTTATTGGTCACCTTAAGGCTTTATTCGATGTCATATGGGAAAGCGGAGAGGTACCTCAGGACTTTCCCAACGCGAATATAGTGAATATATTTAAGAACAAAGGAAGTGCATCAGATTGCGGAAGCTATCAAGGAATTTCACTACTGGCTATCTATATATTATATATATATAGGTGTTTCAAAACAAATGCGAAAAACTTTAGGGGGTGATTCCTTGTTCAAAATAAAGGGTAGTTTGCTTTATAAACGTTGGGTCAAAACTCAACCATTAGGGAGATATCGCGGTACAAAGATGGCGGAAAAATAATGCTTTTATTTTTTATCTTGAAAACGAAAAGAGATAGACTAATGAAATTTTATGGAAGCATTACTGTTATAAAAACACACTTTCAGGTAATTTTTTTACTTTTTTAAAATGAGTGGAAGGGGTTGAAATAAACTACCCCTATCATTCTTGTTAACGAAATTTAAAGAAAAATCTTATCAAACACATGCAAATGCTTTAATTTGGATAGTTTAGTTTGTTTAGAAACTTTTTACCTCTTGTGTGTTTTTGATAAAACTCACCGATTGGAAATTAAAAATAAAATGTAAAGCATTACATGTCAGGACAAAAAACATTTTTAGATTAAGAATCTAGTGATAATAACGATAATAATAATCATCTAGATAATAACGTATTGCAGTAGAGTAATGTCAAATAAAATAATATTAGGAACATCCTAAAAAGTAACAGCGGCCGACTAGATTTTTCCTAAAAAATTACAGCAGCCCACTAGATTCTTTATCAGAAAATGTTTTTGTCCTGACATGCTTTACATTTTATTTTTTAATTTCAAATCGGTGAGTTTTATCAAAAAAATACAAGAGATAAAAAAGTTTCTAAACAAACTAAACTATCCAAATTAATTTTTTGCATGTGTTTGATAAGATTTTCTTTAAATTTCGTTAACAAGAATGATAGGGGTAGTTTATTTCAACCCCTTCCACTCATTTTAAAAACGTGAAAAAATTACCAGAAAGTGTGTTTTCATAACAGTAATGCTTCCATAAAATTTTATTAGTCTATCTCTTTTCGTTTTCAAGATAAAAAATAAAAACATTATTTTTCCGCCATCTTTGTACCGCAATATCTCCCTAATGGTTGACTTTTGACCCAACGTTTATGAAGCAAACTACCCTTTATTTTGAACAAGGAATCACCCCCTGAAGTTTTTCGCATTTGTTTTGAAACACCCTGTATATATAGATAGGCTATCTACCTATATTATATAAAAATTATGTCAATCAGCCTTCACCCACATATAGAAAAAATCCTCCCAGAATGGCAAACGGACTTTCGTACCAACCGCTGTACCGTTGATTCCATATTCTCCGTCCGCCAACTACAGGAAAAAGTAAAGGAACAGCAGAGTAAACTTTATGTTATCAAGTAAACTTTATTATCGACCTATCGAAAGCCTTCGACTCTGTAAACAGAGATGCACTTTGGGCAATTATGCATAAGTTCGGAGTACCCAACAAATTTCTTACTGTGTGTAAAAGCCTCTGTGTGTAAAAGCCTCTATAACAACCTCTATGACAACAAGTCGAGAGTGTCACATCATGGATCACTGAGCGATCCCTTCCTGATAAATATTGGAGTTAGGCAGGGATGTGTTCTAGCTTCTCTCCTATTCAACTTATTCATGGCAGCGCTGTCTATTATAGTGGACAGCAAACTGCAGGAAAGAGAAATGGGTGTTAGATACAGGTATGACAGCGGTCTGTTCAAAATAAAAAGACTCAGGGCAAAAACAAATAAAATTCATCACAACAATATAATTCATCACAGAACTCAAATACGCTGACAACTGCGCTCTAGTTGCAAATACGTTACAGCAATTACAGGAAATGCTGAACACATATACCTGGGCATACGACTCTTTGGGCATTAAGCTGAACATCGATAAAACTAAAATCATGTGCACTCCCCCAGAAAATCATAACAGCGCTATAAAAATCGGAGAGGAACTATTGAAATATGTATCGGAATTTAATTACCTCGGCAGTTTGATGAAATTCAGCACAGAATTAGCAGCGCCTCAAAAGCATTCTGGAAATTAAAAGACAGGGTTTTCTACAATCATGACTTGAGCACAAAAACGAAACTTGCAGTGTATCGTGCAGTAATAATCCACACCATGTTATATGGAAGCGAAACCGGGATGCTCGGGTGCCGTACCGCCGGCACACGAGCGCATTAAACAAGTTGCAACAGATACACCTTAGACAACTGTTAAGAATCAAACGGTACCACCGTGTCTCAAACGTATCAGTCCTTGAAAAAGCAAGCTGCAAGAGCGCTGAAGTCATGATTACTAAATCTCGATAAAGATGGGCTGGCCACGTATGCAGGATGCAAGAAAACCGCCTACCGAAATCTCTTCTTTACGGTGAACTTGTAGAGGTTAAGAGGAAACCGGGTAGACAACTCAAAAGATACAAGGATGTTTTCCATGAAAATGATGAAGGGGATGAGTATGCAGCATCAGTGGGAGGAAGCAGCGCACAATAGAACGCAATGGAGGAGAATTGTAAACTCAGTTAACAACGACGACCAAAAAGTAAAGAGGCAACAAAGTAATGAGATTTTTGAATGTCCGGAATGAGTGCGGAAGAGAGATAACATCGCGTATCGGGCTTTTCAGTCACAGAAAAGCTCATGAAAAAAACGCCTTGCGTAACCATCTTCTGATGCATGTCAAATACTCGTCAGCGAGTAATGGCAGTAGTAGTAGTAGTAGTAGATGAGTTACGGTACATGGTCTAGGAAAGCATGTCCATTTAATCTAGCAATAAAAGCAAGTCCTGTGGGTATGATCCTCTTTGTAAGTTAAAAACAATACAGATTTCATTAACAAAATTAAAAGCATAACATTACAAGACGGTGAAATATTGGTCTCCTTTGATGTATCTTCGTTGTTCCCAAGTGTTCCAATTCGACATACTTTAGGCTACTTAAAGGAATTACTGAACGCCAATGGTCTCGACAACAAAACTGTGATTGAATATATTGAAGTGATTTAAGCTATGAAGCTTAAATCACTTCAATCGCTTTATCAGAACACAATCAATTGAAGATCTTAAATGGTTTTTTCGAACATCCAAACCAAACCAAAAAGTTAAGATCACTCATAGGCTACATCCTAATACGCCAAAAGACCAAATTAATAACAGAAGATGTTGTAGAACATACAGAGGACCGACTTGTGGTAGCGACCACTATTTGATAAAAGCGAAAATTATATTCCCATTGAAAGGTGTCAAACCAACCAATAAACACGACGATGAAAAAACAGAAGAAGTAAACCTAAATACAATATATCAAGCCTAGACCATCAAAGTGTTAAAGAACTTTATCAAAAACGATTAGATGAAAAGCTACGCCAGGTACCGTTCCACACGACAGAAGTGTTTTTTTTTTAAATTTAATATAATATTTTTACACTTTCAGTTTATAAATATTTTGCGAGGTAATTTTACTGTATTTTGATTTAAATTATATGCAGGTGTATTTTATTAGTTTAGATTTCTTTATTAGAGTTACACTATTAAAAAAATTCTATGTTTAATTTTTATCCTTCTAGTCGTATATTTCCACCAGCATTTAATACAAACGATAGCAGGGCCTTTAAACGTGCATTTTGTGACTGTCTAACCCAGCGTGTCATTTTTAGACTTTTTGTGGATTAAATATGAGACCGTTTTTCTGCATACTGACCCATATAGAGATAGTTTTGGTATATTTTTACTTTTGCAATAGTTCCCTTACCACCAAATGCCTTTTAAGAAGAAATACTTTTATATTTAAATGGTTGTAACTAAGAAACTAACTAAAAAAAATTTGAAAAATGTCTCATTCATCTCCACTTGGCCCTATTTAGTCAAATAAAATACCGAAGAGCCTTTCTTTAAGAAAAGTCCAACTAGGAATTTCTTCATAAATTTTTGGTGCATCAAAGCAGAAATCTTCTGGCTCTTCACCCGTTGGTTCGGGGGGATCCCTAAGAAAATCCACCCAGAAAGTTTCCTCCTCCGGATAAGCTTCAAAATCATCTCCCAGTTCTTCGGCTGCTACAGTTTTTAAAAGATTTACAAACCACACTTTATCGGGTATTATAGTAAACCTTAGTAAAGAAATACGTTAAGGTATCGGTAGAGAAATTATTTTCATGGGAATACCTATCCGCTATCACCCGTTCACATTCGTGTCTCCAAAGTTTCAACGCCATCTTTTTATTACGACATTCCAAATTTTGAACTGTCAGTATTCCTTGCCATATTCTAGATAAATCACGTAGATTAAAAACGTAATGAAACTTGGCCGGCGTTGGCAGCATTTTCTGTTTCGTTTTCTGCCAAATATGTCTAGTCAATGGAATTAATTTTGGCATGAATTCAACGACTTCTTCCTCAAACCGTTCGATACAAAAGTATCCACAACCAATCTGTCCTGAATATATAACAAATTAATGATTATAAAGTAAAATATTTATTTCATGCCAATTAAACTTTTAGTTACGTAATCGAGGACGCGATTTTTAAATTCATTGTTACCAACCGTCGACTTATTCGACGCCGGCGCCGTACTGGAATTTAAAATTCGCGCTGGGGATACAGGTGGTAGCTCTGCTGTAAAAAATGTCAACTTGCCGCATTTATTAATTATTATTTCCTGACATTGTCATTCGTTTTCACACTTTACTTTTGTATTAAATAGTGTTGTGATGCTTTAAGCTTAAAAGTGTTTACTAGGAGACCTTGCAGTCGAACATTATTCATTATAATAATAAATAACGCTTTATTGTACAAAAAGCCAAAATAGCTTCGTCGACAAAGCATTTAAAGAACAAACAAAGGCACAAAAATAAACAAATAATAAAAAATATCATACAATACAAATCATACAATTCAAAAAAATTTACGTCATTAAAATTACTACATTAATATTAATACATGGACATTGCAGAACACAAAAAGGCGTATCAATAAAATTTTACAATAGGAAAATTGTAAATGGATATAATCATTTAAGAGTCCTAAAATATTAAATACTAGACTTTTAACCAGTGTGTGAGATGATCAAAATTTTAAAATTCAAAATTGTTCATGATTAAACATCAACAAAAAAGTCGTTTACCGCATCTAGGGCCCTCTCCAGCAAGTATGATTTCAGAGCTTTGCAAAATGCGGGAAAGAATGATAGCGACTTGATATTCAAAGGCAGATGACTGTATATTTTTTGGCATTGTACAGTATTGAGCCTTTAACTAGTTCTGAGCTCGGGGTTGGCAGATAAAGATCGTGCTCCACATTCCTAAGTGGATAATTGTGAGATGGTCTTTCGGGAATAGCAGATATGTGCTTGCGGATTAAGCAAACGGATTCAAAAATGAATAAAGAAGGAAGAGTCAGTATTTTGAAATTTTTAAAGAAATTCTGGCAGTCAGTTCTACTGATTAGTCCCAATAAATATCGAACTGCTTTCTTTTGAAGTTAGAAAGTACGATCAAATTTAGTCGCGCAGCAAGTACCCCAGAATGGAAACGCATAACGACGACGCGACTCAAAAAGGGCATAATAGACTATTCTAGAGGTTGATATGTTAAGTTCCTTAGAAACTGATCTTAGCACAAAACAGGCAGCGCTTAGCTTCTTTGATAAAGCTTCGATGTGCAAGTCCCATTTTTAAGAGTTGTCTACAACAAGTCCTAAAAATTTCACAGAGTCCACGACGTCAATAGTGGTGTTATTAAGTACAAAAGGTTGTATAGTACTTTTATATAACATAACTTTAGTTTTTGATAGGTTGAGGCATAGGAAATTAGAATCGCACCAAGATTTAATGGTGCTTAAGTCACTGGATATAGTATTATATAGTGCCGTAACATCTGGGTCGCTACAAGTGAAACTAATATCATCATAGACTTCCATTGTCGTTGATAAACACCGGAAACAAAATAGGGCCAAGTACTGAACCCTGAGGGACACTACATTCTATAGGCTTACAAGAAGACAGACGTATCAATCCTCACACATTTTAAAACCTTTTTAAGTGCGAAGTGTACAAAATAGCTTAAAACGGTTGTAATGACCCTTTATGTCCCTTAAGTGCTGTTAAGAGGGTTGAGTTTTGTTGGTATAAAAAATAACTGATTCTTCTTCTTAGCACGCCGTCTCCCTTCGGAGGTTGGCGATCTAATTGGCAATTGTGACTCGGGAGATGGCATCCCTGAAAATTTGGACTGATGTTCGATCAAGCCATCGACGCAGATCTTTAAGCCAGGAGTTCTGTCTTCTTCCGACTGACCGCTTTCCTTCGATTTTCCCCTCAATTATAAGACGTAGCATTTCGTATTTATCTCCTCTCATGATATGTCCAATATATTGGATTTTTCTTTCCTTGATAGTTGTAAGGAGTTCTTTGCCCTTCTGCATAGCTCTGAGTACTTCAGTGTTGCTTTTTCTATCCACCCAGGATATTCGTAGTATTCTCCTGTACAAATACATCTCAAAAGCCTCGATGCGGGCTTCTATAAGCGTACTGAGAGTCCAGCTCTCACAGCCATAGAGGAGAATTGGGAATATATAACATCGAAGCATTCGCAGTCGGAGTTGTAGGTCGAGGACAGGCGGGACCCTGATGAAAAGGTTCCTCATACTGAAAAAAGCACTCCTAGCTTGTTCAATCCGTGACAGGATCTCTTTTCGGATCACACCTTCATTTACAAGTGCACCCAGATATCTAAAGGATGACACTTGTTCAATCATGTTATTGTTTATTTGAAGAGTGGCTTGTATTGGTGTTTTTGAGTAAACCATAAGTTTCGTCTTTGCACTGTTCATAAGCAAGGTAAGTTAACCCAGCACCGTCTTGATAGGTGAGGAGTTTTAGTGTTTCCGCGTGGATTTCATCCGGTCCTACTGCTTTACCATCCTTTTGTAGATTGATGGCATGCCGTACCTCGTCCTTGGTGATAACAGGGCTCACCTCATTGATTTGGCCTATTATCACGAAAGAGGTTTTCCACATAATCCTTCCAGTGTTTCAGCTTTTCCTCAGGGCCCACGAGGATTTGATTTTGGGTGTCGCGCAGTCCGCTGTGCCGTTTTTGATGTTTCCAAATCACTTCTTTGATCTTTTTGTGCATATTAAACAAGTCATACTTCTTTTGAAGCTGCTCTATTTCACTGCACCTCTCCGCTAGCCACTGTTCTTTTGCTTCCCTGCATTTTCTTCTTACTATTCTATGGAACTCTTGGTATCTAAGCTTATTCTTTGTTTTCTGTTCCCCTCTCTGTTGCATTATTTTTAGGATCTCGTTGGTCATCCAAGGTTTTCTTTTTATGTGGTTGTTAAAGCCAATGTCTTCTGTTTGTGTCTGAAGAAGCGCATTTCGCACAATTTTCCATTTTTCCTCCACTTCGCTGACTGGTGCTCCCCGTTCGATGTTAGTTTATAATATCCTCTCTAGCGTATGACTAGTGATTGCTTTTAATTAAATAACTGATTACATATTTATCATTAATTTATTTTTGTTTCCTAAAATATTTTGATTAAAAGAAAATATAGAACAGTGGGCAACGCTGTGTCGGTCAAACTTAATCACGTGACTAAAAGTTTATTTGGTATGAACTGTATATATGTATTTACTAAAGATTAAATCCATAGAAGTGATGCTCGGCAAGGTGCAATTAAATATACAATATTGTCTTTTAAGTCTATGGGGTATGTCATTTCGACCACCTCCTGGATGGATCATAGCTGACAGCAACATAACGTCGGCGATATATGAGAAATCGCCTGGTTTATCCAAGCTATAAAAGCCTCCTAAAAATTTCGAGAGACGTTATAAAAGTTCCTTTTTAAATTTTAATGTACTTGCCAGTTTCCATAAGTTGACGTACTATTTCGTTGGTAATTTGGTCTCCCCAGTCATTAATTACCGGCATATTAATGTCATCAATAAATATAGTTAATGTCTTCCCAGCAGGTGGACCGTATGTTGTACCCACTCGTTTATCTACATAAGACTCGATAATTCGCTAAAACATTTTTTACGCATTTGTGAAAACAGCTGTATCAGATTTGTAAAAACGGTAACAGAAAGAAGTGAAAGTATTTCTTATGCATATTGTTGCGGACCCGTGTGGACTCGACCTAACCTAACTATATGTCCCACCCTCAGATGACCTTAACATCGCATTAAAGAATAGACACCGTAATAATTCATTCGGACGTTCGAGAAAAATCGAGTTCCACTGGAATGGAGTAGTACATACGAGAACATTCGAAAGCTTCTCTATGCACCTAATGATTTATGGACTATTCGAGAAGCTCTTTAGCTGTGGGTATAAAAGCCAGCGGCTGGGGCCTAAAGGGGACAGAAATAAAAAAGACGAGTACAGTACAGTGTCGCGCGAAATTCAAAATAAATTCTTTCTAGATAAATAGTTGTAAATCGTTTGTTAATAGTTCTTTAAGTCTTTTATCGTTATTGTTTTTGTTAATTAGTGTAAATAAATAGTGTTTAAATAAATTGTGACTTTCTATCCACACGGAACCGACGAAAAACGTAACAATATCAAGAAAATTTTCTATAGGCTTGGTGCATTCTTCGCCGGTACTGCTACCATCGGAGAATATCGTTAACAACTAGTATATACAAACATATAAAAACAAGGGTTTAAATAGCCAGTATACGCAAAATTTATTATACAGGGTGTTTCAAAATCATGTGCCATCTCGTGGAGAGATTTCTCACGTAGAAATAAGATTTATTTTTCATATCAACATAGGTCCGATTCTACTTTGTTTCGTAGCCACAAGGTGTAAAAGTCTTAATATTTTTTCGATTTATTATAATTTTCTTAAGTATTTTAGCGTTTCGAATTTTGAGGCTAAAAGTTACTATAAATGCGACATATTTGCGACATATGGGTTAGCTTGTTAGTATATGGGTTATATTGCGACATATGGGTTAGCACTGGAATATTTTCAAAAAAAAACTGACTTTTTTTCTTTTGATATCAGAATTGTGTGGTCCCTTTAATGCCAATTAAATGTTTGTTGCTCTTGATATTTTGTGGAATTCGACCTCCTTGATGAGATAAATGCAATTTTATTTATCACAATTAATAAAATAAAAATAAAATTAATAAACTATATAATTTACCTAATTTATTATTAAATACCATTAGTTATTATTATAATTAGTACAACCTACAGCAATTTCAAATAAAAAAATAATGGTATTTAAGATAATTACAAAAAAAAATAATTTTAAAAAGTTTTAACATCCTGTAACTATATGCATTTCAATACCCATGTTTATAGGAACTTATATTTTTTGATGAGGAATCAATGAGTACTTATTTAAAACTTTCACAAGTTAATGATATTAAATTTTTTAAAAGTTGCTATTAGTCTTGGATCAAGATAAATTAATAAAATTGCGTTTATCTCGTCAAGGAGGCCGAAATCGACAAAATATCAAGAGACAACTTGTAATCGACATTAAACTACTTACACTATTTCGCTAACAAAAGAAAAAAAGGTCAGTGGCGTACATGCTTTTTTAGAAAAATATTCCAGTGATAACCCATATGCACGTCCTTGGTGAATATGTCGACACTTTTTTAGCTTTAAAATATGTCACATTTATAGAAACTTTTACCCTCAAAATTTCATTGGAAACGCTAAAAGTACTTGGAAGAGAATTATAATAAATCAAAAAGATATTAAGACTTTAACACCCTGTAGCTACAAAAGAAAGCAGAATAGGACCTATGTTGATATAAAAAATAAATCTTATTTTTACGTGATAAATCTCCCCACGAGAGATGGCACATGTTTTTTGAAACACCCTGTATAAAAATCTCAACTTTTATCGATTTTACTTGTCAAAACCATCGGTTGCTTGCTCATGGACAAACTGTACCATCATAGAACAAAAATTAGCTAGTACCGAATGTACCGAGAAAATCGGGAAAGCTCAGTTCCTTAGAGGCGTTGTACCGAAATTTCCGGTTCCAAAAAATAGCTCCGGTTCCGGAAACTCTAATTGCTATAGCCTGGGGGCGCTATTCTGTACAATCATCGGTTACCGATAGCTAGCGGTACGTACCGCCAATGAGCGTAGTGTTAATTGCTGTTGTCATAGTTTTAGCTGCCATTAATAGGACATTGCCGACGATTATTTGTATCTCTACCGTGAGGTTAAAAAGGGCACGGTACCGAGCCTCGTCGGTACAAATTTGCGCTATCTGCCATAGGGCTGATCGATAACTATGACAACGACAATTAACACATTTTTACTATATACAAATACGTACCGAGAGCTGTCGTAACTTACCGATATAGTCTATAAAATGAATAACTTTGAATTTTGACCGTTATTTTTCACCAACATGGCAAATATAAAATCCCTCTCAAAAAAGTTACTGATATTCTTTAAATTAAGTGCCTGAACGAATCAGATAGGTAACTCTTTTTACTTTCGTGAAATAGAAAGGGGAAATAATAAAACAAGTGACAGTTCTTCCTCTTCTTACAAAAATCAACACGAAATGACATAATTGTCAAAAGTAAAATGTCATCAGCTTTTGACATTTCTAAATATCAGACCAATGCCGTCTCTAATAGAACAGTCTCGGAGCGAGATTTATGACGTCACGCTACATAGATACTACGCATGATACAAAGAATACAAGGTATGATATTGCGCAGGTTGGTCACTACGTCACAGGTGATAAACGGCACCATTGGTCAGCAAGCTCCGCGCGCCAATTTCAAATTGTCATACAGTTGACACAATAAATGTGAAAATAATTTTTCAAATGTCAAACTCGATGATTTGACATAACATTTGGGGGTTATGTCTTAATTCTTCCCTATTTTAGGCCTTTTTTTATTAGTGGCAATTGAACAATATGGATATTTTTTGTATGGCGTATGACGTCACAGGTGGTATGCGCAAACTTAACGAAATTGGAACCGCTATCGATCATACCTTGTTTTCTTTGTACCATGGATACTACGGATTAATAAATATGTTGTAGAATACATGGAAAACAATTATTCCTCGTATTTTTGGTTTATATTTTAAAAACGATATAGTTTACATGAAATATACATAATATACAGTTAATAAATACAATATAAAGGGAACTAAGACAACCTTCGTTGCACGTCATCAATGACACCATGCGTCGTTAAATACTTTGGCAAATAAACTATGAACGATGATACAAATGCAGCAAATGTTTTACAACATACAAATAATGAATAGGTACATAAGATAATGGGTAAAATATATTTTAAATTTGGCGGTTTGAAAATCGATCTAATTTAACAAAAAACATTCAATATCTACTAATAGTGATGTATCATTATTTACATTCACAAAATTTATATGCATATTTTGCAAGTATCAATGTTCGAAAAATTATATTTGCAAATAATACAATATCATAGAAAAAAAGGCGTCAGCGATGGCTATGAAATAAAGATCGCTGTCATTTTATATGTAAAATTATTCTAAAATTTTTGATTTTCTTGGGATTTAGGTTCGGGAAAAACGCTGATTAAGTTTTCATTTGGTTTTTCATTTTTTTTTTCATTTGGTTTCGGCTAACATTATAGCCTTCATCAGTGTTGTGTCATATGAAAAAAATAGTGTCGAATATAATCCAAAAAATTACATATAAAATATACTAAATATATATGTTACTGTAAATGCCCGAAATGCGGTAAAACCTAGGATTTACCAAAAGCAAGTGGTAGTAAAAACCAACCAACCTCACCAAATGACCACCTAACCAATGCATTAACACCCCCCAAATAACCAGGCTAACAAATGCATTAAGACCCTCCAAATAACCAGGCTAACCAATGCATTAACACCCTCCAAATAACCAGGCTAACCTAATAAGTTAGTGTTTTTGGTAAATCCTAGGTTTAGCGCGCTTATCTTAGGTTTTTTGCCGCTTTTCGGACATTTACAGTAACATATATATTTATTAATTAATACATATTTATTAATCCGTAGTATCTAACTAGCATGACGTCATAAATCTCGCTCCGAGGCTGTTCTATTAGAGACGGCATTGCGTCAGCATGGCCGCAAGTTGAACTGTCAAATTCAAAGTTATTCGTTTCACAGACTATACCAACGATTTTCGATGCCAGAATAACGCCCCGGTTTAATAAAATACGTTAGTGTTAAATTTTCGGAAGAATACTCACCTGTACCATATTAGGTGTAGTTGCTGAAGAAAAGTTAAAACATTTATTCAACTTATAATCTGTATCAAACGTTGAAAGGTAGCCTTTAATCATTACTGTCTTTGCCGTACCCGGTTCACCTATAAAAACATGCCATTTAGAAAACTTAATCGTATCTCAGACAGGCGGTATATACCAATTAAAAGCACTGCTTTATTTTGTTTGGCAATGGTATGTATTAAAAACGCACTTCTCACATTATCCACATTCGGTACTAATATATTTGTAAATTCCAATACAGAATCTTTCGGATAAATAAACTCTTCGACGCGTTCGCGCCAATGTTCCCATTTGCCATTTTCCGCGTTTACCACGTATTCAAATATGGTTTCGTTTTCTTTGCATTTTGGCCAGTCCAACTTTGAGGGGTGCGCTAAAGCAAAATCTTCTAGTTTCACCCTGTCCTCCAGCTCGAGCAGCGCCCCCAAAGACCACATTACGGCAAATATGTAGAGGCGTTCCAGTTGTTTGTCCGTCCAGTTCTCTTTATTTTTCCAAAAAAAAACGAATGAGTGTTAATATGAAAGAAAGTACAGGATGTCCCATTTTCGTGTGTTGTAATATTTGTATGTTGTGTGTATTGTTGTAATATTTTTGAAACTATCGAAATATATTTACTCAGAGTAATATGGCGTAATGAGAAAATATGCTGTTTTTTATAAGTTTTAAATCATAATAGAATAAAAAATATCATGCGAGTTGAATTTAAAATACATCTACGGCAAACAATAAATATCGGAAAATCTCAAATCACTATCTTAAATTTACTTCTGGTAGATGAGACGACTTTTGCTTCTAGATGCCAAACGTATTGTAATATATTATAGTAGGATCATAACTCACTAGGCTCTTCTGATATATCCAATATGCCTTGTAGTACATCACAACATTGTCGAATGTACAAAGCTTCCCTAACAAACATTTTAGCTTTCAGTCTCGCTTGAACATAGCCATGGAGATCTCCGAAACTTTTGTTGAACAAAGTTCTCAAAGTGTCGGCCTCCTGTTGCGCCCGTTTTTTTAGCCAAGCTTCAAGAATTGGGGGCCATGGCAAAACGGAAGAACTCATAAACACCATACCTACGAATCATTAGCGATGGGTTATTATTTAAAAGTATGTTGTTTTAAAACCGTTATTATTATATAAACGATAAAAATTATTATATTTGTCAAATTTAAATAAGCTTGAAATTAGTCAAAACGTAAAAAAATTTCGATAAATACAAGGCGTTTCAAAAATCACGTGCCATCTCTCGTGGTGAGATTCCTCACGTAAAAATAAGATTTATTTTTATACAGGGTGAATCTTAAATAAGTGCAAATATTTTTAAAGGTAGTACCTATTTCGACTAGAGGTGTGTAGTTTGTGAACGAACTAGTTCCGATGAACTCTTCCGACCCCGGAATGACAGGAACTAGTTCCTGGATTCTCAAAGAACTAGTTCCTCAGGGATCGAGACGGTGACCGATAGACCGGCCAGCGTAGCCCGATGCTAGGCAGGAGTGGGGTTAGGTTAGCCAGCCGTATGCTATCGGATCCGGACTTAGAGGAACTAAATAAAAGACTAGTTTACGTACGGATCGGCTAGTGCTATAGATGCTAGGCATGAGTGGGCTTTTGCTAGGCAGAGAGTGCCAGTTATATTTTATCGGATCCAGACCTAAAGGAATTAGAGGAACTAAATAAAAGAGTAGTTTAAGTACGGATCGGACAGCGGGATTGATGCTAGGCAGGCGTGGGAAGTACCAGCCGTATGTTATCGGATCCGGACCTAGAGGAACTAATTAAAAGACTAGTTCACGGGAATCTATTTAATCGGCAGATCCGAGATATAATACAAGGCGACGACGATGGATTCGGCCTTGTCTATTGCCACAGCCGAGCCGGCGCGGCGTAATTACCACAGAAAATTGCCGTGGATACTGTTTTTGATTTTTAGTTTGTTCTTTAAATATTTTATGGGAATGTGTCACTTTGAAATGGTCCCTAGAATTAAGAAATTTTCAAAGTAAAATATTTTTTCATTCAAATTCATTCGAATCAGTAAAAGCACTTTGAAGAAAAATTTAACAAATTACAGAAAAAAAAGAATGAAAACTTCAAAAACATGTAGCTACAAAACAATACAAATAGAAAAATCCTCATAAAAGTACAGCGATTAGCAACTCTAGGTACAACTATAGCAAGGAACAACACAGCGCAAGCTGCGCTCGAAGTAATTCTGGACTTGCAACCAATCGACTGGCTCGTGAAGGATCTGGCCGCTACGGATGGCCTAAGATTAAGGGTATCCGATCTGTGGAACCAGACCAACTACGGTCACTCGAGGATATTGCCAGATGATAGGGAAAATCATGGCGAACGCGAGTCCACATCTGCTAGACCAGAAAACGGACTATATGCTCACCAAACATGATTTTGGAGAAAATATAAGGATTCGCATCCCGACAAGAGATGAATGGGAAAGCAACCGAGTAATGAACACTTAAGAGATAGCAGTTTACACAGATGCTTCCGTAACTTCAGGAGGCACAGATATATATCTTCTCAGAAGAACTAGACATCCGACGATCTTTAAGGCTATCGGATGGCTGTAATGTTCTACAAGCAGAGGTTTACGCCATAAACGAAGCGGTCAGTTGTATACGAGAGAAAATCGCTGATAGACCAATAGGGGATATCGTGATATACTCTGTTTGAGCGCTTTAAGAAGCATCGCCATGCTATCAGTGAGATCGAAAATTGTGATGGACTGCCGAGAAACATAGTTCTGGCTGCGTCAAGGCAGGACAGCAGCCAACATCAGTGACATCGGAAACTTTGCAAAGAGCTGGAAGTGCTTTAACGCAAAGAAAGAATGAGAGGAAGGTTTGGTACAATACAGGGGTATCGCAATAGACCCAAGGTCTCCGAGTGAGGGATCAAACATGATCCCAAACCTGGGCAACCTAACCTAAGCTACCTAGCTACAAAACAAAGCAGAATCGGACCTATGTTGATATAAAAAATAAATCTTATTTTTACGAGAAGAATGTCCCCATGAGTTTTTTGAAACACCCTGTATAAGAGCCGGAATTTATTTCCAAAGACGTTCAAGCTTTGTAAAATTATTAGTTACATGACTATATTAAAAATAAATATAATATTAAGAATTTAGTTTTGACGACTAATTTAGGATAAATTAATTTAAGCAACAAACCCATTCGAGATACAGTAGCAGGACTAGCATTATCTACATTGTCAGGTTCAAACACAAGTTTACAGTTATTTGCCATAACTATCCTGTCCCCATTAGCTAAAGTTAAAGTTTTATTATCGTCCAATACAGAGTTGAGATTTTCTATCCATACGGCGTCAACAGGGCCGTCCAAAACCAACCTACAAAAGTACAACTTTATTAATTATATGGATTAAAGATAAAGATACAGTTTATTTTTCAGTAGGACTTTGAAAATGAATCAAGAAATTACGATAAATTAACCACACATATATTTATTAACAGCAAACATTTTTAAAGAATAAAATGTTTTTCCTATTCACTGCATAAAATCATTCTCTTTTCAAAAGATCATTTTGTGTTTTCAAAAAACATCCACAATAATTTCTCTCATGTTGTCGACAATATTTGTTCGAGTTTTATAAACACTGTCTTTAACATACCCCCATAAAAAAAGGCGAGACTAGAGAAATTTAGAGCATTTAAATATTCTCTTAATTGGTGAATGCACACTTCAGTCACCAACTAAAAGAATTAAATCAATCCTCTCTGATCTAGGATGTTTTCATTTTCGACAAATTTCTGAGATTTTTTTTTATTTTAACTGACAAAAAATTATAACTAGTTGTTAAAGTTGGACTAATATGACAGCTATGTTGAAGAGAAAACACAACTTTAACGTAACTTTTTGGGGAACACCCTGTAGAACTCTCTATATTTTTAAGAAATACTCTAAATTAGCCTACATATGCTCACAAAATTTCATTTCAATAGAAACTGTCGTTCTTCTTGGAGCCTCCGTGTCATATGAGAGGCGCCGCGCCACCCTGTATTTTTGAACTAAATCTTTCATCCTCTCTAACTTTATATCCCTTATAGTGTTTCTCAACTCATATTAGAACTTCTTTCTCAGTTTTATAATATGTACCATCATCACTCCAAGCTTACAACATTAAAAAAATATATATTTTACACTTAACCTTTCACGGTTCTCTTTCCTTCAATATACTTTTTCAACCCATACTAATTGGAACTTATTTATTGCACGTTATACACTACATTACTTTCTATATACGTAGGAAATAAAATATTTCTCAATTTTTTCGAAAATTCACCAAGCGACTTGATGAACAGTGTTATTCCCGGGAGAATATTGACAATTTACTAGTTTCCGATCTTTCACAGTATACACCTACCAACAGTAATCTGTCTTTTTAAATTTAAGCGTTCTTCTCCAGAGCGTAGAGAAAATACCATCTGTCCAATCGTTTGTTGCTACATCCAATCTCCCAAACATTTGTGGTGCAGTGATAGCCTAAATTGTATAAAAAAGATTTCAATAAATAGCAGCGGAACAAGTTTAATTCAATTTATACTTTGGGATTCATCCTTAATTCTCTGTGGGGCAATCCAGTTTCCGTCATAGCTTTCATTAAGGTGTGCATGCACTTTGTTTTCCCGGCACCAGTAGGGCCTAAATTTTCAAATACGATTTCATTTATTCCGCAATGAAAATATAAACTTTATTTACCAAGCACCATTAAACCGTGCCTTACAAGAGACGTTTCATACAATTGAACGACTTTCAAATTCCATGATGGATAATTAATTATACCAATGTCAATGCAAACGTTCGTAACGGCTTTCTGTAGGTCTTTCCAGGCGTACGTAGATAATTTAATGCCCGGAAACATATCTTCTATCAAGGATAAGAACAACGGTTCATCTTCGTCTATTAATTTACTTAAATTCATATCCCTAAAACAAAAAATAATATGTAAAAAAAATCGTCGGTATTGGGATGACTCAAATAAAGGTGTGTAGTTCGAGAACAAACTAGTTCCAATGAACTATTCCGACCCTGGAACGAAAGGAACTAGTTCCCGGTTTCTCAAAGGACTAGTTTCTCAGGACCTATTGCGGGGAGCGATATATAATAATATGCGACGGCGCACAGTGTAACGAAAACTAAAATAGTGAGACATTGGCATTTTTCTTCAGTTATCACTATTCTTGCTGAAATTTTTTGACAGAAATTAAATAATACGACTAGGAATTTTTGCTACAGGGCGAAAAGAAAAAAAGGCGTAATGGAAGGTCAAAAAAAATACGAAGTTTTATAAAAGGACTTTACAGGTATATTTTTTTTTATTTACGAAGAGTTTATAGCTCTTAAGGGCCAAAAACGTTATCAAATTACTGCCGAACAATCATTTCTCTCCCGCTAATATGTCAAAACTCAATCAACATTCCTAAATATTCAAATAATCAGGGATAAATTAGATAAGACTGCAAAACTCAAAAAGAACGACACAAGTGGCAAATATATTTTAACAGTATTAAATAATATGATAATATGCGAAAAAAATGTATTCAACTTCAACAAAGGAAACCATAATACACACCTCACAAAAAATTTCGCAACACTTATATTTTTCGTAGTATTTATTCTTGAAACGCTTCAAACATTTTTATGTGAAAAACTTAAATCTAAGGTCTGGCCTGAGTTATGATACACTTTCCATTCCTTAACAAGTTGCTATTAATGCAAATAACTTTTGAGATTATTGTTAACCAAGAGAATTTAAGAATACTTTGCAGTTTTCCAAATTAATAAGTGTTGCGATAATTTATGTGGGGTGTATATTATCCCAAAATAACATAATATGTAAGGCACTTACTTAAAACATGCTTAAAAATCATTCTCAATTTCTTCTCCATCCATATACAAGAGCCCTTTCGCTTCCGGAAACAAGTCTACTTTTTTATTTTTAGAGTGGTTTGGTCGCAGATGTGAAAGTAGAGGATCTGAATATATCAATAAGTTGTGCAATATATCTTCAATAGTTTCCTTACGACCACTCTTCCTGGAAAAAATTTGGCGGGACGATCGAAATTCTTTGTTTCTTGATTCAGATGCTTCTTCGGACATTTTGCCGATGGGTATAATTGAAAACGTTCACAGATATTTGCACCATGAATTAAAAGCATATGAATGCTTGAAGGCATATAATACCAACCGTAAAGGGAAACAAATAGTTCTGCTGTCTCTTTCATGTCACCAAACTACGGTCGAATCAATGGAAAACGTAATTATTACCAAACAAATTAATTTTTTTCTTCCAGGTTCGGATCTAGGTGGATGAAATTTATATGTAACAGTATACTAGAAGGATCACTCTATGATATTTTGTATATATAACCTTGCACGAATGTAAGCGTTTTTTTGAAAGCCATAATAAACATGTACAAACTAGACTTGAAAAAAATTGGCACATTTTTTTCAGGTTTGTTGTTGGTAAAAGACCTCTCTTTACGGAAAAAATTGTTGGAATTGAACAACACAAGGAAACTTCTGAAAATATTAAATTTCATTGTATGAAATTTTTGTACAGATTTGGTACATTAAGGAAACCATAACTTTAACCCGCCATAACTCCCCGACTAAGAGGTCAACTCAAGAAATATCTCACATGGTGGAGGTCTGTGATGTCCTTTATCCATCTATATATAAAACTTGATAAATTAATTTTTTTGTTTTTTTGGGCTAATGTCCAGCATTTCCCGATTTCGTTACACTGTGCGGCGGCGGATCGGCCAGCGCAATCGTAGCTCGATGCTATGCGGGAGTGGGGAGTGCCAGCCGTATGATATCGGTACCGGACCGAGAGGAACTAGAAGAACTAAATAAAAGACTATGTCACGTACGGATCGGCCAGCGCAATCGTAGCCCGATGCTAGGCGGGAATAGGGAGTGCCAGCCGTATGTTACCGGTCCCGGACCGAACTAGACTAGACTAAGAGGAACTAGTTAAAATACTAGTTCACGGGAATCTATTCAGATATAATACAAGGCGACAACGATGGATCCGGTCTTGTCATTGCCGCAGCCGAGCCGGCGTAATTACCACAAAAAATTGTCGTGGATACTGTTTTTAGTTTTTAGAATGTTCTTTGAATATTTTATAGGAACGTTTCACTATAGGTTCCTAAAATTAAGAAATATCTTATGAAATGAAGTAGATATTCTGACTTTTTAGATTAGAACAAAAAGATTGAAGTGAAGAAAAATGCATTTTTTGGTAAAATAAGACAGAAAACGAAATAATAAAATATTAAATATTTTATTATTTGCGCAAATCGATTTATGATATAGTTTTTTAAACTCTGATTTGAGTTTCTTTTTTAATTTTTTGTTTTTATCTGCAATAAAACTTGCAAGGAACTAGAATTCCCACCTCTAGACTCAAATGAAACAATATAATCTGTGCGACGTTTCGCGACTATATTGTCTTTGTTTGACATTATTTCCTTATAGTGTGGGCGGTTCGAGTCGCCATGAATTACTTTTGTAGGCAGTTGGAATGGAACTAAATGTTTTAGGTTAGCGTTTCATTCGATTTTTTTTATTTGAGAGTTGCTCGCTGGAAATAATACCGGTAACCATATAAGTAACCGGTAAAAGTAATCGGTACAAAAATATCACTATAAGTTATAGTTGCAACACAAAGTATATGCTACAAAAATAGTTTTGCAATATCGATTTTAGTTTACAAAAAATATACTATATACAAAGTTTTAATCAGCTCCCAACACAAGAATAAAAAGAATTGATCAGTATAAATTTATACTGGGTATCCTATTTAACAAATACATATTGTTTTGTAGCAGACCCAAAACAAACCCCTATAATAGATATACATGTTTAACAACTGCCGTATAGAATTAGATATTGCTTGACAAATAAGTTTTTGAAAAGACGTCGTCCACCCCATTTGGATTGTACCATCCAAAAATCAGGACCCAGATTACCTCAATACTCTCATTACAATGGTCTCTTCTGTATCAGAAGGATGACTTCTTTTCTGCGCACCAAGAGTTCTTAAAACAGACAGGATATTTCTTAGTCCAAAATCGTAATGGACCTGCTTTGATAGTTGTTCCTCGCACAACTGATACAACGTATAAAACTTCCTAGACAAGATAATGTTCTCTTTAAAACCACAAGATGCCATTTTAACCCTAATAATAATCTGTCTATCCGGTACCATCATTGCCACACTCCTAAACATAATTTTTAAGTTTTCAGGTAATTCTTGACGACCGGCATATCCAGGATTCATAGTCAAGAATATTCCAAATTCTATATTCATGCTGACGTGATCACCGTCCCTAAAATATTGTATTGACAGTATTCTTATGACACTTTTTATTAAAATATAAAAACGTACATAAAGATAAACACCGCTTTCCGTTCTTTTCTTGCCTGAAGTACGATATAGATCTGTTGGGCAGCCACGGATAAGACAGGGAGATCGATTCGATTGAATTCATCAAAACAACCCCAAGTACCAGACTGCGCTAATCCCTAAAAAAATCAAATATTTAATTTTAGAGTCGTTCCATAAATCGCATAGTCTGTCCAGCGAGAGAAGGGGATTTCAACAGGCAACATTCAAAAATCTACTTTTCAATTAAAATGACAAAGAACTAAGGATACTTTCACTGTCATATATTCTCTCATTGGGGAAACTATCCTTTAAATTTCAGAAAAATATTGTAGGTGTTTCCCTACTGCAAAAGAAATCTAAAAAAATACTCATTGGAAAATGCAAATGGGTTAGATCCAAAGGAGAACAAACCAACAAAAACACTTAAGGCGGGAACGTATTTTGATGCGGTTGTGTCGCATCGCAAGCTGGAGCCTGATTCTGTATCTCTTCCTGCATTTTCTACTGATTCGATCTCTTCTATAGTTACAGAACAAGGCTAATAATTGAGAAGCGACGGGAGCACGATCGCCTAATTTGATATACAGGGTGAGTCTTAAATAAGTGAAAATAATTTCAGGACTGATGGATCCAACAAGTCCAAAAATTTTTTTTTTCTAGTAAATTTAATATACTACCTATGTTGCCTGTTATAAAGATATTATATTTTTAACTGATAATTTAAAAATGTTTACAATAAAATTACCAAAATTACCAAAATTTCATTTTTCACGAAAAAAAACCTCGTAAATATATTCCTGGATTCGAAATATATCACCCATAAAAATATTTGCACTTATTTAAGACTCACCCCGTACATAAAAGTTAAAATAATATTTTATTTGATTTTTATTTTAGTTTTATCTCTTAATTGTTTCCTTTCTTTTTGTTTTTTTTTTGGAAACAATAGCTTCTCTCTTAAGGGGAGGGCAAATTGTAACAGATTATTTTCTTGCTTTAAATTCGATCTTTTGGAATACTAGTTTTAGATAGGGCCCTTTTCAATAAAGGAAGTTGTAAAGCAAACATCTCCAAAATATCTTTCTGTCTGTTTATACTAAAACTTTATTATCTGTTAAAATTCCGAAGCTATCTAAATAGACAAAAGGAATTAACAGTATAACTCTAAAATGGACAAACAAATATCATCTAGCAGTAAGAGGTTCGACAAGTGTCAAACTGACCAATCCAAGAGGTACTGGTACCTTCGGTGATGACGTTATTGGCTATGCAGGGTTTGGAACTGCTTACCAACCCTTAGGCCGGACTGGAAAATAGATAATAAAGTTAGTTCGGTTTGAATTTTTGAAAGATAGGGTTCGCGAAAAGTAGTAAAGTTCCACGATGTGATTCTTATAGTTTTTCTCTAAATCTCAGTATCTACAAGCCTTAGTTAACGCATAATGGTTCAGTTTATTTATTATTATCTTATTTCAGGTAAAACCAGATACCAGACCTTTTCTTGTATCACTCCTTCTATATTTTAATAATAAAATATAAACTTCTATTGTCATTTCTTCATTATCTTTATTTATTATTAAGTGTTATCGGGCGTTTTATGTCACTAAGAACAACAATATGTGCTTAAACATTATATGATTAAGATCATCATGATCGGGCATAGTAACTTGCAGAGATAAAGAACAGACCAGCAAAAGCAACATATTTTTAGGCAGATATTTAAGTAAAAAGGGCGTAAAAAGTAAATTTGAGAGTATGTTAAAGTAGAATTGTGTCTGACATTATCAATACAAAACATTAGATATACGCCCCAAAGATTCGGTGAACTTTTTATCCAGACTACCGCTAAAATATAAATATTTATATCATAATTATATCAGGGTCACGCTACTCAGAACAAGAGATTAATCTCCTTTTTTTTACAGTATAGACATTATTTGTACCTTAAATATTCTGCCGAGTCCTCTGAAATCCATTTGATCCGAGCAATTAAATACGACAACGAATTTGCCCAGAGTTCTTCCCATGTCCTTAGTTGTCTCAGTTTTTCCAGTTCCTGCTGGACCAGCGGGAGCACCACCCATGTTGATCCCTAATAAAATCGATATGTGAATCCATGAATATAAATGCATATATTCTTTAATGCCGAACGCTCTAAACTAGTGTGCGCTTTTTTGGTCCGAATGTTTACAGCTTTATTACGACAAAGAATGTTTAATACTAACTAAATTTTTATGTGTTTTTTAATAAATAATTTTTCAAAAATTACTACAGCATGGTAACATTATATTGACAACATATTTTAATACTCCTAGAAGTATTAATTCTATGATATAGTTAGATAGCAATATAAACGGGAAATAAAATTAAAAAAATGATATACAGCCAAATAGAACCATATGATTTTTATAGAATTAGAAATTTTGGCGAAAACACGTTTATCGGGTTCAAAAATATAGCAATAAGGTTTCGACATAGTACCTTTTGCCATAAAACCACGGAGATATGACGTTAATAAAAAATTATTATATCCATCTAACAAAGAATGAAATCGAAATTATATTACCATAGAAACGCCTTTTGATTTTTATTAATTCAAGCATATTTTCAGGTTTTTTAAATTTTCTCTAAAACGGTAGGTATAGGAATTTCGAAAAGTATAAACGGGATTAACCATTTTAGAAAAAGGAAAAATTTTTATGAAGAATACATTTTTCTGAAAATATCAATAATAAAAAAGTTTTTTTTTCCTCCTCTAATCAGGGAACATATTGTAGAGTAACTTTTCAGACTCTCCATTTTTATTTCTAGATAAATTCTTTATGTTATGTGCAAAAGATCTAAAACATTTTCGTTATAGTTAAAATTAGACATTTTAAATACGATGTACTTAAAAAGCCGTTAAACGGTAGCCTACTAAAATGCCGTTAATAGATATTGAGACGTCGTTCATGTCGGTGGAAGGTAATGCTTGGCTATAAGCATTTTGCAAGAGCACCTATGGCTCTGTGGCTGAGGCTATCGCTTCGTGAGCGAATGGTCCGGGGTTCAAATCTCACGCCGACCAAGACTTTTTCATATTTTTTTTTGCTAATAGCGTGATCTTATTGCATTGGTTTCACTCTTTTTGGTTGGATTGGTTGAGTTATTTGGCGGGTTGGTTAGCGTGGTTATTTGGAGGGTGTTAATTCATTGGTTAGTTAGTTATTTGGTGGGGTTGGTTGGTTTTTACTAATTTATATTTGTTTTTTAAATTTTTTTATCAATGTCGAGGTTAGTTGCGTTGGTTATTTGGTGGGGTGGATAGCGTTGGTTAGTCCTTATAAAATTCCTATATTTCATAAAGCCGTCAAGTGCGTCACATCAACGACGTCATACCTAATAACGGCATTTTAGTAAGCTACCGTTTAACGGCAGTTTAAGTACAACCTTTTAAATATACAGTTTTCTGTTCCAAAGAAAAAAACCAGCTATATTCAGCAATAAACTCACCACAAGAGTATAGATATGCATTAATAAAAAATGAATTTAGGTTACATCATATCGTAAAAAAACAACATAAAATTTATAAGAGTACACACTAGTATAGTAAAGACCACGAATGTTTGGGAGTGATTCATCGGTCGCTACCATGTGAACTAATCTGTTCAAGGTCACATAAAACTTAATTCCAGTGCCGTGGTGTTTCAAGTCATATAATAATCAATATATAATCTGTTGTAATTTGTTGTTGTAACTGTCAAAGTCTTGTCAAAACATATATTTGGTTATAAATATAAAATGGAATGCCCCATTGGTCGCATTGCAAGCACACCAATGAACTGACGCACAAAAACGAATCAATCAAAGAAACGCGATATAGTATCGTCTTTGTCAATCACGCTAACATTTTAGAATAAGTAGGAGGAGCGCAGGCAGATGATTAGACCGGGCCTTTAAAAACCTACGTCTGCGGTAAGAATTTACGTTTTTAATGTAAAAATGATAGCGCGCGTGTCGATTCTAACTTCATCAAGCGATGAATCACTCCCAAACATTCGTGGCGTTTACTATACAAAAGGTTCTGCAACAAACAATCCTTAACTTACATATTGCTTGAGCCAGAGTTATATAACATCGATCGGTTAAAGGAGTGATAGCCAAACGTTCGGTAATTCCAAGGTATTCATTCTGATATAGAAATATGACGTCGGTAATTCGGACAATAACGTCATCATTTTCAATATTGTAATAGAAGCGACACTGAGCCTGCCACTCAAAATCTAATAAAGACTTGACTCGCAATTTACAGATATTGTCGAAAATATCCCTGAAATATTAGTCATAGTATATTTGTGAACAATTTAGGTATAATATCATCTAAAACCTTTGGTGAACATGAATAGTGACCATCGTTTCATAGTGCGTTCTCAGCATTTTGCTTAAGTCCTTGGATGTTAAATCAATTAGAGAATTAAGTAAATCTAGGAATCTTTGATTGGTTATACGCATTGCCATTTTGTCCACTCGAGCTCTTTTAATTGCAATCTCAGCTTCTTTGGTCCATAACACCTGGATACCCACCAAAGCCGCCTAAAAAATGTTTTGTAATACGACGTGTAGAGCAGGAATATAAATAGTGATGCAGTGTTCCAAAAAAGCTCCATACCAAATTCTCTACAGGGCAGTTGAAATGCGACTGTTTTACGGTTTGCTACTAAAAGGCGCACCAAATTTCTCAAAACTACACATGTCAATAACACGACTGTTGAACGCGACCAAAACGCTGGAATGCTGGATTAGACGCAGTGCTGAGACTTAGTAAAAAAACTTGAATTATGCGGCTTTTTTTGTGAGAGCTACCGGCGCTGCGTTAATAAAGAGATGGCTATGTACGTTAATCGAAAGGCAGTATTTGCGATAGTCTATTGTTTACACGGAGTATAGAAAATTTTTGCCACAGCTTGTTTACTGCCAGTAGTATTTGTGTGTTTTTTAAATCATTTATTATTAAATAGAGGGAAATGCGACAGACAAAAAAGGTCAAAAGTTAGTAGAAATCCAGATAAATGGAAGTGATTTCCAAAAAATCTCGTGACGAGGTAAAATTACAGTCTATTGTGGCTATGATTGACGTACATAGTCATCTCTTTATTGCGCTACCAGAGCTGCGGGTAGCTCTCGCAAAAAAAGCCGCATAATTCAAGTTTTTTTTAAGCTAAAACAATGCAATATTTTGAAAAAAGAACTACATTATAACCAGGAGATATCGGCAATGATAATGTTCTTGTCATTTGATCAAAGTTCAGAATTTATTTTCTGTAAAAATAGCACTAAAACTAAAACCAAAGCTAAAAACGGCGAGCGTTGTACTGACCATTTTTTTATTTATACTCGTTATTACTGCTAGCATAAACCGATAGACCTAAATTTTGAATATGTTGTAACTAAATGTATAACTAATTAAATGATAGTATTCATATCTGTCAGTTTTAAAATTTATAACAGAGATTTTTATGTCAAAGTTATAATATGCTCGGGCAATGTAAACAAATCGAAAATATACAAATGCAGTCCATGTTATTTAATATACAAATAATGAATAGTGGTACATAAGATAATGGGTAAAATGTAAAATATATATATTTTAAATTTTGGGGTTTGAAAATCGATCTACCCTATCTTTACAGCACCCTGTCAATTTTCCTAAAACGTTATGTTTCGTTCAGAACCATGTCTCATGATCAGTTTGTTTTTTGACTCATGTCAACAATGTTTACTTAATTTTTAAACTAAAATGAACTTGCCACAAGATGTTATTCATATATTTTTTTAAGTAATTATTGTTACCACAACTGTCTAGCCGGTGTGGACTCGACCTAACCTCACGATATGGCCCGCCCTCGGAAACATTTGCTGCATATCGTAGACACCGCATAGTTCATCGTTCGAGAAGTATCGATTACCCATAAATGGGGTATGTATATACGATATATATATATATATACCTATATATATATATAACGATCTATATACTATATCTAGATTTCTTTATGTAGGTATAAATATACAGCAGTAAATGGAAGTGAGTTCATAAATATACAGTTGACGAGCTAAAATTACAAAATAAATTCTTAGTTATGATCGTTTGTAAATAGTTCTATAAGTCGTTTATCGTTATTAGTTTTGTTAATTAGTGTTAAATAAATAGTGTTTAAATAAATTGTGACTTTCTATCCACACGGAACCGACGAAAACGTAACAATTGGTGTCAAGTGTGGCGTGTGATAGACTAGAAGAATGGCTCTGAAAAAATTGTTGAAAGACTTGAAAGTGTCGAACTGAAATGCATATTGGAAGAGAGAGAGAGAGAGTGCGAGACAGATGGAAAGAAAAAGCATTTTGCAAGCTAGACTGAGAGACGTTTTGGTGGAAGAAGGTGAGGATCCTGACACATTTACTTCAAGCTGGAAGGTGAAACAATGCACTATTCATTGAAAAATTTACTACAATTTAAACAGACAATTTGAATGATAATGTTCTTGTCTTTTGATTAAAGTTAGAAGATAAAATCAGTGATAAAATAGCAGAGAATTCTCAAAACCAAAGACAGTTTGAAAGATAAAATTATGGCGAAATTCCAGGATTTAATTAGTATTTATAGAGGATAAAATCATAGAATAATTCTATAGACCTAAATTTTGACAAATACTGTTGTAGAAGAAATGTATAACTAATTAAATTATAGTATTCATATCTACAGTTTTTAAAGATTTATAACAGAGATTGAGGAAGATGTAAATAGAATATGCTCGAAAATTTAAACAAGAAATAGAAAAGGCCAATAGTCCAAAATGTCAAGAAACATCGGAGGCGCTAAAACTCATGAAAATAAGTATATCTCAAAGTCAACACGCTACGATAATTATTAACCACAGTTTGACGGAAAAACCGCTTGGGCCAATTATTTTTGCCAGTTTGAGGCCGCTGCGAGAGTTTGAACGGATGGACAATCGCTGAAAAGGTTACTGCTTTGACTGTCGCACTGCGAGGATGCGACTGATATCGGTGCGTCGCTGTCACCATACGGAACAGCCCGAGATTATCAGTAATTGGTACGTTGTGTAGAAAATCCGGACGCTCAAGCTCATTTGGAACATGTTATCATTCCCAGCTTATTAAACAGCATTAAAAGAAGAGTGAGTCTCTGCAGGAGTCTTTACAGCACTCTGCAGGAAGCCGACGTAGCCGTTATGTTCGCCTTCAGTACCCTGTCTACGCCAGAGAATGTTTTGGAGCTCATGGCAGTACAGGCTTTTATTGATGGTTTACGTACAAAATGAACAAGGCAAACATACTTTTTTGCTCATCCATAATAACAAAGTAGATGCCCTAGCACGTGCCCTGGAATTTGAGGCCGCGAAAGAATGCTCAAAAGTCTCTATCTTTTGATGATGGCCAAAATGATGGATATTCGGACGATTCTTGAAGAGGATTGTGCAAAAAGTACTGGATCAGTATATGAGCAGAAGGGGGACCGATTCGCTGTTGGAATTGTGGACAGATGGGAAATCGGCAAACCGAAGATCTTGCAAATGACCAAATCAGTGATCCAGAGTTGGGCTTGGTCATTAACTGGAAAAACGCGGACCAGAGACCAACGTGGAGGAAGTTTGCAGATATTCGCCGAACGTGAAGTCGTACTGGTCCCAGTGGAATTCATTGGTAATAGATAACGGATTACTTCGCCGTGTGATTGAGAGACCAGAGGGACAAGAAGAGAGAAGGCAGATCGTCATTCCAAAGAAGAGGGTCCCGGAAGTCTTGGCGGAAGTTCACAATGGAACCAGCGGTGGACTTCAGTATGGGAGGCTTAAAAGACACTTGGCAAGCTGCGTGAACTGTTCTACTGGGTGAACTGCAAATCGTTCAAATGTGATAATCCTGTGGTAAGAAATGTGACATCCTGACACTTGGCTGACATTGACCACAAACAGTTCGTGGTAAAATATTATGCGCCATCAACAAATAATTTAAGTTTTTTATTCGAACGATTCTACGATCGACGTGGCCTGGTCCTTTCCCCGGAGACCTGAAGCCTGCAGTACAAATTACATTGTTATAAATAATGGATTATCGATCAAGAAATGAGGAATAGGCCTACGATATGCCAAATCAAGAAAACGATTGCTGAAAATGTATTAGAAAACATTGACTCGTCCACAAATTCGTGAAAATAAATTAGTCCAGATGTTTGTAAAAAGGTCTCTAATTATTTTGAGAAGTTTCCTCGTAGTAATTTTCAGGTTTGTAATATGTATGTGATAATAAATAGATTAAAACTTATATTTCAGGAAACAGCGTGGGCATTACAGATTGTTGTAAATCCAGTTTTTCAAAATATAATGAAGGTTTAAAACAGGTTTAAAAAGTTGAGTTAGTAGAGAAGACCTAAATAAGGTAATGTTGGTAATGGGGGACCAAAGATCAAATAACACTTGAAATATTAATTGTAAGTAGTTTTATGAATCTGTTTGATATCTATTGCATTGTTTTATATTTTTTGAAATATATATTTTTTTTACTTTTACAGGATACACAAAGAATAATAAAAAATACAGTTACTCACTAGAACCACTCAACCGTTATTTGGCCAAAGTAGTTCCTGACCACCAAAGACCAAGCCAAACCAAAAATTACCTGTTCCTGTTTTACCGGTATTCCGTCCAAGATTCCAAGGGCAAAGTCCAGCCAGCATCGTTAAGCAGAAGGACATTGTATAGTACCTTGTGATCTGAAGTTTGGTTGCCGACCGGGAGAAGATGTCGCTGGAAGATTATGTCCACAGACTACGTCAAAGGATGGACGACATCCATCAGCGAGTCCGCTTAAATATTCAAAGCGCTAGTGACCGAATGAAGGAGCACTACGACATTCAAGCTAAGCATGGGGGATACCAACCAGGGGAATTTGGTGTGGCTGTACAACCCGCAGAGACGTCGTGGATTATCTCCGAAGCTACAATCTCGTGGGAAGGCCCATACGAAGTCATGGATAGGATTAATGACGTCGTATACCGTATCAGAAAATTGCCAAAAGGGTAGTCCATTTCAACCGTTTGAGCCCCTACCAAGGCGAAATAGAAGATCGTGCTGGGACCGTGAGAACCTGCAGCTTTGATCCCCCTGATTCGAGATGTCCTTTGACGATTTCATGGCCCGATACAACAGCAGTGAGAAGGCTCGCTATGGGTGTAAATTCAAAGAAGATCAACGAGACCTCTTTTCCGTGCCTCCTGATTATTCGCTCATTGTGTGGCTCGAGATTTGCGGATGTCCAGAGGAATCGCTGCGACGTTCAATGAGAAGTTTGGGCGTGTCGGAGAACTACGCCGACAGGATCCAGAGGTTGGAAGCGTCTTGAGGCTAACCGACAATGCACATGGTCAAGCAAGGCACATCTTCTACCTGGTCACCAAAGAATGGTCCCCGAGTAAGCCGACTTATCTCAATCTATGGAAGACCCTGATTGAACTGAGAGAAGCCCTGCTAAACAACAACATTGCACGATTAGCCATTCCGAAGCTGTGGACGCGATGGTTTGAGTTGGCGTAAAATTTAGTACATGATTCCAAGTCTATAGTTCAGATTTACATAATCGAGATCCTGTTTCTGGCATACAAAAATAAGCTAATATCGGGAGACAAACATTTACTGCTATTTCTACCAGACTTCGCACAAATGTACCAAAGGGCCAGCTTTGCAAATATTCTGATTATTAAAGTTAGCATGGATGATTATGTATGTTTTATTTTTTAATAAAGTATATTTAATGAGTTTTTGAGTATTTCTTTTTCCCTCAGAGGATTGTGTTCTAATCTTTATATATACATTTTCATAAATTATATTTACAAAATTTATTACCTTTTATAACTTTTGATAAAGACTTTGTAGTTGGATACAGTTTAACAGTATATATTATTATTATTATAAAAAACTATTTAAATAAGATGTTTGAAAATATATAGCTGTTTTTGCACACATTAATTCAATTTGTGATTAACAGTTCTGAAATAAAATGCCTAAGAAGGGGGCAGTGTTGCGAGCCGGTGTGGACTCGACCTAACCTCACAATATGGCCCGCCCTCGGATGACCTTTTTTAACATCGCATAGACACCGCAACGATTCATTCGTTCGAGAAGAATCGAGACCCACTAGAATGGACTAGTACATACGAGAACATTCGAAATATTCTTATGCGCCTAATCTTGGACTATTCTAGATTTCTTTTGATATCAAGTATAAACAGCCGGCGGCAAATTCACTTCCTATAGTTATAACGTATACAGTTGACGCGCTATAATTCACAGGGGAGTTAATATTCTTAGTTATAAAGTTTGTAAATAGTTCTATAAGTCGTTCTCTTCGGATATTAGTTAAAATACCTTTAGTCTTAAATAAATAGTGTTTAATAAATTATGACTTTCTATCCATGACAACCGACGAATAACGTAATTTTAATTGAATATGGTTTTCCCTGAAAAAGATTGTTAACCAAAGTCATTAATCTTTTGATGATGGCCAACGCCAACTGAATATTCATTTAAAAAATTGACCAATTTTTTCGTAACTAGGTCACAATATTGAGGAACTTTTTAACGATATGAACCGACATCTACAGACAGTTAGGTATAGCAGCCGGGGGAGACAATACAAAGTATTAGAGTATTATTTACAAGTTTTTGTTTGTTTGTACACTTAGTTTTTACAGTTACTATTTTATAATAATATCCTAAGTTCTGTTAGTGTTACTAATATTTATTAAAACCAAGCCTGTATAACTAACTTTTTACCGTTTTTTAAATTTTAATACTGTTATACATATATAGTTATTTTAATAGAGTTCTAGTCAGATATTAAAAATTAACATCACAAAGTAATGATAGTTGAAAAAATTGCAAATTGTTGGTGGCAAGTTCATTTAGGTCTTAAAAAATTAACCAATTTGTTGACATGAGACAAAAAACAAAATGCTCAGGAGACATGGTTCTGACAAAAAAATAATGTTTTAGGAAAAGTTACTCATGAAATTATTGCACAGGGTGTTTTAATGTTAAGGTAGAAAACAATCCTTCAATTAACCCTGTATAATCAGCCAAACACTAAAGTTAATAAAAAAACTGAGTTTACGAATAAAAGTTGATAGGTTTATATTCAATTTCATAAAAAAATCACGAAAATCGAACTGAAATTAAAAAAATATAAAACTTTAAATTTGGCGAAAAAAATCTCCGTTGCATTTTTTTTTCATCTGAGTGTATTTTTAGAATACAATTCTCTTGAATGGATATTTTATGACAAATTCACTGAAATGCAAAATACTATTATTGCATATAAAAAACAACTTTAGTGTAAATATAAATTTAAATCACCCTGTATACCTACAAAAATATTTTTGAAATGTGCTCTGTATGCTCTGTATTGCCCACCTGCGTTACAAAAATATTGGAATGAACATATCAAGTAGGAAACTTGACATAAAGATTTTTCGTAATACTGAGTATATTAAATATATTTAAAACAATTATTTATTTGATTAAAACTCTCTATTTTTATAGTTTTAATCAACTGCTGATGATGGTAACATGGTTAGCAAAACGAGCGTCTAGTGCAAAAGTAAAGTGTTTTTGTGTATTGTGGTGAATTAATTTTTTATTTTAATATTAAGCTTACCTGTCCACAATAGGCAGTCATTCCGGTAATAAAATCATAATCTGGATCAACCAGACATTGCGCTTGGGCGGCAATAACTCCTTTCACCGTTTCCCGAACCATAAAAAGTAAACTGTTCAACCAGAATTCAACACCGCCTTGGCAAACGACGGGTTTTTCAAAAACTACTTTCTCGCCAAGATTGGAATTCATACATACTATAGTATCGATTTTCTTTTCATCAAAATCAACCTAAAAAAATATAGTAGAGAGCCTATTTCAATCGCAAGTTCAATAAAATACGGTAGTTTGACACAAAGATACTGTATGATCGAATAAAAACGGCGTCAGCGATGGCTATGAAATGAAGATCGCTGTCATTTTATATGTAAAATTATATGGGAAATGTCATCGATCGTCACTCCATAGCCATCGCTGACGCCGTTTTTATTCGATAATACGGCATAATTTTGAAATTGTCAGGGTATATCTTTGAATAAAACGATTAAGGAAGGAGCATATCAAAAAACCTCAAGCGAAAAAGCTCGAGCGCAATGGGGACCAAAAAAGGCCGACTTAAATTCCGGTTTATCAGTGCCCTTCTAATTTTACTCAAAACTAAGTAGTATAGCTAGCGGGATACTAAATCAATTTTTGCTCGATAGCATGTTTTCCATCAGCATCGATCCATGAGCCGAAGAAGTATTGACCTTGATTAATTTGAAGGTTATTTCTAAAGAAATAATTCTTGTGTGTGTAGTCCTTGTATGGTAAATACCAGAGACTGTTGAAAAGAGCTTTAATGTAATGGTGTTTAATAAATTGTGCATATTGCCTCCCCACATATACCCATAAAATATTTTGTTTCTACATTTTTCCGTTTTCGTATAATCAACCGAGGCAAATGAGGTGCGCCACCCTGTATATCTATCCACTTTGTCTGATGAACATCACTGTATAAATTGAAATTGACATGTATGCTGTGATTTTGATTCACCCTGCATAAGTAAATCACTTTTTAGGGAAACATCAAATTAAAAAATTACATATAAAACATTTACGAGTAGTAGAAAGAATTTTTCCTCTCAAATTTTAGTGGTTTCAAACAGTAGATATTTATTTTCCTTACCGAATATACAGCGTCAAACAAACTGAGCAGATGAGCTTGTATAGAGGTTGGATCCGAACTCTGACCAAGGATTTCTAAGAGCACCGGATCGGAGATGAAGAAGAAACGTGGGAAACATAATCTTTTGGACTCTAAAAAGCATAACTTGATGTCATTAATTTTTATTTGGTTATGAAAATGTAGTTTTAGCCTACCCAAATATCCAGTTAAACTCTTCTGACAAGTTTCGAGTTGTTCCAAAAGATGAGGTAATAACTGACCCATAGTTTCATCCCCAGTACAACATTCTACAGCGTTTGGTATCTCATGAGCTCTGGTCATTATCTTTATCCACGATTTGTCGATGTTCTAAAAGAAATACACATTAAGGTGATGTTCAGCGAGCGACTTATATGGTTTTTTTTACATTAAATCGTTTGGCTTCTTGGGGCAACTGTCTGGCTATATCACCTCCAACAAAAACAGCTTCAAGATATACCCACAAATTTTGTACGATCAACCATCTTTCAAGAATCTCCGATGTAGTCACAAGCTTGTGTACCCAAAGCTGAATATCCTTCTTGAATGGGGCGTTGTATCTAAGATGTAGTTTAATTTTTTTTTTAACTAGATTAATTTATTAATTTAAACTAAAAGCACGTTCATATTCGCACCGCTGCACAGTGGATCGACCTAATGCAATTTGCTGGACATTCAGCAATTATGCAAAATTCCTAACTTGAGACACTTTTTTGAATGAATGTTTTCTAAGATATTCAAATTTGTTAAAAATAGTCATAACTTTATTATAGATAACTTTCGACTACATCGATGTCTGGTTTTTCAAAAATGTGCATTTTAAACAAATCGCTGTAACTTTTTTGCTACGGAAAATTTTGTATTTTTATGAAAACAATTCCAAAGCAGCTTTTTACGTAGAATTTAATGGTTTAAGTATAATTTTTTAAAATTAATAATTTAAGTGTTATCAACAGAAAAATTGATTTTTTATTTAGGACACTCTATATGTTTTTAATTACGAGAACTTAAAATTACCTTTCCAAAAATATAGCACACTTGATATTTTGTTATAGTCCCCTTCGAAATACAAAATTTTTAAAAGTTCGCCACATTTAACTAGTAGGCTTTGAACAGCTTTGGACACCGCCTCAGAACGCTGAAGTTATCAGCAATTTTTTTCAGTAAAATTCGCCGGACTTAACGCCTATGGATTTTTATCAGCGAAGAATAAAGGTTCTTATTTTTATATTGCCCCTATAATCTAGACAAGAATTAAAAGTACTTAGCGGTTATGCGAGAGTATCTTTCACCCTCACTGAGTTAATGAATTTCGCGAGAAATGTTCAAAAACAGTCCCGGCTGTCCATAACAGAAGACGATCGACATGTCGAATACCCGTGGCAATATCTCATGTCTTTTGGTTTGCTATTTATTTTTATTGTTATTAGATATAGCTTAAATGTGTTGATGTTGTTAAATATAGTTTAAATTGTTATAAAATTCTGCATATCTCATTGGAAATATTATTTTCGTTTTAATTGCTGCTCACAGATAGATTTTTTTGCAATACAGGCCGGCGCAGTTCAAAGCCTACTTATTTAAAGTGGGGAAATTTAAAAAACTCCATATCTCGAAGAGGAATAGAGCAAAATATCAAGTATGCTATATTTTTGAAAAGGTAATTTTAAATTGTTCACAATGAATTAAAAATATACAGGACGTCCCATAAAAAATCAAATTTTCTGTTGGTGTTTCTTAAATTATTAATTTAAAAAAATATATAATTAAACCATTAAATTCTACGTAAAAAGTGTTTTGGGTTTTCATAAAAATACAAAATTTTTCATAGCAAAAAAGTTACAGCGATTTGTTAAAAACGCACATTCTTCAAAAACACCCCGTAACTCCGAAACGGTAACAGATATCGATGTGCGATTTTCACACAAAATCTTTTTGGTAAAAATTAAGCTCCAGACACCGATATTAGTTTTCGTCTATCTCCTATAGAAAAGGGTGTTTCCCTTTAAAAGCGTCTAACTTGGCCCACCCTGTACATAATTAACCACAAGAAAGATTAGATATCTCGTCCATATTTTTGAAAAAACACTCAACGCCTACCTATTACTTAGTAACGAATTCATAATCATCAAGCTATCTTCGAGAGTAGTGATAATTTCCCCCGTTTCAGTTCCTTTCAAAAGTAATTCTCCTCTAGACTTGAAGCTGGAAAACGATAATTCGACAACTGCCCAATCGGCAATGACCTGTTTTAATTTGGCCTCTATATCCTTCTCCTTTACTGCACTGATACAAATGTCTTCTACGTCGTCTTTATTCTTTAAGAGAGGCGCTTCCATCACATTTCTCAATGTAAAGGTAGGAGAATCCACATCAAATTGGTAGCCAGTTAAATTCGTCAAACGTTTCCAGTGTCTCTCTTTCATAGCCTAAAATGCAAAAAAATACAATTCTTGTTTTTAACTACGATGAAATTTATTAATATGTTTAATTATCGTCACAGAACTCTTTATTCAATTTGATATAATATAATCAACTAACAACTATGAAAATTTGTTTAGCAAGAGAAAAGTCCATTTAGATCTTTGAATAAGAAGACTAAGGAAGGAGCATATCAAAAATCTTAGGTCCACCGCGATAGGACTCAAATATGGCCGACTTAAATTCCGGTTTATCAATGCCGTTTTAATTTTATTTAAAAAATATAAAACTATGATGTAGAGTAGCCGTGGGGTAGACTCAATAATTGTTTTTATTTTACGCTGTGAATAAATGTTGGTAGTTATTAAAATTGTTATAAAATATATTATTATAATAAAAATAGATAAGTTTTAATAATTATTTATTAACACAAACATCCGATACGCTACTGAAGCAGGTAAGTCAAATTGACGTATCTAAATTCTTTGACATCTAATCTTTGACAAGTAGTAAATAAAAGCAAAAATGCAAGAAAAAATATATAATTAGTTAATTTAAGTGAATTTCATAAATGATCGGTTAACTACACGTATGTATATTACATAGTCACTTACTAGAGAAAAGTTGTTCCATTATTTCACTTGATTTTTGCCGAGATCTACCGCACGCTACACAACCAACTATTTTAGAGTCGTTTTCGATAAATCGCGATAGTGTCACTGTTAATTTAAGTTCTGCCACAATTTCCATCTAGATTTACTACCTTTATACAACTATCAGTAGTAGAATAAATAATAAATAACATAAAATAAGCTCCGTAAAGACTGACAAATCCACAAAATTTCAAATCAAATTCAAATGTGTCAAATGAATCGTCAAACAAAACTGTCAAGGATCCCCATAAAATAATTAACTAGAAAGAAGTGTTAACTCTGTGTTAAATCGTGGAAACACGGTACGCCACCGAAAGCCTTCGTTGTCGTCTGGAAAACTAATTCCTAATTTTCCAATTGACAGGTTGACGTAATAAGGACATGATGGCGTAATTTTCATTTCCGTTTCCGGTTATTCAATGGCGGGCCCTCTTTCAATTCAAATGTATTTTGTATTTTTTCTTTTCATAAATAAAACCAAAAAATAATTTATTCACATATATTTATTTGAAATATGAAACAACGTGACTAAATAAATATAAAAATATAGAGGATTGTATTGTTTCAATACCAATTAGTTAATTATATGCACTTTTAACGTAAATTAGTTAAGGTATAAGCATGACTTACAGTAATTTGTAAATAAACACACGTATTCGCAGACTTCAAGGACAGAAAACGGACACAGGTACATGAAAACGGGAGCCTTATACAAAAACCTGAAAACAGAAAAACAAATTTTTTTATACTAAAATTAACAATGTAAAAATATCAATAGGTATAAAATATAAATATACTGTTTAAAAAAAGCGTCCATTATTCCCAAAGAGACCAGAGGCCCGATTCTGTAAACACTTCTCTTGATGAGTCACTCATCAATCGTATACAAATAGCATAGGCTAGACAGGAAATTTCTTGCTACGGAGCTTAGAGAATCCCACTGCTGGCTTATAAATCAAAAAGAAGCAAAAAGAGACTTTTAGTCGGATAACATAATCAGATTATCAGTCCGATTTATTGTATTATTGACAATAAATCGTACATACTGGAGATAACTAATGTTGGCTATAGTTAAAAATGATCTTACCTTGCTGTAAATTGTTTCCATTTTCAAAAAAATCGCAGATCAAAGAGATTATAACACCATTTTCTTGCATCTAAAAAATGTAAAAACAGTGTTTATTTACTACCCATTTTTCATATACATGGGACATACCTACTACTGCAGAAACGTCATTTTCTCCAGGATTCTTCATGTAATATATATTTTATATACTTTATTACCTTTATATTTATAAATTTCAGCCGAAATATTAAATTGAACTTCCAAAACGAAACTAAACGGAATTAATTAAAATGGCGTCGAATATTTTCTAATTCGTTCTAGAACAAATCTGAAGTTGTCTCTGTAACTGAAATCTGTCAATTCTAAACTGTGAAGTTAGACAATAGTTAGACAAAAACAATGCTGTCCTTGTCTAGGCGGCCATACTTGTCGTGAGGAGAATGACAGGAATGACACTAATGACTGTTTCCAATTTTCCTATTTCACTGTCACCCCCCTGAGGGTGCAGCCACACTATCCTAAAAACGGCGTATCGGCGTAACGGCGTAACGACCTTGTATCGATTTCCAGTAATTCTATTGGCTGAAATTTTTGACAGATAAATGTTTCAGCCAATAGAATTACTGGAAATCGATTCAAGGTCATTGCGCCGTTACGCCGATACGCCGTTTTTAGGATAGTGTGGCTGCACCCTGAGGATCCCCACACTAGAGTCCTTTTTCCGCCCACCATGCATGAATACATGGATTTTAGCTGGACAACATCCAAAAAATTTACAAAAATATAATATCTCGCTATACAGGATGTTTCAAATTCGACTCTCGCCATTGGTATCTCGGAACGGTAAGAGATATAGGATGGTTTAAACTGTGACAAAGTTGCCTGTTAATAAACCCAATGATAATTCGATTAGTACGACCTTATAGTTCGATTAGTATAGACCTTATCTTTGTCATTTCCGGAAATATGACAGGAAAACTGAAATTTGCGGTATTCGTTTAAGTATATTTTAACACTCCAAAAAAGTCCTATATGGATATTCCGCCACTGCAAAAAAAAACCCAAAAAAAATGAACACACACTAAACCAATGAATATTGGACAACAAACAAAAAATTTAATATACAAAATACCATGCGAATGTGACAAATTTGATATTAGTGAAACATCTAGACCCTTAAACGTTTGAATTAAAGAACATAATAGATTTTAACAAAGCAAAAATTATAATGAAAGAAGCAATAGCCTCTACTACTAAAAGAAAAATAAAAGAGGCATTTTTAATACAATCTAATAGAAATAATTGTATTGCTCATGGATCTGTAGATGTTAGTAATGTATGGCAATCGCTTCTTTGATTTTAAAGAACATAACATAAATAAACATAAAATACGTAAAAATTAAAAACATATTAAAAATAAATATATACAAAGTTACAAGCTTTTTTGTTTTACCTTATTAAGTAATTGTTAACAGGGAGTAATTGTTAACTTTGAAGTTTAACTCCATATAATGTCATTTTAACAGTACGTCAACGGTTTTTGTAGACGTATCTGTTTAAAAAAAAACTACAGTGTTCTCGAATAGTTGCATTTAATATTTAAAATAGTTTTTTTTCTTTGTTCTTTGTATTTTTTCCTTCCAACGAAGGAAAGATATAAACTTTCCGAAACGTTGAGCATTTTTTGTCCGTTAGGCAAATTTGTTTATTGGTAGACCACTGCTGACAATTACTCTCCGTTGGATTAACACAGCAAAACTATTTTATTTTGTAGATTTCCTTGCAGTGGCGAAATACCCATATAAAACTTTTTTGGAGAGATGAATCCCCCACATAGATATAGACAATTTTTATGTTTTAACATTTAGAAAAAAAAAACGCTGTGTCTAGATGCACGTTAACGTGTACTAAAAATAAAACTTCAGTGCACGTGAAACGGGTATTTCGCGTATAATTTAAACAAAAAAAAAATAACCCCAGAGATTAACTAACGCAATCAATTGATTGCTATTACCGACAGCTGCAAAAAAATAATAAAAAATAAAACAACTGTAAAAAATAAAAAAGTTCTACCTTTCTCGGGGATCGATCCTAGGACTCCTCGCTCCCGAAACGACCGCTTCAGCCACAGAGCCACAGGCTGCTTACGTAACCAGGCTATAGATAGGCATTACTTAGTGCGGAAAGCTTTCCGGTTTCTCCGTGTACCTAAATATTATAATAGGGTACACGTTAACGTGCACCTAGAAACACGAAACCGAAAACTCACAACAAAATAAAACAAATATATTTTCGAAAAACCTTTTTAGCTTTCCCTTTTAGTGGCGATGACAAATATCCTTTCATTTTTCTGGGAATTTTTTTATTGGGAGAATAAAGGAACCAAGAAACAGCCTGGCGCATCTCCACCAAAGGGCAAGGGAGACAGAGAGAGCGAGAACATCTCACCTCTACTCCGACAAAGAGAGAAAAAGCCATCCAACATAACACCGGGAGACAAGCAGGGACGTCACCGGATCACCAGCTTTGCCAGAACTCCAATGTAAGGACATCGAGTTGGCGAGTCATCAATTCGAGGGAAGAGGGCCATGGTAATGTCTTCACAATAGGAATTGACCTCAAATCCAAATAGGCAATAGAGAAAGAGAGATATATCCTCTATTATAGATTCGGCATCAGATCGAAGGGAAGACCACGTTAAAGAGGTGGAGAAAATGGAGACAGATCCTCCAGCCTCCACCTCACAGGTACCTCAGCCGGAGCCAAGCTTCTCGACTGTGAAGGACACGAAGGGCCAAACCGCAACCGTGGAAGAGGTTATACCCTCATAGAAGGTAGTTCATGTTCAACAGGAAAATCCCGTGTACGATAAGTTTTAGAATGTATGTTGAGTTATAACACAAGAAAGGGGGACACAATAGATATTTAAGGTAGCGGTGATTAACCTCCCTCTCACTCATTGAACAGTCTACATCTCTTACCATTTCCGAGATCCCAATGGTGAGAGAGTCGCTAAAAAAAGTTTATATTACCAAAACGCTAATAAACCACTACTTTTTTAAATATTTTTTTTTCAATTTGAAAATATTTATAACTAAGAATGCTGAAGTATTCTTCTTAAGGTGCCGTGCAGATTCCTGCGTAGGCGTTCATCTTTTTCTTCTTCATCAGATGGTTCTGTTAACTGCCGCGACTTGGAGTGCTTGGAAGTCCTGTATGCCTGTCCAATGACGAATATTTCTCAGCCAGGATAGCTTCCTTCGTCCTATTCCCCTTTTGCCCCCCTCTATTTTACCCTGGAGAATTAGACGTTGAAAGTGATAGCGTTCTCCACGTAGTATGTGTCCCAAATAGGCTATTTTCCTCTTCTTGATGATTTCGAAGAGTTCACGTTGTTCCAAACGAGCTCTTCTGAGAATGTCTTCATTCCTCACACGGTCGACCCAGGGCACTCTTAGCATTCGTCGTAGGGTCCACATTTCGAAGGCTTCACTTCGGTTTATTGTTGCTACCTTCAGTGTCCATGCTTCCACACCATATAACAAAACGGACCAGACATAGCACCTCACCATTCTGTATCTAAGGCCGCAGTTCAAATTCCTATCTGTGTGAAATCTTCGCAGTCTCAGAAAAGTAGATCTTGCTTGTTCGATCCTGCATTTGATCTCCTGATCCGGATCCCACGTTTCGTTAACCATGCATCCCAAATATTTAAATTGTCTGACCTGCTTGATGACCTCTCCATTTAAGTAAATTCTGGTGTTCGGAATATTTTTTCTGCTAACAGCCATAAATTTAGTTTTTGTAGTATTTATGTTTAAACCCAGTCTTTGACTTTCACTGTTAACCTCATTTAGAAGGATTTGGAAATCATTTGCATTGTCTGCCAATATCACTGTGTCATCCGCATATCGGATATTATTAATTGAAATACCATTTATTTTCAAACCAATGGGACTATCGGAGATTGACTCAGTGAATGCTCTTTCCACATATAAATTGAACAACATTGGAGACAGAATACACCCTTGCCTTACCCCCTTTTTTATTTCAAAATCTTCTGTTACTCCCACGCTATGTATAGGAATTTCAGCTTTTTGGTTCCAATACAAATTACTGATGAGCCTTATAGCTTTTCCATCAAGTCCCAAGTCTCTGAGGTATGATATAAGGAGGTTATGTTTAACGTTATCGAACGCCTTTTCATAGTCTATAAAGCACATGAAGACATCTTTTCTCTGATCTTGGCAATTCTGTACTAAAGTTTGAAGACTGAATATGGCTTCTCTAGTACCAAAGCCGTTCTTAAATCCAAATTGACTTTCTCCACTTACTTCCTCACATTTTTTGTAGAGTCTTGTATGCAGTACCCGTAAAAAAAGCTTAAGAAAGTGGCTCATTAGACTAATAAGACGATACTCTTTACACGAAGTTGCGTTACTTGACTTGGGCAGCGTGATAAACGTAAAACGAAGCCAGTTTAGGGATGTAACCGGTGTCATAGATGTTATTGAAAAGCTGTACTATAGTTTTTAAGTTTTGTTCATTAATTAAGTGGAACGTTTCCGAATACATATCATCAGGCACTGGAGTTTTGTCGTTCTTCATTAATCTAATCGCATGAATAATTTCACTTTCCAATATGCTTGGTCCTGATGGCATGGAAATCTCAGTTGCAGGGTTTTCTGGTCTTTCGTCGTTGAAAAGATTAACGGTATAATTTCTCCAAGTTTGCAATAGTTCTTCTGTTTCCGTTATAATTTTATTTTCATCAGTTTGAAGTGTATTCTAATAATATTTTTGTATTGGACACAATACCTTTCTTCAAAAAAGAAATCATTACCTTATTGGCCATAAGTTCCAATAATGGACAAGTTTCACTGAAATCGTCTATTTTCTTTTTTAAATCTAAGAAGGCGGGCCAATCTTTCATTCCCTTAGGTAATTTACGACAACTACAAATAAAAAAGAAAGAAGTAAAAATATAAATAATTTTAGTTTCAATAAAACAACTCACCGATTCTGGAATTCTTGCAGTTCGGCAAAAATAACTTCAGTATCTACATCACTCCACAATAAATCAAAGTAACCATCGATACTGTGATTTACTGCCAGATATAATCCATACAATTTGTTTAGCAGTGTAAATTCCTTCTTTCGTTGATGGAGAATTGGATAATCATTTACTTCTAGTCTATACAATCAAAAATAGTTTTATTATACAGTTATACAGTTTTTGTCTGAATTGCATTCGAGAAACCTCGGCATCATATTCTGCAGATAAAAATCATTTTTCCGTCTCCGTATTTTTTGAAATCGACCAATAACAACGATATTCGCAATTCGCGTGTATATGAATCTACCTTTACTTGTAGCGTTTTTCACAAAAAGGCATTTTTTACGTAAAAAACTCAGTAAAATAATACAGGTACAGACGAAAAGTTATTATTCTTCAAACAGTTAAAAAATATGTAGGTGGCGCCCCTTAGGGCTCAAACGCACTGACGACCAGGTCACAGCGACCAGCATTTGATTCAATATTATTAGGCAACGCAGCTGCGACCAGTAATAACATTGAATCAAATGCTGGTCGCAGCGACCTGTTTGTCAGTGCGTTTGAGCCGTTACATGTAGGAGACATTCTGGCAACGAAATCGAATTTCTTATGCCAAAAACCACCCAAACACCAATTTTGACCCAAATACGGACATTACTCCAGAAATTCTTTATAAAAAAAGAAATAAAAATATAACTTCTAACACTATATCTCTAAAAAAAAAACAACTTCAAACCGTAGTAGTAACATAGGCAGAACCGGACGAATTAGCGTATACCCGTCCGCCGGATAAAAAGCAAGCGAAAAAATGCGACAAAATAAAAATAGGTAGATATCTGATAAGAATGTTTCAGAATTTGTATTTATTCGTGTTTTAATAGCCAAAACGAGTACATAGATTCTCGCGGCAGCTCTCGTGTAAAATTTATTTTTTAAGTAAAATAATGGATGTTTACGAAGTTCGTGAGAAAATTCAAATTGTAAAATGGTATTTCCAAAATAGGTCTTATCGGGATATACAAACAATTTTTCCACAAACTTTTGTAAACAGGCCAATTCCATCTTTACCTACTATATCAAGAGTTATTAATAATTTTGAAACACATGGGTGCGTGTCCCCACAAAAACACAAAAAGCCTGATGTGTTGATTAATGAAGAACAGGAATTAAAGCAAGTGTTCATTTGTGCTACCGCGGATCAAAATCCCACGTTTTCAAGTAATCAAATTGCTGAGGTAACAGATTCTTCACCTAGCACGGTTAAAAGAGTCCTTAAAAAGAATGGATACCGATCGTATGAAGCGCGCAAAACTCAAGAAATTTTCCATGAAGACCAATTTCGGCGTATGGCGTTTTGTGAATATGTAATGGAAAAGGCCAATTTAGATGAAAACTTTATTCGGCGTATAGTTTTCACCGACGAATCAAGTTTTCATTTATTGAGTCGTCATAACCCTACACAAGTACGATATTGGTCTCGGGAAAATTTGCACAAATATTTTAAGGTGCGCACGCAATATCCTCAAAAGCTAAATGTTTGGGGTGGTTTTGTAGGGGAGTATATGATTGGTCCATTTTTATAGAGGGTAATTTAACTGTTGCAAAGTATTTGGACTTGTTACAACAGCAGATTGTGCCTAGAATTCGTGAGTTATTGGGAGAAAGATTCCACAATGTCTGGTTTCAACAAGATGGTTGCCCTGCCCACAATACCCGTATTATTCAAGAAAATTTGAACAATACTTTTCCCAACCGTTCAATTAGTGGACATGGAACTATTTTGTGGCCCGCTAGATCATTAGATCTTTCTCCCAATGATTTCTTTTTGTGGGGTTATGTAATCCAAAGTGTATGGTCATAATAGAGCTAATAATCTGGATGAGCTTCAAGTAAAAATACGGGAGGCTTTCCAAACTATTAGCCCTAATATGTTAGCCAACGTCAGACGGGGATTTTACGACCGTCTAGGCTTCTGTCTAGCACAAGAAGGTGGCCTTTTTGAACACTTGTTATAAAATTGTTATTTAGAGTAATATTTTAGTTTTTTTTTTATTTTATTGAGGTATTTTTTAATTTTGGAAAAGAGTTTTGGGTTTAGAGAATTTATTTATTTTTAGTTTTGGTTTGTAAACACACTCAAATAATAAATATTTAATTATTTTTATTTTAAATGTTACCTTAAGTGAAGGTAAATACTTAAAATGAAAATAATTAATGCTCGGCACTCCTCGCGTCGTATTCCTGTCTTATATTATCTGTCACGACCGACCCGTCCAAGCACAACTGCAACTGCCTACTGCCTGACCAGCCGACTAGCCGGCAGTGAATAAGTACAAACGCAATCGGGTAAGCGTAAATTCGTCCGGCAAGTTGCTATGTTACTAGTAGCCTGGTCTTCTCTGTATAAGAACTTTATTCGAAGAACGTATTTTTATCTGCACAATATGTTACCAAAGTTTCCAGATTAAAATTCGGAAGACCCTGTATTATAGCAGTAGACTTAGTAAATAAATTTCACCCAAAAAGTCGTTCACCACTGCTATACATCTCAAACTTTCTCCACAATTCGTCAAAGCGATCTTGAAAGGCTAAAACTCTATCACTAGCCTCTCTAGCGCTAAGACCCGGTATCATTGGTCCTTTTTCTTCAAAATCATTATCAAATACCTCAACTTCGTCTTTAAAATTAGCTACGCCGTTTGTCAGTTCTTCTAGGAGCGGGCCCTGAACGGTGCATATATCTTCTTGGACAGCTTTAGACTACATAGGAAAAAATTCAGAATATGCAATAAGTTACAAATTTATAATTCATTACGTGGGTTATCATATTTTGGAAATTAAATCTCAAACTTTCCACTCGTTCAATATCCTCTTTTGGAGTGTCAATCTTAAATTTGGAGAATGTACCATAAGCCTCCTCCATGAGACTAAGATCTAAATCCATTTCTATAAAGTTCTCGCGAATTGTGGCCAAACAAGCCATTGCATTCCTGTCAGACAATGAACGTAATACTAAGGGCTGGCAAAGGTTAGTCTTGGGTCGACATTTCCGTATGTAAGAAGAGTACAATGCGTTTATAATGTACTGAACAAAGAGAGGACAGTAAACACGTTGCCAAACATATGAAATAAACCGAGAAACTGTGCACATCGCTAAGAGACGTGGAAGGGGATAAGCAGATTTGTCGCAGTTGACCGGTCGACCCAATCAATACCTCTGTCAGTACTTAAAGTTCTAGGGAAAGGTGTACGTCATGCGTTCAGCTTCACGATTTAATTACGTCTCGTGATACTTAATTTGTTTATTTATTAACGAATCGTTGTAATTTTCCCTATAGCTTGAATTTTTTTAAGTGCAAGCTAGAAACACTTGCATTTTTGGTAAAAATAAGTGGAATTGAGTGGGTGTTCGATAGTGGTCGCGCTATTAGAACTCTGTATTCAAAAATCGATATCTCGAAATCTATTAGAAATAATAGATTGTAGTTTTTTCAAGAACTTTGTTAATATTTCTGCTGTATTTTCTTTGTAGACAGTATGTGAAAATCTTTATCAATAAAAAAAATTACACGATTGCTGAAAATTGCTATGCTTTAAAAGTAAACGGATGGATTGTTTACAATTTGTGAATAGAAAAAACAACCTTATCGAATCTTTCTTATGTAACATATTGTATATAAAAAAAGTTTTAGTATCTAAAGTGGTTCTTGAGTTATGGCCTGTTATGTGTTAAAAAGTTGAGTTTTTAAATTATCGCGATTACTGACGTTTTCTCGTTATAAAAAAAATGACACCCTAACGATATCCTTATAATTCCATTTCAGATGCTCAGAAACATGTCTAATGATTTTATCTAGATATCTCTTGAAAAAAAAGTCTTTTAAAAATAAGCGGTTTGCGATCGTGATTTACTTTACTTGATAGGGAAAGGCGTATCGGCAACGCCGCAACAGTAAAGTTTGACAAATATAGGAAGAGACTTGGGGATAGCACCGGTCGCGCACACAATAGAGAGAGAATGCATTCGGCGGAAGAGAGATGCAGTTACGCTACGAAAAATCTGATTAAAGCAAATTTGTGGACTGTCCACTGCGCATCGAGGGGCGTCTCTTATTTTATATTTCTCACGTCTCTAGCTATATTTGCTAAGTTGTACACCGTCGCGCGTCGCGTCGGCATCGGTCGGTCGCATTTCTCTCACTCCGACATAATAAGATCCCTACGCGATTTACTTCCACACATGTAAATGCCGACCCAAAAGTAACCGTTGCCAGCACGGTATACTATATAGTATAATAGTATATTTGATACCAATTAAACTTTTAGTTACGTAATCGAGGGCGCGATTTTTAAATTCATTGTTGGCCAACCATGGACATATTCGTAGCCAGACTAACTAACTGGAATATAAATTTCCCCCTGGGATCCAGGTGGTAGATCTATTGTAAAAAATGTCAAGTTGCCATATTTATTTATTTATTTTCTGACATTGTCTTTTGTTTTGGCACTTTAGTTTTGAACCGTATGATCGAAAAAAAGGTCGCTGATATTTCCCATATAATTTTACATATAAAATGACAGCGATCTTCATTTCATAGCAATCGCTGACGCCGTTTTTATTCGACCATACGGTATTAAGAGTTTTTGTTTAAATAAATAATATTGTCATATTTTGAGCTTAAAAATGTTGAGTAGCAGACCTTGCAGTCGAATATTGTTCTTTTTAGAACCTATCTTTTAGTGCGAAGTGGCACAAGATAGCTGAATAGCCGTAAAAAACTCATCCCAACCTTATTAGAATATTTTGAATGGGAAAGAGGTAGTAATGTGCTTTATGTCCCTTAAGTGCTATTAAGGAGGTGAGTTTTGTTGATGTAAATAATAACTGTGTATAATTAATTTATATTTGTTTCTTAAAATATTTTGATTGAAAGAAAATATGTAAAAGTGAGCAACTTTGTGTCGGCCAAGCTTAATCATGTGACTAAAAGTTTATTTGATATTAACTATTTATTGTTTTATTGAGAGTAAAAATAACACGTTTTATGGCGAGGCTGTACGTTTGAAATTACAGGCGAGGCACAAAAAGTAATTTTTACTCCGAATAGAATATACTATTTTTTTCAACCGTCGCAAATCATTTTTTAAACAATTTCAAACGCATAGATAAATGAAACAAGTTTTGGATTGGAAAGTGCTCATAAGGACAACGTAAACATTATTTGGCGCTATTCTTGCAACGGTCGCGACCCAAAGCTTTTGAAAATTTTGGAGCGGTTGGGCTTTTTCCGGAATAATATCGCCAAATATGGTTTATTCAAATTTGTTATTATTTTCTTTCAATTTTATAAATAAAATAGAGTGTATTGCATACAAAAAACTTTATTTTATATAAGGACATGTATGAAATACCTATGAAACATTGGAAACTGACTTTATGTCACGATCCACGATGGTTTTTGCACTTCACAGTTCACAGCACAGGTTTTTAAGTTTTTAATGCCACTTTTTCACAAGTATCACGGGTTTGAGTAAACAAAACTTAAATTAAACTCACAAGATGAATGTAGAATGTTTAGGAGGGGAGTTAATCACCGCGACATTACAGATCTATTGTGTGTTCCCCTTTGTTGAGTTATAACGAATTATAACTCATCATACAGTCTCAGGGCTTTAACAAAAGCCAGTATTCGACACGGCTCCACAGCAGCCAGCTCTTCATCCTCGACATCAGCCGTACCAAAGTTCATGTCACGAACGGTCGTCGTCTCGGCGCACTCAGTGATAAGATGTTCTGGTGTTTCCCCATTTTCGCCACAGAATCTGCATTCACTGTTGTTTCTCAGCTTCAGCCTAGTGAGGTGTTTGTTCAGGAGACAGTGTCCTGTTAGAAACCCCGTGGCAATCCGAAGATTGTTTTTACTTAACTCAAGGAAAACCTTCGATTTCTCTTGGACGTAAGTTCTGAGAAACTTTTTCGAGTGTCTTACGGCCGTATTCATAGTCGAGCGCCAGCCGCCCGCCGAAAAGAAGCACTCGCCGGAGAAATCTTCGGCGATATCGGGCGAGAAAAAAAGCTCCTTCATAGTCGGCCGCCAGCGCACAGCTGGCTGGCGAAAATGACGGCGCGTCGCCAACAAAATTTCACTTCGGGTGGAGGGTTTTAACAACAGGGAACATGTTTTCTTCCTTTTTCTACACAAAATCGGTTATACGAACTTTAACATTCTCTAAATATTTAAACATTAATAATTTAAATATTTTATTGATATTGGGTAATTTAAATATTTTATTGATGTGTCCATTATTTTGTTATAATTCGTTTTAAAGTAATGAATAATATCTTCGTAATCCTTCACTTATAGTAAAAAGATTTACAAATTTTTATATACATATTTCTTTGGCTAGGTATATTTTTGGGTCATAATAAGAAGGATATTAAGTTAATAATTTACATAATGGGGAATTCCATAGGTCTGTTCGGTTTTATTTGAAAGTTTTATGGATTCGTTTTTATTACGTTAATAATTTTTATAGACCTTAACCTTAACCTATTGGTGCTGTGTTAAGGATTTTAAAATTATTTTAAGGGAAAATATAATTGTACTTCGTTCGGTTGCTGCGTCTCTTGTTTTATATTTCTCACGTCTCTAGCTATATTTGCTAAGTTGTACACCGTCGCGCCATCGCGCTTCGCGTCAGTCGGTCGCATTTCTCTCGCTCAGACTTAATAAGGTCCTTATGCGATTTACTTCTACATATGTAAATGCCGACACAAAAGTAACCGTTGCCAGCTCGGTATGCACTATATAGTATAATGGTATATGTGATACCAAATTAAACTTTTAGTTACGTAATCGAGGGCGCGATTTTTAAATTCATTGTTGGCCAACCATGGACATATTCGGAGCCAGACCAACTAACTGGAATATAAATTTTCCCCTGGGATCCAGGTGGTAGATCTGCTGAAAAAATGTCAAGTTGCCATATTTATTTATTTATTTTCTGACATTGTCTTTTATTTTGGCACTTTAGTTTTGTACCGTATGATCGAAAAAAAGGTCGCTGATATTTCCCATATAATTTTACATATAAAATGACAGCGATCTTCATTTCATAGCAATCGCTGACGCCGTTTTTATTCGATCATACGGTATTAAGAGTTTTTGTTTAAATAAATAATGTTGTCATACTTTAAGCTTAAAAATGTTGAGTAGCAGACCTTGCAGTCGAATATTGTTCTTTTTAGAACCTCTCTTTTAGTGCGAAGTGGCACAAGATATCTGAATAGCCGTAAAAAACTCATCCCAAACTTATTAGAATATTTTGAATGGGAAAGAGGTAGTAATGTACTTTATGTCCCTTAAGTGCTGTTAAGGAGGTGAGTTTTGTTGATGTAAATAATAACTGTGTATATACAGGGTGGGCCACTGAAAACTTACAATGGCTATAATTCTTAAACCAAAAAAGATGTCAAAAAAATAAAAAATACCTTTTCTATAATACAGGGGGAATGAGGGGGAATACATATGACGTATTTTTTGAACCACCCCGAGCTACCCCTTAGGCGGCACCTCTACTCACTTGAAAATCTTAAATGGCTACACTCCACTTGTGGCGCCTTTTTGGAAAGCCCATGAAAAATGCTAAACGATGATCATAATATTTTTAGGGTGAAATTGAAAAACTACCCCTTACACGAAAAATTAGGTGGACATTAATGAAAAAAGTGATTTTTTCAGCATAAGTTACAAATTGGGACCCAGCTTAATGAGGCAAGTGAGGTATTTTTCAAACCATCCCGATACCCCACTTGTGACACTTCTTTGGAAAGCTAATTGTAATTGCTAAACGATGGTCATACAGATATCAACTTCTGTCTTCTTTCAACAATTACTGGTAAGTAGTGATAAGAAATGTAGGTTTGACAATTTGAAAGAAATTTAAAATGATAAATTATTTTAACAATTGCTCAAAATGACAGCCGTTTTGTTCCATACAAAAATACAAACGATTTTCAAATTCTTCTCTCGCTTTTTGGAAAGTCTCTCTCGGAATATTTCGACATGCTTCAGTTATCCTCTGCTGCAATTCTTGCAACGAACCTGGTTTTGTCTTGTAGACTATGGATTTAGTGTAAACCCACAAGAAAAAGTCTAAAGGAGTGAGATCAGGTGACCTTGGCGGCCACTCGATTGGACCCCTTCTGCCAATCAATTGCCTTGGATAATATCTATCCAACCACCGCCTTGTGACAATAGAATAATGCGGAGGGGCTCCATCTTGCTGAAAGTGTATGAGGTCTTCATTAAGAGTTAAATTTCCTTCCAAATCTCTTTGATTTTCAACCTCATTTACAATGACTGGCTCTATCAAATTGTTCAGCATTTCCACATAAGCATCACCAGTCAAATTTCCGTCGATGAACAATGGACCTATAATTTTATCGCCTAGTATTCCGCACCAAACATTGAGCTTTTGGGGATGTTGGGTGCGTCCTTCAAATGCGGATTCTCATCGCTCCAGTATCTGCAGTTCTGCTTATTCACAATTCCGTTTAAAAAAAATGAGCACTCATCACTAAAACAAATATTTTTAGTAAGTGAAGGTTCCCTTCGAATTTCCTCCGTCATTAGTTCACAGAACTGAATCCTTCTATCTGGGTCGTCGTCGCCAAGTTCCTGCAGAATCTTCATTTTGTAGGGTTGGAATTTGTGCATTTTCAATACTCTCCTGACAGATGTTCGAGGTATACCTGTGAATGATGCCAACTGGCGTGTTGATGCTTCTGGATTGACCGATACCTGACCAATAACTTCCATCTGCATTTCTTCATTCAGTACCCTGGGCCCTGTCCTTGTTTTATTTTTGGCCGACCCAGTTTCTTGAAACTTTAAAATCAAATCTCTAACATAAATGTGACTTACGTTTTTGTCCCGATTTCTCTCATTGAAAGCACGGGCCGTTCTCAAATAACACATACCTTCAGCACCATAAAGAAAAACTATTTGAATTCTTTCTTCCGCAGTATAAACCATTTTTCTTTCAAATAAGCGAATCAAATAAACGTTTAAAATACCACCACATTTGCAAACGATTGAAAATCGATAGAAGACAGTGCAAAAACGCAAAGATATACCGGTTTAAGATTCCTGTTTGTTGAAAGTAAAAAAATAGATGATAAGGAAAAATTTGCTTTATCGCAAAATTAGGCTGTAAAAACATCTTTGTGTTGCTTTTTTTATTATCTACATTTAAAAATGGCATTGATGAGATTAGAAGTGAGGGGATGGCACCTAGGGGTGGGTCGGGGTGGTTTAAAAAATGCCTCATTTGCCTCATTTAACTGGGTCCCAAATTGTAACTTATGCTGAAAAAATTACTTTTTTCATTAATATCCACCTAATTTTTCGTGTCAGGGGTAGTTTTTCAATTTCACCCTAAAAACGTTATGATCGTCGTTTCGCATTTTTCATGGGTTTTCCAAAAGGGCGCCACAAATGGGGTATTGCCATTTGAGATTTTCAAGTGAGTAGGGGTGCCGCCTAAGGGGTAGGTCGCGGTGGTTCAAAAAATACGTCATATTTTTTTCATATCTTTTTTGGTTTAAAAATTATAGTCATTGTAAGTTTTCAGTAGCCCACCCTGTATATATATATATAATTAATTTATTTTTGTTTCTTAAAATATTTTGATTGAAAAAAAATATGTAAAAGTGAGCAACTTTGTGCCGGCCAAGCTTAATCATGTGACTAAAAGTTTATTTGATATTAACTATTTATTGTTTTATTTTTTATATAAAATAACACGTTTTATGGCGAGGCTGTACGTTTGAAATTACAGGCGAGGCACAAAAAGTAATTTTTACTCCGAATAGAATATACTATTTTTTTCAATCGTCGCAAATAATTTTTTAAACAATTTCAAACGCATAGATAAATGAAACAAGTTTTGGATTGGAAAGTGCTCACAACGTAAACATTATTTGGCGCTATTCTTGCAACGGTCGCGACCCAAAGCTTTTGAAAATTTCGGAGCGGTTGGGCTTTTTCCGGAATTATATCGCCAAATATTATTTATTCAAATTTATTATTATTTTCTTTTAATTTTATAAATAAAATACAGTGTGTTGCATACAAAAAACTTTATTTTATATAAGGACATGTATGAAATACCTATGAAACATTGGAAACTGACTTTATGTCACGATCCACGATGCTTTTTGCACTTCACAGTTCACAGCACAGGTTTTTAAGTTTTTAATGCCACTTTTTCACAATTATCACGGGTTTGAGTAAATAAAACTTAAATTAAACTCACAAGATGAATGTAGAATGTTTAGGAGGAGAGTCAATCACCGCGACCTTACAGATCTCTATTGTGTGTTCCCCTTTGTTGAGTTATAACTCATCATACAGTCTCAGGGCTTCAACAAAAGCCAGTATTCGATACGGCTCCACAGCAGCCAGCTCTTCATCAAAATTTCACTTCGGGTGGAGGGTTTTAACAACAGGGAACATGTTTTCTTCCTTTTTCTACACAAAATCGGTTATACGAACTTTAACATTCTCTAAATATTTAAACATTAATAATTTAAATATTTTATTGATATTGGGTAATTTAAATATTTTATTGATGTGTCCATTATTTTGTTATAATTCGTTTTAAAGTAATGAATAATATCTTCGTAATCCTTCACTTATAGTAAAAAGATTTACAAATTTTTATATACATATTTCTTTGGCTAGGTATATTTTTTGGGTCATAATAAGAAGGATATTAAGTTAATAATTTACATAATGGGGAATTCCATAGGTCTGTTCGGTTTTATTTGAAAGTTTTATGGATTCGTTTTTATTACGTTAATAATTTTTATAGACCTTAACCTTAACCTATTGGTGCTGTGTTAAGGATTTTAAAATTATTTTAAGGGAAAATATGACCAGAGTAGAAGTAATTTATATTTTTAAATTGGCTCTATTTTTGTTTTGTGTAGATGACTAATGTTTGGTGAATTTGGTATATTTTTTCCAGTTTGTGTAAATTACAAAGAGAATTAATGTAATAAAGGTAAAAACAATAAAAAAAATAACAAATTATAAACATAACAAAAACAAAACAATAAAACATTTAAATGGTCAAATAGACGGACGGAAAACATATGCCTCAAATGTAATGAATAATGGCCTCAAAAATACGAATGTCATCGTTCTCGTTAATCGTCACAATATTATAAATATCCATAATTAATTTAGTTTGCTTGGTGCTTCTTTCAACTAGAGAAATAAACCAGACTAAACTGGCGGACCGCCCGGAGATGGTAAGGACATGCTCCAGTCGTCGGCCGAAAATCACCGGATGGGGTTTAAACAAAGTGTTCTTCGCCTGGAGATCGACTATAAAACGGAAAAAAAATGCTTATCCAACCGCCCGCCGGCGAGAGAGTTGGTTCCCGGCAGTTGATTCCCGTTTGGAAAACAGAACGGTTCTAGTCCAGTTAGTAGAGTGTTCGTTCTTTCCCTTGGTAAGCAGGCACCCAGAGTAGGAGGACTTTATTTTCTTTGCGTAATTTGTTGAGCTTCTCTAGGCATTCTTTGACCAACTTCGAATTGATGGTTACTGAGTTGATCGCGTTTAGTGCTGCTTGACTATCGGATAGGATGGCAATTTCCTGTTTTCTATAGTTCCTATCTAAGATAAATTGTACACATCTTTCGATAGCGTAAATTTCTGCCTGAAGGATACTGGAGTACATTAGCGCCCATTAGTTCGGAGTATTTGGTTTTCGGCCCAAATACTCCTATCCCTGTCCCTGCTTTGGTTTTGGAAGCATCAGTATACCACGTTATGGTATACTGAAAAACTCTAGTATACTGACAAACTTTAACTCACAAGATAGCAAAAAGTGCTTTGAAAATAGACGCTTTAAACACTTTTTTTGAAATGTTTCAATGAGAGCGGTTTAGATTTTGAAAGATTTTATAATTTTTGAAGATTCTGACTTCGACCAGAGATATGGACGAGAGAAAATTATTTCTGTTTTGTTTGCGGTTGTTCTTAGCAACCGCTATAGCAGCGCCAGATCGCGAACAACGGTCACGACCCAAAACAATTTCTCGAACCAAAATTTTGACGGGCATTCCAATCTAAATTAATTTCCTTTATCTATGGGCGTTAGGCCAGTATTACATTATCAAATTTTTTTGTCAAAGATTTTATTTTATCAAAGAATTTGACAGTATAATATGTGTGATTTTATAAAATATTGTATATTAACAATGTCAAATTTTTCATCAAATATATACTCACCCGCAAAAAAAACAGGCCACTAAAAACTAGTCCCAATTTCAAAGTTGGATTTCTCGCGACAACTCATTAGATTTTGATGATTTTTTTTAAATTGTAAATCAATTCCTTCTTAACGGATGCTACGTCAGCAATTTTTATTCCGAAGTTTTTTGCCCGAACTTTGTAACACCCTGTAGGGTGCAGCAGCTGTAGTAGCTATTGCTAAATCAAATCACATTGTAGCCTCATCTTTTGTGAGCATTTTGTTTTTTAATCACAACATTATCTCTGTTTTATATTTTATAAAGGATCTTTGACAAAGAAATATGATAGTGTGATACTGGCCTTAGATTTACTTTTTTATATTATTAATTACGTTGTAAAAATTAATACTTTTGTTGCGTTTGAAAAAAAACTAAATTGTTACTCATTCTACCTGCAGTCATCCAGGTCCTTAATTGGTTTATTCAAAACTTTCTCTTGAGTTTTAATAAAGTCCACCATAGTGTTCAGTTTCTTCTTATATCTACAGCTTAAATTATTACCCATAATATATTTCCAAGCATCCGATTCGACCAGTAATGCTAATTTCAATTTTTCTGTAATTTTTTTAATGATACACGATTTATTTATTTACTACACACAATTCTTATTTTACCCATCGCAATTCTAATAGCTCCAACGTCATGATGTTCTGGTAAGTCGCGTATTTCTTGAGCCCTATTATCGTATTCGGCAAATTTTTCCGATATCTCTACAATTAAAGGTCTCTTTTCACAAAAATCATCGATTATTTGGTCTCGATCCTCGACCCATAGATACTTCCATTTTAGGTAAGTCTATAAAAAAATTGCAAAAATATTAGTCTTTACCAATAGAAAAATACAAAGGTTTAGTTTTATAATTAATTTTTTAACAGCTTGCTATTGAATATACTTTTTTAAATAAAAAACTCAAAATTTAAGTGAGGATGCAGTCAATAATCACCACATAGGCTAATAAAACTACTTTTTCAAATTTGTCAAGCTTTCGAGAATTTTATTCCCATCATCAGGACAGTTTCTAAAATGTATAAATAAAAAAGGCATTAAAATTTTAAAATTGTATAACAGAAAAAACGACTTACGACTGAGTCAATTAGCAAAAAAACATCCTTTGCACAAAAAGGCCTTAAAAACTAGCATCGTATGACATTGGACTACAAGGACATTTCCTTTATAAAATACTAAAATACATATCCAACGATATTACTTTTCTTTTAAACACAAACAAAAAGATTTTTTAAAAAAAGATTTTTATTAGCCTATGTGGTGATTATTGACTGCATCCTCACTTAAATTTTGAGTTTTTTCTTAACTTAGTCAGTCACGACTAACCTGCTACTTTTTTAAATATGTAAATTTATTTATATCAGTTACAAGAACAGTTAACCTAATAGGACTGCTCATTCAGCCGAAAGTGTCTGCCAGGTGCATGCGAAAACTCCTCGCTTTGTGACGTCATTGTAGTCCTTGTCATAATACTGTGTGTATTATTGGTTGCCGTATGCAAAATATTCATTATTTAGTTTGTTTATTTAAACACCTTATATGTATACAATATAGAAAATTAACTGTATAAATCATATTAAATACTCGGATAATGCATTTTTAGAAACGGCAGTTCCCAGCATCACCTTCTGCAGGCATTCTTTTTAGAGCACTTCCATATTTTGCTTTAAGATAATTAATAAACAATATCGTAGGCACTTAGAAGCATTTAGTCACAATCTGCAACACAAAATGAACGTCTTTATACATTATGTAACTCTAAAAACTTTGAAAACACCTTTTTCATATTTAAAATCGACAAAATAATTAACTCAGAAATTCTCAGCTGTTGTTTTTATACGTTTACTATAGGCAACCAATATAATACAGACTATCATGACAAGGACTACAATAACGTCACAACTGTCTGCTGAAGCACGGGAAGAGGCGAACTTACGTCTTATGAGGATGAGCAATCCTATTAATTTACCGTTCTTGTATCAGTTACTTAAAAAAATCTTACTTCCAGTAAACTGTTAACGTCGGGAGTTAAAACATACATAATTCCTTGTAAGCTCATATATACCCTTACAATTTCTTTGTTTTCGGACACCGCTTTGTAATAATTTCTCGCCTTAGGTCCAATAGTCTCTAAAAAATATGCACATTTAGATGTTTGTTTTTTGTTTTGTTGTTTTTTAAAGTAAACGTGTCTCATAACATAAAAAATTATGATAAATATAAAAAGATTCGTATATATTTGATCCCGATTAAACTTTTAGTTACGTAATCCTGAGCGCGATTTTTAAATTGACTGTTGCCAGCCATGGACATATTCGGCGCCGGGCTGACTAAATGGAATTTAAATTTTGCGCTGAGGATTCATGTGGTAGCTCTGCTAATGTCAAGTTACCACATTTATTTATTTATTTTCTGATACTGTCATTCATTCTAACATTTTAGTTTTGTATAAATAGAGAGTTTTTTGTTTAAATGAATTATGTTGTGATACTTTAAGCTTAAAAATGTTTACTAGTAGACGTTACAGTCGAACATTGTTCTTTTAAGAATCTCTTTTAGTCCCAAGTGTATAAGATGACGTAAAAAACTCATCGCAACTTTATTAGAATATTTTGAACGGGAAAGTGGTAGTAATGGCCCCCTAAGTGCCGTTAAGAAGATGAGTTTTTTTGATTGAAATAGTAACTGTTTACATATTTATAATTAAGTTATTTTTGTTTCCTAAAATATTTTGAATAAAAGAAAATGCGTAAAAGTGGGCAACGCTGTGTCGGTCGAGATTAATCGCGTGACTAAAAGTTTTTATGATATGAACTATATTTTATTCTGTTCAACATTCATTTAATCAATTATATTTTTTACTTACTAACTAATATAAAATTAAAAATCTAAGTGCAACTAGGTTCTTATTATAATTTTATTTCATAATGAGTGAAAATCAACAAAAACAAATTTAATTTTAAACAGAAAATATTGAAAACAATTTTAATTATTTCTCACAACTAATAGTCTGTTTTGCCTCCTCGAGCCTCAAGGCAAGCTGTGAGACGACGTGGCATGCTCTCAATTAAGTTGTCCAGAAGATGTTGAGGAATGGCTTCCCATGTTTCACGTGCATTAATTTTCGATTTGTTTAAGGTACGGGGGGGATCATTCCTTTTGGCAATATGGCGTTTTAGCATGTCCCAAGCTCGATCACATTCATATCTGGAGACATCGGTGGCCACCACATTTTTCTTATACCCTCTTCCTCACAAAATTTGCGAACCGCTAAAGTGCGATGGGGAGGAGCATTATCGTCCATGTAAAGAAATTCAACCCCACTGCCCCTCGAAATGGAGTTTCGAGGTCCGTGCATTATACCTTCCCATACCATAATGCTTCCCCCTTAAAACGGGACTCGGGGTTGAGCTGCATTCAAGCGTGCTCGTCTTCCAGATGCTATCCAGACCGAAGTTCGTCGCGAGTCTAACACTATTGTCTCAAATGTGCAAGAATTTGTAATAATATTGGGTCTGAACGATAAACATTGTTTACCATACCCATTTTAACAAAAAAAATGTTTATTACAGATTATCAAAACTATGTATAAAAAAACATTCTTTAAATTCCTTTCCGTTTATTTTTCCTTTTTATGTTTCGAAACAGCCTGCTTCGTTAGCATGGCTCGCTTGAGTGCATTCTAGTAGGCATCTCCCTACCCAGGACTTTATTAAGGAACAAATTAGACAAAGATAATAAAGTCCCTCTACTCTGGGTACCGTGCCGGCCCACCAAAAAATAGAAAGCAATGAAAAAGCAAACGATCAAGCTAGAAAAGGAGCGAACATTCCACTAACTCAACCAGAACCGTTCTGCTTCTCAAGTGGTAACCAACTTAAAGCAGAACTCAAGAATCTGGAAGACTCCATCCGTAACCTGGAATGGGAATCTTCCAACGATCTAAGACACTCGAAGTAATGTCTCAGAACTTCCAACCGAGAAAAATCCTTGATTTTCCTTGATTTAAGTAAGAAAAATCTTCGGATTGTCACGGAGTTTTTAAAAGAACACTTGTTTTAAAGAGGTTTAGGAATCTGTTAACAGACATCCAGGCTTTGGCCCATAAGGCGGTCTTGGTTTGATGTGCCGGGTTGGTTCCCCCACTCTGGGAGGTAACCGACCGACTAAACCCATCTCCTCTGTTCCTGCCACACTTACTGGTCCTGTCCGTGAACATCTACGCGAGTAAGCGCCGGCGCCGGTATTACTTTCTTCATTTTTTTCCTCGTTACTTTTACTTCTCTTCTTTCTCATTCTTTTCTTTCTCCGACATTATACCTTTATTATAGTCATTAATGTGATTCCAGTTCTCTTTGGTTTTAAGCATAACGGTTACCATATTTCCCGCAGTAATGCAATCACCTATTTCATCACAAAGTGCTTTTCTTTCCGCCTTCCATTTATTGCAAAAAAAGATTGTGTGTTCTGCATCATCAACGGGATATTGGCAAAAAACACATGACACAGATGTCTTTTCCCTATCCCATGTAGGTACGCAGAGAAGCACCCATGTCCCGTCAAGGCTTGAGTCAGATAATAGTTTGCGCTTCTCCCCATGCCCTGTCAAACCATTTATTACATTTCGGGATTAACCTGCTGATCGATTTAGTTTCCATTCCTGGAGCAAGCCATTCCAGCCATTTATGTAATTTGTGTCCCTTCTAGCTTGTTTGCGTCTCAATGCATCAGGCGGGTTTCCGGAGAGTTTTTTCTCAAAAAGAAGTTTGCTTTCAGCTGCCAGAAGATGCAGTGGCACCAGGCCTCCCAGAAGAATGACCGCATCTGCAGATATTGTACGGTACCCTAAGCACGTCCTAATTCCCATTATTCGTTGGAGTTGGATTATTCTCCTCCGCAATTTTTTGATTTTCATGGCTTCGGCCCATACAGGCAAGTGTACATCACTATGGACTGCATTGCCATAGTCAGAACCCTTCTTTTAGAAGCAATTGGTCCCTGCAAGTTGGGTAACAGGATGCTAGCAGGATGGGTAACGAGTGCTTTTATAACTAATTGGGCTTTTAGGCAAACAGAGGTAATCTGATCTCCCATTTTTAATCGTCTGTCGAGGGTGATAGCAAGATATTTGACATTTTTCTTTGGAACTATCTGGTAATTTCCTATTTTAAAACGTTTTCGTAGGAGCAACTTTTAGGCAGTTGTTATCCATCCATTTCAAAACTTCTGCAAGTATCCTGTTTGTATTTTGCACCATAAGAGCCTCACTCTTCTCTGAAACGAGTATCGCCAAATCATCCGCATAATATATTAGCCGTACATTTTTCGGTACTTTCAAACTCAGAAGATTGTCGTATAACACGTTCTATAATGTGGGACCCAAAACCGATCCCTGGGGCACTCCTCCATATACAGCTTTTTCTAATTATTTTGCCACGATTATAGTTCTATTATTTAGGTACGACTTAATGATGTTTAATATATACTTTAAAAGGACACTGTCTCCTCAACGAACACCTCAGTAAACTGAAACTAAGAAACAACGGCGAATGCAGATTATGTGGACTCATCAGTGCGCCGAAACGACAACCATAACGTTTGGTACGACAGATATCGAAGATGGAAACTAACCTCTGTGAAACTGTTTCAGATACTGGCTTTTGTCAAAGCCCTGAAGCTGTTTGGTGAGTTATAACTCATTATAACGCAATAAAAAGGGACACACAATAAATTTGTAAGGTCGCGGTGATTTAACCACCCCCCTCCTTTACTTTCTACATTCTACTCAGGATTTGAATAAAAAATATGAAATATTTTTAGATAATATAGAATATGCAAATGAGTAGTGGATGTTCAGCATTGTTGAAAGTGTCGTTGGTTGCTGCTCACACAAAACATGTTTCCTTATTTTTAAATTTCCCGCCTCTAAAAGTAGACAGTTAAAAAAAACAATACCTAGTAAAATCTCTAAATTGGATTTTTTTACCTTTCTTCATTGCCGATTTCAGTTCCTCTTGGCCCCAAAGGGATATGAATTTATTTACGTCCAAGATATTTTGTATGACCTGCGAAAAATAATTCTGAATTTCATCAAGACTCGGGCTAATTGCGGCTATCGGAATTTGCAATATCATATACGTGGTCATTGATGGTATAATTTCTTCGTCCATACTAAAAATAAATTAAATATTACAATCATAGAAATAGGAAGGTATAAGTGTACCTAGTAGCGCGTTTTTTAATTTTCTCCAACGAATACTTGGTAGCCTTTATCATGGCGTCGGTAAATTTCATGTTAAAATAAGCAAACATTTCTATACAGTCTGCATGGATGCTTGACAAGTCTATCGGGGAATTTCTATCAATCTCTTTAAACGCTGTAAATATAAAACATTTTAAATTATTATTATTCGTTCGAAACTTTGAATAAGAAGACTAAGGAAGGAGCATATCAAAAATCTTAGGTACACCGCGATGTGCCTCAAATATGGCCGACTTAAATTCCGGTTTATCAGTGTCGATGATTCTAATTTTATTTAAAAAATGTAAAACTATGATGTAGGGTATACGTGAGGTAAACTCAATAATTTGTTGTTTTATTTTACGTTGTGAATAAATGTTGGTAGTTATTAAAATTGTTATAAAAATATATAATTCTAATAAAAATAGATAAGTTATAATAAGTATTTATTAACACAAACATCCTATACGCTACTGAAGCAGGTAAGTCAAATTAACGTATCTAAATTCTTTGACATCTAATCTTTGACAAGTAATAAATAAAAGCTAAAATGCAAGAAAAATATATAATTTAGTTAATTTAAGTGAATTTCATAAATGATCGGTTTACTACACGTATGTATATATTATATAGTTTCTTACTAGCGAAAAGTTGTTCCATTATTTCACTCAATTTTTGCCGAGATCTACCGCACGCTACACAACCAACTATTTTAGAGTCTGTTTCGATAAATCGCGATAGTGTCACTGTTAATTTAAGTTCTGCCACAATTTCCATCTAGATTTACTACCTTTATACAACTATCAGTAGTAGAATAAATAATAAATAACATAAAATAAGCTCCGTAAAGACTGACAAATCCACAAAATTTCAAATCAAATTCAAATGTGTAAAATGAATCGTCAAACAGAACTGTCAAGGATCCCCACCCTAGACTGCTTTTTCCGCCCACCATGCATGAATATATGGATAGCATTATGCTCCTTCCTTAGTCTTCTTATTCAAAGGTTCGAAATGGTTTTATTTACGGCGATATACCTGCATCTGCTGTGGTTAACAAGCGAGAATTTGACCCAATCGGTCTCACAGCTTTCTCTGCATCGAGCCATTTGTATTTATTTGCCTGTAATTCCGGCGTATCAATAACGCTCAAAAATTTATTAATTAAATCAGTGACGCATTTTTCCATTGTCGATGATTTCAACTGAAGATCCTTTACTGTAATAACAGTACTTTTGTAATGATCTCTAATCGTTTTTCGTATTTCTCTACTTACTTAAACTATTGGAAAAATTAATATTTTGTTGCAGAAAGTCTGCGGGAGGAAGCGGTTCGTTGGGTAAATACACGAACGAAGTTTTACCGATGACTTCTAGTACTTCATCAATTCTTGCTTCTTTCATATCTCTAACCTACCAAATGATAACATAATAAATAAATATTTACCGATTACTAGCTAAATAAAAAGCAAGAGATATACCGGGTGCGTCTCAAAATTGGCTTACCCTTATCATGTTTTTATTTTTTCAGTTAAAAAAAACTAGATTCGGTATGTTAGTATATGACATAAATTAGCATTGATTGACGTATTCAATTATTTTCGGTCACAGTCCTGTTTCACCGGAAATGACTACAACTTTTGATTTTTAAATGGCACCCTCGGTATTTTTCTAATTTATTCGATAGAAAATAACACTCTGTCCCTTTGAAACACAAAATAACACGCTATCATAACTTTTGACATTTTCGCATATTATGGTTTATGTAAAATTGTAACATGCGGTTCATAACGAGAATTTGACTCGAAACACCAAGTGTATAATACCAAATAATTCGTAAAAAAAATGCTTTTTCAAAATATGCTCCACTGGTTCTCAAAATTGAAACAAAAAATTTTGTTTTTTATTATTTTCAAAGTAAAATAACTCGATTATTTTGGAATTAAGCTTGATTTTCATGCGTCCGTTATCCGTTGATACGATAGTCCGACGGCGCGCGGCGCTCTGATTGGTCATAGCGTTTTCGCGCCACTTTTCATCCGCAAAGATTTTACCACCAGCTCGCCAACGGAGAAAGATCGTACGATAACGGACGTTTTGACATTTTTTGACAAATTAAATCCAACCTTAATAAAAATATAATAGTACAAAAGCTAGCACCGTCCGAAAAATAAGAATTTTAAGAAAGCAGGTACTTTAATATATATTTTGCTCTGCTCTCCTGACCAAAGTGCGGGGCGTCTGGCTGCCGTTACTGCGGTTCATTACTGCGCATCACATCTGTACAAGGTATCTCATTTTCGTGTGTTTTATGGGATTTCTCGTTTATGAGTAGAGAAACAATTACGCGATTACTTTGCTACTTTTTTATGAAACTAAATATGCTACACATAGGTTTGTCCTAGGCTCCTTAGTTCCTGAAATACAGGGCAAATTTGTGATGCGCAGTAGTGAACAGATGTTGAATACAGTTATACAGGCGCAAAAGTGAACTCAACGTCTACCGGCAGCCAGGCGGTCCGCACTCTGTTCAGGAGAGCAAAGCAAAAGATATTTTAAAAAACCAGCTTTCTTAAAATTCTCTCTCGAAAACGTTGCTAGCTCTTGGACTATAAATAAAATAGTGAAATCATTATGAAAATGAAAATATAAAATGACACCAATCACAAACAAGTCGTATAGGTATCCGAAGAACGGAGGCATGAAAATTCAATAAATTTAAGAACTGCGTAATTTTCTAACCAATAACCAAAGTTTTATCAAAATCTACCAGCCCTGAAAATATGTATTTGCACTTATTATAAATTAAAATATTAAATCATACGATGAAAAAAAAACGTTACCTCCTTGACAAACATCTCAATATAGTCCAGTACATCGGTTACTTCTTTACAAAACTCTGGAATTTTCAAAGATGTCCATGTAATGGTTGAAAATCCGGGCATAAATGCGTTTTCCATTTTTATCATTTGCATCTTCATCATCGGTAGAAATAATGGAGGAATGGTCGATCTGATTTTGTCGTTTCGCGCTATTAAGGCTTTCACCATTTCGTACGAATCCAGAAGTTTATCTTTGCAAAATACTAATACTTGACCTACATCTGGAACAGCTAGAAATTTACAATTTCGCGCATAGAGTTTACGTCAAAACAGTTTTTCCGCTAAATGATCGGGTGAACTTTTTTTACTTGAAATCCGTTTAAAAAAAACAACAAAACATTCAGTATATAGAAGCCTCCCCAAACACAAAATCATACAAATTTCTCTGCGGAAATGCATCATTCTCTTTTTTCCGACTTTAGAACTGAAATCAATTACATGAAAACGTGTTCCTGCTAACGAAAAAAACGAAAATAAAAAAAAATAAACCCACAAACCAAAAGGAACCTAACCAAAGCAATCAAAACACGCTGTAAGCTAAAACGTGTCTGTTTATGAATTCCCAATTGCCGAGTACTTTTCAAATCTTGCAATATTTTATCAATAAATGAAAATGGTACACTTCCGCAAGAAGTTTTTTTGCGTATCTATGATCTATGTTTAGAAAAATGTCTAGAATGAAAAACAGAAACGTGTTTTGATGTAATTGGTTTCAGCTATTCTAAAGTTGAAAAAGTACTAAATAAACAAATATTTCTTGAGTGTTACAACAGCAAAAAAATAAAATATCCAAATTAAATATATTATCGCATTCGTCTCAGTTAATAATTATTAAAGAATAGTTAGGTATAATCGTTTCTAATATCTTATATAGTCTGTGAAACGAATAACTTTGAATTTGACAGTTCCCGCGGGCTTTTCTAGTGTTAATTTGATTAGGTTAGCAACTTGTGGCCATGCTGACGCAATGCCGTCTCTAATAGAACAGCCTCGGAGCGAGATTTATGACGTCACGCTAACATAATTATTCCTTATATTTGACTATCGCTGGAATCGTACTCCCTAGTCAATGTAGATAGTTTTAGTGTTAAGAATAATAATTTTAAAAATTGTTTCTTTATTTATAGTCGCATATCCATTTTTAAAATTCATATTGAAATTGAGAGAGCACATGGACGATAGTTATAGATAATGGAAACAAGTTTAGATTGGAAAGTGTCCATAAGGACAATGTAAATACTATTTGGCGCTATTCTTACAACGGCCGCTCTCCAAAGTTTTTGATAATTTCGGAGCGGTTCGGCTTTTTCCGGAATTATGTCGCCAAATATGATTTGTTCAATGAGGGCATTTTAAATTAAAGATTTTATAATTTTTGAAGATTCTGACTTTGACAAGAGAAAATTATTTCTGTTCTTGTTTATACGGTTGTTCTTAGCCACCGCTAGAGCAGCGCCTGATCCATGGCCAGATCCCGTACAACGTACGCACCCCAAAATAATTATAACTTTTGGCGGCAAGCTGAGTATTCCAATCTAAACTTGTTTTCTTTATCTATGACGATAGTTCCTGGTCAAGAATAAATAGAGTAGAAGTACAGCGCATGCAACAAAGAAATAAGACAATAGTCTATCGATGATATGTTTAGGACAGTTTTTTTAGTTGTATCCACGTAAGTATATATGATTTAGGATTTCAAATTTCAGACACATCTATATACATCTATTACGCCAACGTAAACATGTTCCTGACCGATATGTAAGATTTTTTTCAATCAGTTTAATCCTATGAACCCTTTGAACCCTTGTGGAGAACAATATTTTACAAAAAAAATAACAAATAAATACATTTTATAGGCTTGGTGCATTTTAGTTGATTTCCAAATTCCAACCGCAGCGCTGTATACGGCAGACATCAGAAATTTTCGCCATGCGCGATGCGATGTATTTCACGCCGTCCCGGTTACAGTTCATGTTGATTGGATTAAAATAATATTGAAATCGTGGTTTTGTCATAATATATAAGTATTTTAGTTTTTTGCTAGTGCAGTTACTGAAACTATAAAACACTCAGGTAAGAGGTTTGTGTGATGTACCTAACGCTGTCTGGGGTAGTAAAAATTAGGCGAAAAAGAACCCGAACTAGGCGTCGTGTTGTGATGTGACAATTTCAAATGTTAATAAAATCGCCGAAAAAATGTTAACTCGTAGAGGAGGGCGTAATTAGGGCGTTGATGGTTGCAATAAGATTCAATAACTCAACTTTCCCAGACATTCAACTCTCCCGAAACAACATTTTACAGCTTCTTAGTTTCTCACACCGATTTGATCAAAAGCAAAAATGGATTCACGCAGTTCGACGAAACAAGTGAGTAAACAAAGTGCTCATTACATAATCAAAAAACTAAATATGCATATGTCGTAGTCTCATAGTGTATTCCGTCTTTTCATGAAAAGCCTAGTCACTTAATGAAAAAAAAACTAACTTAATAACATAACTAAACTGCTAACCTAACCGACGCTTCATGAAGTGACCTAGGATCTTCATGAAAAGACGAAATACACTATGTAACTACGATACATATACTATGAGAGGATAAAATAAGATTTGCAATATTAATTGTATACTTTTTTTTAAATCAACTAGTGGCTTAAATGTTTTATGAACATATTCTAAAATTATAATTATGTACCTTTAAAAATTTTCGTTATAGCTGGAATAGCCCCAGTTACAGGGCCGGACTTAACGAAGTTGCCACCCCAGGCCAAAAAAAATTGCCGCCCTTAACATTTTTTTTAATTAAACAAAATTACGGATATAAAAAACATTTATTTGAATACAGGACCAACAACAGAATAGACCGACAGAACAGATCAACACAGAACATAAAATAAATATTAAAATATTCATATAAAATGACAACAAACGAACAACAAAACTATAAGGTTTGCTTATATGCCTATAAAGGCATACTACGTACTTTTTTGTTCGCAAAATTATCAATTACTTCATCGTAATTGATAGTTTTTAAAAGATCGGACTCTATATGTAAAACTGCCAAATGATTTAGACGTTCTGTTTCCATAGTGGACCGTAAATAAGTTTTAATACGTTTCAATGCAGAAAACGAGCGTTCAGCAGAACAGTTAGTAATAAAAAGTACATGTGAAGATTCTTAATGCTATGAAAGTGACTTGAAACACCACGGCACTGGAATTAAGTTTTATGTGACCTTGAACAGATTAGTTCACATGGTAGCGACCGATGAATCACTCCCAAACATTCGTGGCGTTTACTATAGGAGCATCTAATCGGGTTTTAGACTTTTCGGTATCGTCTTCAGAAATTGACTCCAACTTGGATTTTATTTCATTGGAAGACAAAGATTGTGATTGGCAAGCTTCATTTCGTGCAGACCAACGTGTTTTTGATAATTTTTTAATGTTTTTGAATTTATTTTTTTATATTCGAGGTATTTATGTATTTATTAACTGGATGCATGGCACAATGCAGTAAAAAATAACCCAAGCGAATTATATATTTAAACAATAATAATAGTTAAATAAATAAATATGTAATCGGCTAAGGCTATATTCGAAATATTTTATGAACAAATAAAAGTTAAAAAAAAGATAAATATTTTGGTATGGTATTTGCCGCCCCTAAAAATCTGCCGCCCCAGGCTCTGGCCTAGTTGGCCTAGGCCTAAGTCCGGTACTGCCCAGTTATGACCCCACTAGCAAAACTGAACATTTTCTATATGATGACATTTTTTATATACTCGCTATTTAAACCCGTGTATTTGTATATGCCGGTTATTTACGATATTCTCCGATGGTGGCAGCACCGGCGGAGAATGCACCAAACCTATAGAATGTATATTATTTTATAATTACCTAAATCTAGTTTGTACATGTATTCAGCTTCACGAATAACTTCCGTAATATAAGGATGGTAGTTAACTTGATACCTTCTCGTCTTCTCCTCTTTACACATAATAGGTTTTATTAAACAATTTCTCACCTATATAACAAATTATTTGAATGTGGAAATTCCACAAAATTTAAATTATTTAAATTATTATTGAGTCCTACAATACCTGAGCAGTGTAATCGAACCAACCCTGGTGAAAAATATTCTCATAATGAACAAAGCACATTGACATTGCATTAAAAAGCTGAATACATTTTTGAACTTTTCTATGCTGCATAACCTAAATATAAATATTATTTATATTATTTTTTTTTTTACAAACTGTAAGTTTTGGGTTCGTTGAAGGACTATTAGAGCTACAATTTAAAAATATTTTTACAGGATACAGAGTGTCCTTAATAAATAAAAAATATCAAAGTTGTATTTTTTTAAATGGAACACCCTGTATATTATTGCATTTTTAGTTTCTACGATTAAAATATAGCCCCATAAAAAAGCCCCCCCCCCCTCCACTTAAACCTTACCGTTTTTGAAATATTTTCAATTTTGTGAAATTGCAGTATAAATTTTAAGGCTTCATTTCTCCGAGGGTATCAAAGTTTTTAATACTAAATATTTACTGAAGTTTATTTATTGATCAGTTATTATGTTTCGATAATAAAAATTATACTACCTTATACAGAGTGTCTAAAAATTTATTTTATATAATTACTAGCTTTAAACGGCAATAACTTGTTTAATTTAAATAGAACACCCTGTATATTTTATGCGAATCAGATGCACAATTTGATTGTCTATCAAATTGTATTATACCACTTTTTACCTATCCCTTCAAGTTTTCGTAGAAAATGCATTTTCTTATAATTTAGACCTCATTTATCAACATACCCATGGAATATTGACATTTTAGATTGTTTTTAAAACAACAAATGTACAAAATGTACAGGCTAGTAATATTATCGTTTTACTAAAAACGATAATATTACTAGCGCATTTGTATGCAAAAAGAAAACTATTTAAATCTTTATAAAAGAGTATACTATTACAGTTGAGGGTTGGAACCTTTGGTGTTACGCAATAAAATAAAAACACTAAATCACCACAATACCCCAAAACACTTTTACTTCCACACTGGACGCGCGTTTCGCTAACCACGTTAGCATCATCAGCAGATGATTATAAACTAGCTCTAGTATTTACACTGGACGCGCGTTTCGCTAACCATGTTAGCATCATCAGCAGATGATTATAAACTAGCTCTAGTTTATAATCATCTGCTGATGATGCTAACATGGTTAGCGAAACGCGCGTCCAGTGTAAAAGTAAAAGTGTTTTGGTGTATTGTGGTGATTTAGTGTTTTTATTTTGCTAAACGAGTATACCATTAATTAAATATACCACCAGTATTTCCGCCCAAATACTAATTATTTACTTAATTATGCTTAATTGTGTTCGTTAATAAATTATTCTAAATAAATGTGCATTTGAATCAGAAATCAATATAATAATAAGTTATGAAGATGAACGTCTCTGTTGTTATAAATAAGCATTTGTCAAAAAATTAAATATCATTTTTAAGGTGTTTTACCACACTGTCTAATACACATACATAATTCAGTTTTTTAGTATTTGGAGCAATTATTATTAATCAACGCAAACAGTCAATTAATGTAGTTTGAATACTGGAATCATATCAATTGGTCCTCTTTAACAAATATTTAAACAGTTTTTTTAATTTTTTATTGAAATAAACGAACTATATCGACAATATTAGTATCTGTACTCTTTAAAAATTTGGTACATCTTTAAAAATAATCTAAAATGTCAGTATTCCATGGGTATAAATGAGTTCTAAATTACAAGAAAATGCATTTTCTACGGAAACTTGAAGAGATAGGTAAAAAATGGTATAATACAATTTGATAGACAATTAAATTTTGCATCTGATTCTCATAAAATATATAGGATGTTCCATTTAAATTAAACAAGTTATTGCCGTTTAAAGCTCATAATTATTTAAAATAAATACTTAGACATTCTGCATAAGGTAGTAAAATTTTTATTATTGCAACACAATAACTGATCAATAAATAAACTTCAGTAAATATTTAGTATTAAAAACTTTGATACCCTCGGAGAAATGAAGCCTTAAAATTTATACTGCAATTTCACAAAATTGAAAATATTTCAAAAACGGTAAGGTTTAAGTGTAATAAACCTTAATCAAATTTACATTTATTTTAATTGTAGAAACTAAAAATGTAATAATATACACGGTGTTCCATTTAAAAAAATACAACTTTGATATTTTTTATTTATTTGCGACACTCTGTATCTTGTAAAAATATTTTTAAATTGTAGCTCTAACAGTCCTTCAACGAACCCAAAACTTACAATTTGTAAAAATCTAATCGTTTAGCTACAATATTCCGTGTCGTATGTGGTGAACAACCCTGTATAGTGATTAAACATGCCTATGTAAACAAGCCTATGTAAAACCGCATTTAAAAAATACAGTGTGAATCTAATTTTAAATGAAAAAGTTTTATTACAAAATGTATATCAAGATTAACCAATGTTTTTGATCCTCATCACAATCTCTGTAAAAAGAGGTTGCTTTATTAGAATATTTTGAATGGGAAAGCGGTAGTAATGGCCCTTTATGTCCCTTAAGTGCTGTTAAGAAATTTAAAGAAGGCATCCATTTTTCTCAAAGAGACCTGGTTCAAATTAAAAAAGTAGAAAAAAGACTCAAAGTCTCGGTCTCAACGTTTATACAATGTTAAACTGTTACACGTGTTTCGCTCATATACGAGCATCATCAGACAAATACAATTAAAATTAATCGAAATACACCGTTCACATTTTACAATTAAAACAACACTGCTGTTAAGAAGGTGAGTTTTGTCGATGTAAAAAATAACTGTTTATATATTTATAATTAATTTATTTTTGTTTAATAAAATATTTTGATTAAAGGAAAATATGTAAAAGTGGGCATCGCTGTGCCGGTCAAGCTTAATCACGTGACTAAAAGTTTATTTGGTATGAACTGTAATTACCCGTGTTTTTGTTTTAAACACATCCATCGGTTCGGCAATCCTAGCATAGAAATGTCTTATCCACATGATTCGGCCACTCACAGGCGGCATATTTCTGGGAAGCTGAGGAACCTGCCTTTCTTCGTTGTATCTATCTCGTAACGTTTCAATCTCAAATTGGAATAACATCATCGCCTCTAGGTATCTTTCATCTAGATGCAAACATTCCAAATCCAATTTCTCAAATCTAAAACAATTAAAAGTAGGCATAATAAACTTAATTTCGATATTACGAAGTCCAGCACCTTTTCAACAGTCGCAATATATTATCAACGTCCGTCATCTTCTCTAGTGAGGCACCCACAAATTCTTCAAGTTCCCATTCAGTGTCAACCACGTTCTGTTTAAACTGATTAAAGTCTTTTTCGAAATAGGGTAAACGATGGTTCAAGGCGTCGTACTTTTGAGTTGAAATTTCGGTGAAAAAGTCTTTGAATTTCTGGGCATAAACATCAATACCTTCGATAGTGCTTTGTTGAAGGATCGAATACTTGACAGTCGTTTGTAATACGTAAACAATCTAAAATATATTAAACTAATTTTGAGATATTCTTCCCATTATACAGGGTTGTTCACCACATACGACACGGAGTATTGTAGCTAAACTATTTGATACTGATTATATTTTTACAAATTGTAAGTTTTGGGTTCAATGAAGGACTATTAGAGGTACAATTTAAAAATTATTTTACAAGATACAGAGTGTCCCAAATAAGTAAAAAATATCAAAGTTGTATTTTTTTTATATGGAACAACCTGTATATTATTACATTTTTAGTTTCTACGATTAAAATAAAGGTAAATTTGATTAAGGTTTATTATACTTAAACCTTACCGTTTTTAAAATATTTTCAATTTTGTGAAATTGCAGTAAAAATGTTAAGGCTTCATTTCTCCAAGAGTATCAAAGTTTTTAATAGGTACTGAAATATTTACTGAAGTTTATTTATTGATCAGCTTTTCTGTTACAATAATAAAAATAATACTACCTTGTACAGAGTGTCTAAAAATTTATTTTAAATAATGTCTAGCTTTAAACGCCAATAACTTCTTTAATTTAAATGGAACGCCCTATATATTTTAGGAGAATCAGATGCACAATTTAATTGTCTATCAAATTGTATTATACCATTTTTTACCTATCCCTTTTGTTTTCGAAGAAAATACATTTTCTTATAATTTGGACCTCATTTATCAATATACCCATGGAATGTTGACATTTTAGATTGTTTTTAAAGCAACAAATGTACAAAATATACAGGCTAATAATATTATCGTTTTTAGCAAAACGATAATATTACTAGCCCATTTGTATGCAAAAAGAAAACTATTTAAATCTTTATAAAAGTGTATACCATTAATTAAATATAACACTATTATTTCCACCCATATACTAATTAATTACATACTTAATTGTGTTCGTTTATAATATAATAAATTATTCTAAATAAATGTGGATTTGAGTCAGAAATCAATATAATTATAAGTTATCAAAATGAACGTCTCTGTTGTTATAAGCATTTATTAAAAAATGAAATGTCATTTTTAAGGTGTTACTTTATACCACACTGTCTAATACACATACAAAACTCAGTTTTTTAGTATTTGGGGCAATTATTATTAATCAACGCAAACGGCCAGTTAATGTAGTTTCAATACTGGAATCATATTAATTGGTCCTCTTTAACAAATATTTAAACAGTTTTTTTTTTATTTTTTAATGAAATAAACGAATTATATCGACAATATTAGTATCTGTACTCTTTAAAAATTTGGTACATCTTTAAAAATAATCTAAAATATCAATATTCCATGGGTATATTGATAAATAAGTTCTAAATTACAAGAAAATGCATTTTGTACGAAAACTTCGATTTTCATAAAATATACAGGGTGTTTCATTTAAATTAAACAAGTTATTGCCGTTTAAAGCTAATAATTATTTAAAATACATTTTTAGACACTCTGTATAACGTAGTATTATTTTTATTATTGCAACGCAATAACTGATCAATAAATAAACTTCAGTAAATATTTAGTATTAAAAACTTTGATACCCTTGGAGAAATGAAGCCTTAAAATTTTTGCTGCAATTTCACAGAATTGAAAATATTTCAAAAACGGTAAGGTTTAACTGTAATAAACCTTAATCAAATTAACATTTATTTTAATCGTAGAAACTAAAAATGTAATAATATACAGAGTGTTCCATTTAAAAAAATACAACTTTGATATTTTTTACTTATTTGGGACACTCTGTATCTTGTAAAATTATTTTTAAATTGTACCTCTAATAGTCCTTCATCGAACCCAAAACTTACAATTTGTAAAAATCTCATCGCTTAGCTACAATACTCCGTGTCGTATGTGGTGAACAACCCTGTATATTATCAATATCTCATGAAAGTGATGACAATATTCATTATAAAGAAGCAAGCAAGTTATCTAAGTCTGTCCAAAGAGAAAAGAGACATTTCGACAGAAGATATTCAAAAAATTACCGAAAATACAATCTACTCTTGAATTTGGATTTGTGTGAAGGGGCCCGGGTGTATTTGTTTGCGTGTTTTTTCACCTTACGTTTTCTCTATTGATTTGTTGTTAGTGTCTGAATCACGAAATTACTCGTAATCGTAATGTAATATAAATGAAAATATTGTTGATAAAAAAAGTTTCAGGAATAACCTTAGGATATTGCCGTCATTCTATTTCATCTCTACACTGAAAAAAAATATATAAAAAGAAAAATCTAAAACATTGTCCCGCAGATTGTACTACTTGTGAACATATGACACACAATTGTTGTATTAGCTAAGTTATTATTCTTCCCCAACTTAGTTAACAATAGTGCCTAGTAACAGCAAATTGTGTCAAAATAATATAGTTAGTAGTGCTACAATTTGTACCTAATGAGTTTTATTTAAATTTCAACGAGTACAATCTGAATATTCAACCGTTGTGGTAATTCTCGCAGATTGTGAGAATTTCCAATTGCGCGAGCAGGATCACGAGCAATGTGGACGCACTTTACAGAATAAAAAATAATAATAAACTAACCTGTTCGCATCTTTTTTTAAACGTCTCGAATTTACCAAATATAAAACTTTCCGAACAGTCAAAATGCTTCTCTCCCTTTTCCTCCATTTGTTTTTGGGTTCTTTTGAAACACTGGTAGTATTTTAGATAGACATCTAAACAGGTCTGAAATAAAATAACGTACACTATCAGACAAAAGTAGAAAAACTTTTTAAAACTCGTCGGATTTCAAAAACCTCCAATATTTGAAATAATGTTTGTTTTAAACATGTTTCCTTTTAACAATACCATCATTTTTCGCCACATTCCAAATTTATCTTATCAGGAGTTTATTTATAATATGGACACAAATATTTTTGAAGGGACATAAATAAAGAAACCAACATCAAAATTGACTCTTCTCTCTTTTTAATTCAAACCAGGTCTCTTTGTCATTTTCTTTAAATAAAAATTGACCATACTTAGTTATTTGCTTAAGTGAAAACTGAAAATATTTGTCTGACGATTTTCGCGAAAAATAATCAACGCATATTGGAATGGTGTTTGCCGGATGGATATAAGCACAATATTTAATTTATATAAGTCTGTCATTAGCAAAACGATTCCAATTTCAAAACTCGTAATTCCTTAAAGACTATTAAAAAAGTGGTCGGCAAAGGAAAACAAGACCAAGCAAAACAAGACCATCCAAAGAAGGCTAAGGGAAGCAGAATTATTTAGCAGAAGAGCAGCCAAAAAACCACTCATCAGTAAGAAGAACCAGAAGGCCCAACTTACCTTAGCAAAAAATTATTTGCACTGGTCGACGAATGACTAAAAAAAGGTCCTGTTTTCAGATGAAAGCAAATTCAATATATTTGGATCCGATGGCATATCGTGGATATATCGCCCAGAAGGGAAAATATTTGATCCAAAGTATACCCAGGCCACTGTAAAGCATGGTGATGTATGGTGTGGGGATGCTTCTCGGGCTATGGCATGGGACCACTGCATTTAATAGAAGGAATAATGGATCGATTTATGTATTTGGACATCTTAAAGAAAGTGATAATTCCGTTTGCTAATGATAATTTGCCTTTAACCTGGATATTTCAGCAAGATAATGATCAAAAAGCACAAATCGAAAGTCTTACAAGAATGGTTTTTGTCTGAACAAATTAGGGTTATGGACTTTCCTGCCCAAAGTCCAGATATTAACCCCATTGAAAACCTGTGGGAGGAACTAGATCGCCGGGTAAGACGAAGTCACATACGCAATAAGAAAGATGTGATAAGAATATTGAAAGAGGCCTGGAATTCCATTGAACCAGATACCATAAGAAAACTATTGGACTCCATGCCAAAGCGATGTCGTGAAGTTATAGCTAATCACGGTTACTGTACCTATTATTAATTTTATTAGGTTAGCAACAACTATGTACTTTTATATTAATTTTTAGTTTCTCTATTTTTGTCCCTATAGTATTTTATTTAACTGAATAAAATCTTAAGTTTTCGTGAGACATGTGATTATTTAATAAACTTATTATTTATTAAGTAAACTTTAAATAACGGGCAGAGGGTGTGGCGGGTCTTAGCTTAACCGCCCGGACCAAGAGGAGACAACCTCATCAAAAACTTAAATCCTATTATGCAAGACCAAGGTCAAAGGTATGCGTGGCTAGGTAGAAGACTAGCTTCTACTGGTCTCAACCTTCGAGCACCAGGAGGCAACCTATTGTATTCTCGTCTCCCTTTGTTCTATGCGGGGCTCTGTAGAAGTGGACCGACTAACCCTTGCGGTGTAATTGACCTCAAATTGCCAAGGAGGCAATAGAGGAAGAGGGAGATATCCTTTATTAGAGATCCGGGACCACACCGGTCTCAGGTCTAAGGAGGGACCAAGTTAAAGAAGTGGAGAAAATGGAGACAGATCCTCCAGCCTCCAACTCACGGGTAACTCAGCCGGAGACAACCTCCTCGAGTGTGAAGGACACGGAGGGCTAAACCCCAACCGTGGAAGGGTGTATACCCTCGTAGGAGGTAGATGTCCACTCCTCGGATAAAACCTAACCTAAGCTAACATCTGTTGTCAGAGGAGGGATGGAAAAAATACCCTGTCTCCCTTTTTTTCGGGCAAAAAAGTGTAAAAATGTGAGAAAATCGAAATGTGAATGAAAATAAAATTGATTTTCAAAAAAAAATTGTTTTTTCCAAAAAACTCAGCAATCCTTGAAATTTTTAAAACTTGTTTGATGGCATCTTGGTAAACATTTCAAGGCACAACTTTGCCCCAATTTAACCATCTTCGTATCTATTACGCTTTCCGAGTTCCCAATATTACTGTTCCTGATTATAGTTTTGTAATGAAGTTCATAAAATTTCTAGGACACCCTGTATATTGTGTTAATATTATACTAGAATAATAGAGCCTTCATGTACTTTTAATAATGACAGTCAATGTATTTTATTGTTAGATCATTATTGTAATGAACTTCATTAGTGTACTTATTGTTGACTTAAATAAGTTAAATATTTAATTGCCATTTTGTAAGAGAGTTTTGATCGGTTTTAATGCGAAAAACCGAAACGTTTGCGCCGCTCTCCCTACTCTGCTAGTGCAGGTTGGGTGGAGGGGAGCGTCAGTCAAGTACCTCGGCTGCAGCAGCTCCAGTTAGACAGTTTGTGGTCGCACGTGTAACAGTGAGGTTCGAGTCCGGAGTGCCCTGCCAAGTGTCCTGCTGCCAGCCGCCTGTCGCCGCACTGTATAAGGTAAGCACCCACCGCCAACGTGATCGAGAGTAGGTCGTATTCTTTTTATTTTGTTAAGGACGTTTACTTTACTGCCTTAACGCGTTACAGGGATAAGGGAGACAGAGATATTTATATTCGCTCAGGTAGGCCGACTGTCCTCTACGGAGGTTGGGGGCTATTTGACCGAAACGCGCGAACGCAAAAAGATAGCATAGGTCGACTGTCCTCTACGGAGGTTGGGGGCTATTTGATCGGATCACGTGGACGCGAGGAACGATTTCTTTTGTTAAAAGGGAGAGAGTGAGACAGCTAACGGTTAGGGTAGTACAGTAAAGGCACGGGTCGCGAATGTTCACGGAGCTAAAACAAGACCTCGCCCAAATCCCGAGGCGGGTTTTGTAGCTCCCGTATTTTCTGGGTGTGTCGTCCGGACAGCACCCTGCATCAGTGACGCTGGACGGGATCTCGCCGAAATCCCGAGGTTGTCCTGACCGGGCGGTGTGTGTGCGGGCTGCGCTTATCCAAACGACGTACAACTCGCCGAGACGTCGCTAACGTCTACGTCACTCCGGGACTCGCGTTTGTGTATCCCTCGGGACGCGGTTAACTTCGCGATCGATCCAGGGCTCGCGTGTATGTGTCCCACGGGACGCTGCTAACTTCGCGATCGATCCAGGGCTCGCGTTTGTGTATCCCACGGGACGCTGTTAGTTTCGCGATCGATCCAGGACTCGCGTGTGTGTATCCCACGGGACGCTGCTAACTTCGCGATCGATCCAGGGCTCGCGTTTGTGTATCCCACGGGACGCTGTTAGTTTCGCGATCGATCCAGGACTCGCGTGTTTGTATCCCACGGGACGCTGTTAGTTTCGCGATCGATCCAGGACTCGCGTTTGTGTATCCCACGGGACACTGTTAATTTCGCGATCGATCCAGGGCTCGCGTTTGTGTCCCACAGGACGCCGTTAACTTCGCGATCGATCCAGGACTCGCGTTTGTGTATCCCACGGGACGCTGTTAACTTCGCGATCGATCCAGGGCTCGCGTTTGTGTATCCCTTAGGACGCTGTTAATTTCGGGATCGATCAAGGACTCGCGTTTGTGTATCACGGGACACTTTTAACTTCGACGCCCATCCGAGGTCCGGGTTTCGCTGTCAAAACGGACGCCGTTCCGAGAAATATTTAGCTGTGACCACCGGGACGCCTGTAACGACGTCGCCACCGTTTAGAGAGCCGCGTCGTAGTAGAGTGTGTTGCTCCGGTACTGACGTGTCTGTTTTCATTAGGACGCCGCTAAATTCGACGCCGATCAGGAACTCGCGTCGTCTTATTTAATAGAACGTCATTTCCGCGTTTTGAATTCGCGGAATAGAATCAGTCAGAGAATTACATATCGGGAATAATCGATCAAAACTCTAGAGGTACATGGTTGTTATTGTAAATTTTACTTTACGGGTCTTTAAATATACATTTTATTTCACTATTGTTACGATTCGAGGACGTGAACCTTCCTGGATTATTTTTTTTGTACATAATTAATTAGTTAAATAAAAGCCTAGTGTTACGTTGTAGTTAATTGTGTGTTTTATTTTCTTTTCATCTCATCGCTCCCTGGTATCTCCACTGTATAAAAGCTACCCGTACTGGCACTAGTGGTCTCTCAAACACTTTAAACGTTGGGGGTGGCGCCCGAGGAACCGAACCAATGCAATTAGGCGTCCGTGACCTTTCTCTAAAACGGGGGAGCGTCACACTTTGTTACGTTAAAATCAAACCACCCAACATTTGCCCAAGTTGAGTTTACTCTTTTACCTTAATTTTATCCAATACAACTATCTTAAGCTGATTCCACACAGTTTTCGTTCCCTCGCAGTCCAAATAGTCTCTACATTTCTTGATAATCTGATTCGATATTTTCACCAAAATCGCCGTTATATTGGCGGTACTGTTGTAATATCTGGACGTGGTAAAGACCATTCTTACGGCGTAGAGCAAAGGCGGTATGTGGGGCACTATTTGAGGAGGATCCAACCTATACAACGGTTCCCAATATTTTTCCATCGAGTAGAGATATTTCAAGTTGTCAGCGCATTCGTTTCGAGTATCGTATACCAGATTCACGTGCTTTTTCCAAATCTACAATTAGATTCATTTATACTACTTAGATTCATTTATAACGTAAGCCATTAAAGAAAAGTCAATCATATGTTGCTATGTTATGAACAAATTTTAGTTAAAATTATTTCTTCCTAATATATTCTTGTATACGGATAAAAATAATTGAAAAACTACCTACGTTTGATTTATAATAGCCGAAAAAAAAATTAACTGTGAAGAATTTCACATGTAAAGCTAAAATCAAAAATAAAATCTCTATAAATATCTAACTAAACTGCCCCGTCGGTAGTTAGGCCAATGCGACAATGATTAGAATGGTTACTGACGGAAACAGTACTGGGAGAATTTTCAGGTCAGGGGCTTGGAACACCCTCAAAATGAAAATTCCACTTCTCCAACTCCCAGTGAATGACATACCAAGAATTTACAACTTTGAGAAACACCTCACTGTAGTATTGAGTAATAAAAAGGATTGGAAGAAAGAGACGCTTACTCAGCATATAAAGGACCATACCATCATGTGGTATACGGATGCTTCCAAAACCAAAGCAGGGACAGGGATAGGAGTATTTGGGCCGAAAACTGAATACTCCGAACCAATGGGCACCTACCCCAGTATCCTTCAGGCAGAAATTTGCGCTATCAAAAGATGCGTACAATTTATCTTAGATAGGAACTATCGAAAACAGGAAATTGCCATCCTATCCGATAGTCAAGCAGCACTTAACGCGATCAACTCAGTAACCATCAATTCGAAGTTGGTCAAAGAATGCCTGGAGAAGCTCAACAAATTAGGCAAAGAAAATAAAGTCCTCCTACTCTGGGTGCCTGCTCACCAAGGGATAGAAGGCAATGAAAAAGCAAATGATCTAGCTAGAAAAGGAGCGAACACTCCACTAACTGGACCAGAACCGTTCTGTTTTCCAAACGGGAACCAACTGAAAGCGGAACTGAAGAATCTGGAAGACTCCATCCGTAACTTGGAATGGGTGTCCTCCAACGGTCTAAGACACTCGAAAAAGTTCCTTAGAACTTATAACCGAGAAAAATCAAAGGTTTTCCTTGATTTAAGTAAAAACAATCTTCGGATTGTCACGGGGTTTCTAACAGGACACTGTCTCCTCAACGAACACCTCAGTAAGCTGAAACTGAGAAACAACGGCGAATGCAGATTTTGTGGGGAAAATGGGAAAACACCAGAACACCTTATCACTGAGTGCATCGAGACGACCATTCGTGCCATAAACCTTGGTACGTCTGATGTCGAGGATGGAGAGCTGGCCTCTGTGGAGCCGTCTCAGATACTGGCTTTTCTTAAAGCCCTGAGACTGTATGATGAGTTATAACTCGTTATAACTCAAAAAAGGGGAACACACAATAGATCTATAAGGTCGCGGTGATTAACTCCCCTCCTAAACATTCTACATTCTACAACTAAACTGCCCGTCAAATTAAATACCACAGCGATTTTTTTACTCATTTTCAACAAGTTGTAACTTTGAAAAAATGGACCAATTTTGTTGATTTTTTAGCATATTAAAGATCGTTTTTCGTAGATTGATCTGATTTTTCTAAATTTTGTATGAGATTTAGTTTTCTTTGATATACAGGGTGGTGAAAAAAAGAAATGCAATTTTTGTAATTTTTGTGTTGCTGCCATTATGCTAAAAAAAATTCAACTAGAATTATAAGTTCTGGGTATAGCTAAAACTAATATCTCGGGACGTATTTGGAATTTTTACGATAACTCATCTGCAATAAAAGATAATCAATTTTTACTCTAACTTGTATTTTTTCTACCTTTCTTAAGAGATATGCTAACAAAACTGAAATTAACTTTATAATGTAGGAACATGTTACATAAAAAGTGAATGTGAGTTTTACCCCCCGTTATTCATCAATACCGCGTAGATCCGCCTCGTACCCGCAGAAGTTCGGCTGTTCTTCTAGGCATACTATCCACCAAGTTCCTGATAAAATCCTGCGGAATAAATTCCCATTCGTCCCTGATGGCGATCGCCAATTCTTCCACATTCAAAAATTCTTGCTCTCTCTGATTCAGTTTTAGTTTCATCCTACTCCACACGTGCTCAATCACATTCATGTCAGGCGACCTAGCAGGCTAGTTCATTCGATCAATCCCATGCTCTCTTAGTGCCTCATTAATAATTTGGGCTCTATGTGGGCGAGCATTATCATCTATCAAGATGAATCCCTCACCAAAGTTCTGGACGAACGGCACAACAATCTCATTAACACATAAGTCTCTATATCTTACGGCATTCATTGTTTCCCCGATCAAAATTACCAAATCTGTTTTACCATTTCTTCTTACTCCCCCCAAACAGTCACTCCTAATACTTTTTCGCTGGTCGTATTTTTAAGAGATCCTGCATAAATCTGCGTTAGTTAAATCATTTTTTTTTAATTTCACATTGTAAAAGTAACGAATATTCTACAATTTTAAAGTTAATTTCAGTTTTGTTAGCAGATCTCTTAAGAAAGGTAGAAAAAATACAAGTTAGAGTAAAAATTGATTATCTTTTATTATTCCAGATGATTTATCGTAAAAATTCCAAATACGTCCCGAGATATTAGTCTTAGCTATACTCAGAACTTATAATTCTAGTTAATTTTTTTTGGCAAAATGGCAGAAACACAAAGATTACATTCCTTTTTTTCACACCCTGTATAACATAGAAAACTAAAGCCGGAGTCTCATGCATCCGAAATCCGATGACACGACGATCCGACGGTGCTCCTATTGGTCGAAATATTTTGACAACAATTTTTATCCGATAATTTTAACTAATCATCCGACGTCGTATAAAGTTAAATTTTGTTTAACTTTTGTACGATATCGTGTGTTTTTTAACCTCACTTTTTTTGAAAACATTTGTTTTTAAAAACAAGTTTAGTGGGAAGTGAGCAATTTCGGGATATTTGGCGAGGAAGTTATTTTTATAAGTGTTTCTCCAATAACACATGACATGAATCTCTATTCAGCGCAGCAGAAAAATGTCAAAACTGTCAAATTTCGGAACGAACTTTCGGATGTATGTGACAGGCTTTTTTTATTTCACACGATAACTTCAAATTTTGGATGTCGTACCATCGGATTTCGGATGCATGTGACTCCGGCTTAAATCTCATACAAAATTTAGAAAAATCAGATCAATCTACGAAAAACGATCTTTAGTATGCTAAAAAAATCAACAAAATCGGTCCATTTTTTTCAAAGTTACAACTCGTTGAAAATGAGTCAAAAAATCGCTGTGGTATTTAATTTGACGGGCAGTTTAGGTGCTGCTTAGTGTTATTAGTCAAATATATGCACTTATTTGTATTAAAAATAATTGAATAAACTATCTACGTATTCAATATTATACAGAGTGGTGCCTCTCATACGACACGGAGGCTCCAAGGAAAACGGTCATTTATATCGAAATTAAATTTTGGTAGCGAATGTAGGTTAGTTCAGAGCATTTTTAAAAATATAGAGAGTTCTACAGGGTGTCCCCAAAAAAGGTTACACATCAAAGTTTTGTTTTTGTAAAGAAACGCCGTATATGTTAATTGATTTTCGAATTCTAGGAGAAAAATAAAGGTGAGTTTTATAAAAGAATAAGTATATGACTAAAATGTAAGGTTTTTGACATATTTAATATTTTCTAAAAATAAAGAACAAATTTCAAATTCTCAATAAAAACTACCTATTGGAATTTACCCTGTATGGCCTGATATTTGGTTAAAATAGCCATTGTACAAATTTCAAATTCTCAATAAAAACTACCTATTGGAATTTACCCTGTATGGCCTGATATTTCGTTAAAATAGCCATTGTATGTTAAAGAAAATTAAAATTTAACCTAAAAAGTTATACAGGGTGGGACAAAATTAATATTAAACATTGGTCACTTTTAAAATCAAATTACTCCTTTATTTCAAATAGAACATCCAGTATATTCCGATATTCAATGGAGAATTCATATATCTTCAAAATATTCTTAAGGTGACCTACCTCTTAGTCAAAGATTTTCCTAGATAAAATCTAGGTGGCTGTGATATATATCTTTTGTTAATTTAACAAAAATGAAAGGATGTAGAGTATAATATATATTCGACGGTAATAAAAAAACACACATTTAAAACATATTTTAAATTACAGAATTAAAACTAGAAATAAGCGTATAATTATGTGACAAATTTTAGCTAGTTGAAATATAATGCTCATAATGCATCTTTTCCTGTTCACTGCATAAAATGATTCTCTTTTCAAAACATCTTTTCATGTCAAGCAGCATATTATGTGGAGTTCTACTTCGAAAAACAGCCAAATTAATTTCTCTCATGTTGTCGATAATAGTTGGTCGAGACTTGTAAGCACTGTCTTTAACATATCCCCATAAAAAAATCCCAGACTAGATAAATCAAGAGCATTTAGGCATTCTATGAATGGGTGAATACATACTCCAGACATGAATAATTAATAGAATCGTGGCACTTTCTCTCAGATGTTGGATAAGTTTAAATGTTCGGAAAATTTCTGAGAATTTCTTTGACTGACACAAAATGATAACTAGTTGCTAAATCCAGCTTTGAGCAGCACCCAGCTTTGAGCAGCATCCAAAAGCAGCATCCGAAATCCAGCTTTGAGCAGCATCTAAATGACCAACTGACTAATTCCTCAAACTCAGAAGACGTTGAAGAAATGTGGTCGAGCATCAAAGAATCATTCAAAACAGCAAATAATGCATTTCTTCTGCAACCAAGAGTCACAGCAAAGAATGAATGGATGACAGAGAATATCTTACAACTAATGGAGAATCGCAGGAAATGCAAAGTCAGTGGAGACCGTGATGGCTATACTTCTTATCAAAGAGGAGTTCGAAACGAGATAAGATTGGCAAAAGAGAAATGGCTAACGGAGCGTTGCGAGGAGGCTGAAAACTTTGTTCGTCTGGGGGACAGTTTTCATCTACACAAAAAAGTAAAAGAAATTGCTGGTATCTACAACAAAAGACCTACAACCACTCTTAGAAATGATCAAAACGAACCGATCATAGACCCAGACGAGTTACAGGAAACCTGGAAATCATACGTGTCCAGCCTTTTCAGTGACGACAGAACGCAGAGTACGCCCGAAGTTATTAACAATATACCGGAGGGACCGAGCATATTGGAGAGTGAAGTAAGATATGCCATGAAACTAATGAAGAACAACAAAGCTCCCGGGCCAGATGATATGTATGCAGAGACTATACACATGCTAAACGAAAATAACATGAAAAAATTAGTCAAGCTTTTCAACATCATATATGACACCGGACAACTCCCTAAAGACTGGCTGAGATCCACGTTCATCACTCTTCCAAAGACGGCCAATGCAAAATTATGTAGGGATTACCGACTGATAAGCCTCATGAGCCATTTTTTAAAACTCTTTTTACGCATCCTACATACTAGGCTATACAAAAAATGTGAAGCAGCCAGTGGGTACAGTCAGTTTGGATTTAAAAATGGGTTTGGCACGAGAGAAGCTATATTTAGTCTACAAACACTGGTCCAGAACTGCCTCGACCGGGGAAGGGATGTATTCATGGTGTTCATTGACTACGAAAAAGCGTTCGACAATGTGAAACATGACCTGTTGATAAGATACATGCAAGACCTAGGACTAGACAATAAAGATATCAGAATAATAGCTAACCTGTACTGGAACCAAACTGCCGAAGTAAGGCTTCAAAATTTTAAAACCACCGAAGACATTGAAATAAAGAAAGGGGTAAGGCAGGGCTGTATTCTCTCACCTATGCTATTTAACCTGTATGTAGAAAGAGCGTTTGCCGAGGTAATGTCAATGTGTACAATTGGTATAAGAGTAAATGGCATCCCAATCAATAATATTAGATATGCCGATGACACAGTAATCTTGGCAGACAACGCTGACGACCTTCAAGCACTTCTGCATATGGTTCAGGAGAAAAGTGAGCACCTGGGCCTAAAAATTAACTCAAAGAAGACCAAGTTTATGGTGGTTAGCAAAAATAACATCCCTGCCACCCCTTTATATCTAAACGGCATTCTAATAGAGGAAGTCACTAAATTTAAATACCTAGGCTGCCTCGTTACAAACAGATGGGATCCAGAAGTCGAGATCAGAAGCAGAATTGAACAAGCTCGATCAACTTTTCTTAAACTTAAAAAATTCCTAACGAATAATGATCTCAGCTTTCAACTCAGATATAGAATGGTTAAATGTTATGTCTGGTCCGTCTTGTTGTATGGTGTCGAAGCCTGGACTCTTAAAGTAACCTCGATAAACAGACTGGAGGCATTTGAAATGTGGACTCTTAGAAGAATGTTTAGAATCCCTTGGACAGACCTGGTAAGAAATGAAGAAGTCCTTGGAAAAGCCGGTCTGACTAGCCGTGAACTATTCGACGCCATTAAGAAAAGAAAGACGTCTTATTTGGGACACATCCTGCGTGGTCCTCGTTATGAATTCCAACGTCTTATCCTACAAGGAAAAATCGAAGGAAAAAGGGGAATAGGAAGAAAAAAACTTTCATGGCTCAGGAACATTCGACAATGGACGGGAATACATGACTTTATGTCTCTCCAAAATGCTGCTTTAAATAGAGAAATCTGACAGGATGCAAATGGACGGTCGCCTACGCAGGAATCTGCTTGGCACTTTAAGAAGAAGAAGTTGCGTCAAACATATTACAGCCACCTAGATGTTTTTTTTTATGAATTACCAAATAATAAAGATCTACTTGAACTAAATCATGAAAATGAAAATATCTAGGAAATTTTTTTTAAGGAGTTTAAAAGGTAGACAACCTTTATAATATTATCAAGAGACATAAATTCTTCATAGAATATCCGAATAATATACTGTGTGTCATATTTAAAATAAAGGAGTAACTTGCTTTTAAAGGTGACCAATGTGGAATGTAGTTCCAGTTTAGGTATCTTTTATTGAAATTTAAAAATTGTTCTTCATTTTTAGAAAATGTTAAATATGTCAAAAAAAAACATACATTTTAGTCATATAATAGACCTCACCTTTATTTTCCTCCTAGAATCCGAAAATCAATTAGTATACAGGGTGGTCGAAACTGTATTCCGGAAACTTCGGCAGCATATTCTGCAGATAAAAACAAGTATAGTAAACGCCACGAATGTTTGGGAGTGATTCATCGGTCGCTACCATGTGAACTAATCTGTTCAAGGTCACATAAAACTTAATTCCAGTGCCGTGGAGTTTTAAGTCATATAAAAATCAATATATAATCTGTTGTAATTGGTTGTTTTAACCGTCAAAGTCTTGTCAAAACATATATTTGGTTACAAATATAAACTGGAATGCCCCATTGGTCGCATTGCAAGCACATACATACCGCCATTACTCGCTGACGAGTATTTGACACGCATCAGAAGATGGTTAAGCAAGGCTGAGCTTTTCTGTGACTGAAAAGCCCGATACGTGATGTTATCTGTCTACCGTTGCAAGCACACCAATGGACTGACGCACAAAAACGAATCAATCAAAGAAACGCGATACAGTATCGTCTTTGTCAATCACGCTAACATTTTAGAATAAGTAGGAGGAGCGCAGGCAGATGATTAGACCGGGCCCTTAAAAACCTACGTCTGCGGTAAAAATTTACGTTTTTAATGTAAAAATGATAGCGCGCGTGTCGATTCTAACTTCATCAAGCGATGAATCACTCCCAAACATTCGTGGCGTTTACTATAAAAAAGTTCGTATAAATGTATGTCCTAAAATGCTTAGTTTCGGAGATACAAGGTGCAGAAGTTTCATTTTTATTTGGATTTTTTCCAAATAATTTTTGAACTAACGTCAATAATTAAATGAAAATCGGTGTCTGTGAGTTTTTTGACATGAGAAATTTCATTTTGATGTCATTATGACTCTTATTAGTAAGTGGCGCCACCTAAATGTGTTTTAACTGTTTTGAAGAGTAATAACTTCTCGTCCGTACCTGTATAAAACTACAGAGTGAGAAAATATACATTTCCGTGATTTTTTACGTAATAAATGTCTCTTGGTAAAAATCGCTACGAGCAACCGTACTCAAGATATTTAGAATGTAAATAGTCAATACATGTCATTATTAACAGAAATCAAACATATTATGTTGAGTAGATAGTTATTTGACTGAAATGGTAAATATGGGAACTTTTTATTTTTTTAAATTAATCATAAATTTTTCTTCGAAAAAATAATGATAAAACAGTTTCTGTTGAACTTTTGGCACAAAAACATTTCAAATTTCGACAGGCATTGATAATTTTGATTCCAAATATCTCGAGAACCATTACTCGTAGCAATTTTTACCAAGAAACCTTTTCTACGTAAAAAACGTCGTAAATGTATATTTTCTTACTTAGTAGTTTTATACAGGTACGGACAAAAAGTTATTACACTTCAAAATAGTTAAAGAATATGTAGGTGGCGCCCTCTACAAGTATGAGTCATATTGACATCAAAATCAAATTTCTCATGTCAAAAAACTCCCAGACACCAATTTTTATCCAAATATTGATATAACTTCAGAAGTTATTTGGAAAAAATCGAAATAAGAATGAAAATTCTACACCCTGTATCTCCGAAACAAAGCATTTTAGGACATACATTTACAGCGCTTTCAGATGGAGCGGAGCGTCAGCGACTTCGAGCAAGTACCATGAGTTTATATGAACAATTTCACGTGGGCGCGTATGCTCCGTCCGACGGAGTTCGTCCGACGGCTATCTTGAAAAAAAAAACGGTCCGTCGCGGACGGTCCGCTCCATCTGTTAGCGCTGTTATACGAACTTTTTTACTTATTTTTATCTGCAGAATATGTTGCCGATGTTTCCGGAATACAGTTCGCACCACCCTGTATAGTTTGTTCGATTACAAAAAAAAACTTTGATATGTAACTTTTTTTTGGGGACACCCTGTAAAACTCTCTAAATTTTTTAAAGATGCGTTCAGTTAACCTACATAATATGCTCCCAAAATTTCATTTTGATATAAACTACCGTTCTCTTAGGAGCATCCGCGTCATATGAGAGGCGCCATGCCACCCTGTACGTACCTTACAAATCTCGCCACCAAAACAAGCCTTTAAGAACTTAATAAAATAATTACAGCGCTCGGTATCCACGAATTCCACGATGCTCGTAAACCTTGTTAGTTGGCGTCGCCAATACTCCACTTCCACGTTCGGACCCACAAACTCGTTTTCACTCCTAACTTGTTGATATTGTACTAGACACTAAAGTTGGAAATATTATGAGAAAGACATTATACAAAATTGTTCACGAAATTTGTTGATTAAAGTGTTTTAGAATCAAATTTAGATACAATTTGAATTTTTTTACTTAAGGTTTACCTACTAGGTTTTAAGGTTACCAGGTGTTCAATTTTTCTAAAATATTTTCCACTTTCTGATACTTTCCGTTTAACTAGAAGCGGCCGTTAATTTGTTTATTTTAAGTAGCTCTAAATTAAATACTAAATAGGGATTGCAATTTTACCGACTTTTCAATATACCAGTAATCGGTAATAAGGGTGTCCCAGAAATGAGTGCAAATATTTTGAGGGTGGTAGATCTGGTCAAAATAAACATATTTTCTCTTTACCATTTTTAAAATAAATTGAAAATAACCGAGTTATTTAACTTTAAAAATTTTAAAAAATAATCGCAACATTTTGAGAACCGCCGGCAGATATCGCCAACTACATCCAATTACCCGGATCAAGCCCGGATTTCAGTTAATTCGACGCACTGTGTTGCCATATGAACAAGAAAGTATATGTTTAAGAGTAAGTCATAAAATCACAACACCTGAGGAGTTTGCAGAGATGCATTACATTTTTAAGATTGCGATATTACCTATTACATAAAATAAATTAAAAAGTAAATGTTTAAAAGTTAAAAAAGTTAAATTAAAAAACTTACCCAACATTAAAAAAGATACATATGACAGATCGATGTAACTGTGACAGTTCTCTTTTTCGATACACACTTAACTAAAATACACTTTACTGTGTTGCTTTACTTGTACATGCTATCATAATAACTGCTAAAATAGCAGTCCCCATTTTTTTATTTTAACACATTATTTTCATATAGGCTTCATCACAATTTGAACCACTGATTTACAAAACACCTTGAAAAGCACACATTACTTATACCTTTCTGAATGAATAAATGTTGAGAATTATTATTGTCTCTTACCGCCACTTTACGAACTACTTTCATTCTAAGAAAATACATGTTTCACTCAACAATTTTAAATACGTATTTTGTTTTTTTCGCTATTTTTTCGATGTATATCGACAAATCCATCGACAGCACAACCGTCAGCCAAGAGAGCCGCGCATCACTGTTAACTGCTCCTTTGTCGCGCCGCCGCCGTATCCAGCTTGCGTCATACGAGGTTGCCGTAGTTTCAACAATTTCAAATTCAAGACACTCGTAGCAATCAAATTTTTATTAAATTTTAAAAACAAAACAGAAAAACATGAAAGGAAACAAACAAAACACAAATTAATTGATTATTGATAAGGTCACAAAAAAGAAATTTCTAAAATGTTTATCGTAATTCAGAATTCAATATATCGAAAACAGCCCGACAAATAAACAATTCATTTTTGTTTTGTTTGTTTCCTTTCACGTTTCTCTGTTTTATTTTTAAATTTTAATACGAATTTGATTGCTTCGAATGTCTTGAATTTGAGATTGTTTTAACTACGACAACGTTGCTTAACATCGTTGTCAGACGCAAGCCCGCCACGACGGCGCGGCGCCTCAAAGAAAAAGTTCACCGCGGCATTCTTGGCCGACGTGCGACGATTGGGCTGTCGATGGAATTGTCGAAATACATCGAAAAAACAGCGAAAAAACAAAATACGTATTTAAAATTGTTGAGTGAAACATGTATTTTCTTAGATTGAAAGTACTTCGTAAAGTAATAATAAGAGACAATAATTTTCAGCATTTATTCATTCAGAAAGGTATTCAAAGTAATGTGCGCTTTTCAAGGTGTTTTGTAAATCAGTGGTTCAAATAAAACAGAAACATGAAAGAAAACAAAAATGAATCGATTATTCGTTGGGCTGTTTTCGATATATTGAATTCTAAATTACGATAAACATTTTAGGAATTTCTTTTTTGTGACCTGATTGTGAATAATACTCGGAATATGATGAATAATTTTATTAAATTTAATCCAAAATAAAGTTATTTTGCAGCGCAACAAAGATTTTCGTAAACGTCATAAACGTAATTTTCGGTGGATTTTGTTAAGTTTTCATTGAAAGGGTAAGTACTAAAAATAATTAATGTGTTTTTTCTATAATTATTAATAATGAGCACTGATAAAAGATTAAATTTAACATTCCTAATTTTGTCTATGAATTTATAAATGTAGAACTATGTAGAACGTGGATAACATAGGAGGTTGCAACACTGCAAGGTTTAGATACACCGTAGGGAAATCTCAGGTGAATAAACAAGTTGCACTAAAAAGTTTTTTCAAATTTCCCGGAAAATGTCAAGAAAAATTAAAAATTTCCAACATTTTTTTTTTCGCAAAAAACCTCATAGGCGTGTTTCTGGGATTGAACTGTACTACCAGTTTTAATATTTGCACTTATTTCTGGGACACCCTGTATAAAACATGGAATTACCGGTTTCCCGGTCACAGCATTTTCAAATATTGAAATCGCAAAACATTTTCCGATGCACGTCATCGATCATATTGTCAAGGTCAAGGTGTATTACTGGTTACATAACTGCATTACTGCTACATAATTGCAACGTGCATTGAGGAACCTGGCGAATTCGCCAGAAAGTAAAAGAAAATTACAGAATTCTTTAGAACGTTCCACGCGCTTTGGCAGTTGACAGTCTGAAGTTTGAATATACCGCGTTTTAAATTGTGAAATACCGTTAGAGTAATAGTAGTTGCATAAGTTGTGTTGTAAATAGTATAAGTTGTGTGTACAGAGTGAGACAAATAAAATCGTTTCGTATTTTATCGTGAGTTTAAATCAGTGGACCCACGGAACAATATAACAATATCAACATTGACACTAAAGTCTATAAACCTGGCTAAATGAAGTTTTGGCAAAAATGTTTAAATTTGTTGTATATTTTAAGATACCGAGCAGTTCTTCATTTTACTTTATAGAGCAAATGCTGGTAACAGATAATTTATTTAGATTAAAGCTGCAAAAATTAGTTTAAACCGAATTTTATTATCGCTATGTTGGTCACATTGCGCCGTGTTCAGCAATGTTGCCCTTTGCCCTTTATTATTTGACAATTATCCTAGTGTCAGTCATTATTTTGTATAATATCGTGTTGTTGTTGAACCCTTGTGAGTAATTGTCGTTTCTTTTGCATATTTTCATAGTTTTTTTTAAAAAATGCACTTTTAAGCACAAACAGTTTTTAAGAACTAAATTTTCGAGTTTTTGTATTGCATTTCTTGAAACTGTGTGTTGAAAATATGCCGAAGCATCTAAACAGTCGAAGCAAAGAGCATTTAAACAGTCGAAGCAAAGCCCTGTTTTTTTTTAAATTATTTTGAACGAGAACATGACAATAAAGGTCCTTTATTATCTACCTAATATTACCCTTGACTGCAGTCAGAAAAGTAAGTTTGATTGATAACTATACCAACATTATACCACTTTAAAATTTAGTTTTTATTAAATTCTGTGATTATTAGTTTGTGCATTAATAGCACCCTCTTACTTGTTATTGCAAGTGCAAAATACAATTCCAAATTCTAAAAAGTTTTAATGAAATAGTTGCATGAAAAACCCCGTATAGAAAATACACAATTTAATCACAATACACCAAAATATTATACAGGATAAGTCTTAAATAAGTGCAAATATTTTTAGGGATAGTATATTTCAACCCCAGAAACAAGTCTATAAGGAAATTGGTTTGAAATTGATAACGTGCAACTTTCGTCGCACGTTATCAATGACACCATGCGTCGTCTCATTGAGTTTGCTGGTGGTCGTATTATGATGTGCAACAAAAGCTATTTTAATTTCCCTATATGACGTTTATTTCGCGAAAGAAAATTTGGAATTTTTTGAAAAATTTTTACGAAATTTTTTTTAGTAATTAGTTAAAAACATCATTTCTCGATAATATGACAACATAGGTAGTAAATCAAATTTATAAGAAAGAAAATCCAGTAAAGATCCAGTGGTTCTCAAAATTCAAGAAAAAACAATTTTTAGAAGTTTTCAAAGTAAAATAAACTCTGTTATTTTGGACTTTAAAAAACGGTAATGAGAAAATATGTTTCTTTTATCGAGATCTACCAGCCCTGAAAATATTTGCATTTATTTAAGACTCACCCTGTATATTGGCAGAAATAGATATAACTTATTGTAACTTGATGAATGCCAAATTATTTTACTACCGGGTATTCTGAAATGGTTTCACATAAAATATTTTAAAATGAATAAAATTACAGAACTCAATAAAAAAATCTTATTTATACAGAACATATTGATTTTTTATATTCTATTCAGAACATCATTTTCTATCAAATAGAGTAAAAAATATGTAGTGCGCCATTTAAAAATGAAAAGAAAAAAAGGAAGTGATCGAAAATAATTGAATACGTGAATCAATTCCAATTTATGTGCTATACTAACACATTAAATATGTGTTTTATCTGAATAAATAAAGTAGTTGTTATAGGGGTGAACTACTATTGAAAAACACCTGGTATATTTTTTTATGTATTATGGTTAAATTGTGTATTTTTTAGTGCATTACTAAAAAATTTTCTCTTAAGTCAAATAGTTACCCTTTCTATTAATTTGTTCCATATTCTCACTTGAGATTCCACCCTTTGAATAAAAGCCTTGTTAAAATAATATTTCGATCTATCGGCCTCGTTCGCTAATAAGTCAGCAAGTTCTTCATCGATCGTAAATAAAACGATGCCTTCCAAATCTAGCTTGGTCTCTAATAATATAAAAAATAAATTAATATCAGTGGCGTAGCTACACCCCCCGCTTACCCCCTCCCACTATACCGGTTTCGTCTCTACAGTGGCTCACCCCTATAACTTTTTTTATTTTTTCAGATAAAAATCCGAGATTTGATGTTCGTAAGTAGTCATAGCGACACTTGAGCCAGACAGCCACTTCCGATCCAGATACTGATGGAGCGTAACGCAAATCAGGTAAAAACGGCTAAAATGCGCTAATAAACAAGCATGAACAGGTTTGGACCGCTTTTGAACTGCTTTGAACCGCTTTTTAGCTTAAAAAATAGACCTGTTAATGTTTTGTTCAAACCTGTTTATTTCTATTTTAAAGCGGTTGTTTCTTGTTTAAACCTGTTCATTCTTGTTTATTAGCGTATTTTAACCGTTCTTACCTGATTTACGTTACGCTCCATCAGTATCTGGACCGGAAGTGGCTGTCTGGCTTAAGTGTCGCTATGACTACTGTAGTATATGACATAAATTAGGATTGATTGACGTATTCAATTCTTTTCGGTCACTTCGTGTTTCACCGGAAATGACTACAACTTTTGATTTTTAAATGGCACCCTCGGTATTTTTTTACTTTATTCGATAGAAAATGACACTCTGAATCGAACCACATATGTCAACTTTTGAAATATTCGCTCAAAAACAAATTGTATTTTAAATTTCAATCTGGAGTGCCATGGCTGTGTTAAAAGGACTAATTTTTAATCAAGGAGCCTTGGAAAATAGATTTGATTGTCTAATGTTTTTAGTGTCTTGTCCTGGCCCCTTAAAAGATACCCAAATCGTATTTTTAATCATAACTCAGTTTTTTCAAATGGAACGAGGGTGGCTCATTAGCATATTTGGAAAAGGCATTTTTTGCGAATAATTTGATACCACACACTTGGTATTTCGAGTCGTTATGAACCGCATGTTACAATTTCAAATAAACCATATGTGAAAATGTCAAAAGTTGACATAAGATATGTCATTCTATTCAGACTGTCATTTTCTATCGAATGAAGTAAAAAAATTCCGAAGGTGCCATTTAAAAATTAAGAGTTGTAGTCATTTCCGGTGAAACCGGAAGTGACCGAAAACAATTGAATTATGTCATTCAATCCTAATTTATGTCATATACTAACATACCAAATCTCGTTGTTTTTTCTGAAAAAATAAAAAAGTTATAGGGATGAGCCACTTTTGAGATGCACCCGGTATAGCAGGGGCGTCCCTGCTATACAGGGTGGTCCGAACTGTAGTCCTTAAACTTCGGCAGCATATTCTGCAAATAAAAATAAGTAAAAAAGTTCGTATAAATGTATGTCCTAAAATGCTTAGTTTCAGAGATACAGTGTGTAGAAGTTTAATTTTTATTTTAATGTTTTCCAAATAATTTCTAAGTAACGTCAATATTTGGATGAAAATTGGTGTCTGAAAGTTTTTTCACATGAGAAATTTGATTTTGATGTACGATACTCCTACTTGTAAGGGGCGCCACCTACATATTTTGAACTGGTTTGAAGAGTAATAACTTTTCATCCGTACCTGTATAAAACTACTGAGTAAAAAAATATAAATCTACGACATTTTTTACGTAAAAAGGGTATCTTAGTAAAAATCTCTAGGAGTAATGGTTCTCAAGATATTTGGAATCTAAATTATCAATGTTTTTTTTTTAATTTGGATGTTTTTTTTAATTTGAATGTACCAAAAGTTCAACAGATCGGTTTTATTATCATTTTTTGGAAGAAGAAGTTGCTCGATATTACCTATAAATTGAATATATTTTAGTTCATTTCAGCATACATAATTATATATATGCTAATATGTTGACGTAATTCTTATTGTAATAATGTATTCTATTGTAATAATCTATCTAATTAACTGATTTCGTTCATTCTGCCTATTATAGAAGGTAAAGTATTTCCTTAAGATAACGTCCGCTTAGGGTAAGCTGGCAACGCTGACAAAATTCATCATGGCATCCCGGATTCAACCAGTCTGATTGGTCGAAATTCTCGCACCTCTTGCCGCCATTACCCCCAACTTTGTGCCCCTCTCTAGGAATAGTAGAAACAGTCACTACTATTGAAAAATCCAGTGGCGGTGTTATTGTATTGTGTTTTATATCTTTAACTTGATTTGTGTTTATTGTAATTAGTACACGCGTTTTAACAAATATTACTATATTTGGCAAATGACTAAACAAAATGTAGGTATATTTAAAGTAAAATAATATTATAAACTTTACTGGAAAATATTATAAAAATTCCTGATATATTTTTATGAAACACCGCACGCTCGTGGATATTTTATGAATGAAATCGGTCATGATTTTAGAAAATTGCCATCCCCTTGCCGTTGCCCCGTTGTTTCAGATCCGTTTATCAGACTGTAACTATCTACTGAACATTGTTTTGACTATATTTGTATTCTAAATACCTTAAGAACCTTTGCTCGTAGCAATTTTTACCAAGAAATTTTTTACGTAAAAAATAACGGAAATGTTTATTTTTCATTCAGTAGCTTTATACAGGCATGGACGAAAAGTTATTACCCTGCAAAACAGTTAAAACACATGTAGGTGGCACCCCTTGGGCGGCACCCCCTACAAATAGGAGTCATGTTGACATCAAAATCAAATTTCTCATGTCAAAAAACTCTTAGATACCAATTTTCATCCAAATATTGGCGTTACCTTAGAAATCATTTTGATAAAATCGAAATGAAAATGAAAGTTCTATACCCTCTGTATCTACGAAACTAAGCATTTTAGGACATACATTTATACGAACTTTTTTACTTATTTTTATCTGGAGAACATGCTGCCGAAGTTTCCGGAATACAGTTCGGACCACCCTGTATATTGCTATTTCAAACTTACTGTCAAGAAATTTAACAAACGAATCAAAATCGCCCAAAAAATTTAGCTTCTGCATTCTTCCCATAGCAGTTTTGGGCAGGTCTCCCCATTCTTTCGACATTTTCAACGGGGGATCGATTAATTCAGCAAATATTTCGTAGGCTATTGAGGCGCAGTTTTTTGTTCCTCTGCTCAAGTCCATTTCAGTAAAAAATATTTCCTGTAGATCGTGGAGATATATATTTGAAAGACAATCAAAAATGTTGCATTTATACTGTGATTACAATTAACAAGTGGTAACGTAACGTAATAAGTTAACTTAAGTCCAAGTAAAGTTCGCCTCAGACACGCATGCTTTTCGCTCGTTTTGCTTACGCAGAAAAATATTATCTTTAACTTGATTTGTGTTTATTGTAATTAGTAATAAGTTAACTTAATAACAAGAAAAAATGTTTTTGTACTTCGTTTCTCTTAACTTGCAATGCAAGAGGGTGTTTGAAAAAAATGGTAAAATGTGTGCACTGCGTGAAGAAGTTGAAAACTTGTTTCACTGAATTGTAAAATATTTTTTGTCATACGCTCCCAAAAACAGCTATTTTACGGACTCATTTCAGTCCGTAAAATGTTTCTTTTTCGGCCTAGGCCGTAAAGGTCGTCATGGCAACCTTTATGGACTAAAATGTCTAAATTCGTTATTTGGTTGTTTTATTTTGTCATTCGAAATTTGTCACAAAATCACATAAAATTATACATATATTTATAATTAAATTATTAAATACTAACAATATCAAAAGCTAAGTTATTTGTTTAAAGTAAGTACCTAGGTACCTATTTAAAAGAGGCTTTTAAATTAAAATATTCTTAAATTACAGTCACAAACATTCAAACCATCGTCAATTTGGTCGAAATATTCCATGCTGAGAGCAGTGTTAAGTGTTAAAGAAGATATTATATTGACAAATTTCCAAAACTTATTGCTTTTTTGAAGAGGAATTCGGTTGGTTACGAGCCTAAAAAGTCTAAGGTTTTGTCCATAAAAGAGATCGGTGATTTTTTGGCCACGGCTAGTGATGAAACTTATTTACTTACTAAGGTAAGTTTGCGATAATGATTTTTAAAATATATAGATGGTTTCTTATTCCATTGTATTTGATTTTTAAATTATTAAATACTAACAATATCAAAAGCTAAGTTATTTGGAAAAATAAAAATGAAATGAACAATTTTGTGCATTTTGAAAACTTGCATCTGCAATCGAAACGACTCCTCCATTGGCAGGTAAATTTACTTTCTGATGAGGTGGAGTAAATGCGAACGATGATGTACTTGGTAATACATCCGTGGAAGTGGTCGCGATTTTCTTTTCCCCCATTAGCAGTTTGCAAACTTTCTTCTTTTTCTCAATAGATTCTTCTATGTAACCTTCGGCCACTGTGGACGACCTAAATAATTATTGTTGTTTAGAACAAGATCGGAAAATATTAAAATTTTTACCTCCAACCTCCTAGGCGTTTCAGCGATGTAAAATCCACATCTGCATCTGCAGCAAGAGTAGCAGAACTACGTCGGAAACAATGACCTGTATATTCGTTTGGGTTCGACAACTTTAAAAATGCTGCTACAATCGATGGCATCTTCCCAAATGAATGAATGCCGACTCGTTGCACGGTGCATTTTCCTTTACGATAAGAGATGAAGACATAATCATGTGGTACATTTTTTGGCCTAAGACAAGCATATTTTCTATACAACTCAACTGGATTGACAACGTTCCCTTCGTTCACCACCGGAAACACTCTTTTGATATTAGTTTTTGTATCCGCAAGGGTAACTAAAAGGCAGCTGTTGTCTTTTTCTATGATGTCTTGCACTCGTAGAGAGTACAATTCTTCTCTTCTACATGCTCCACAAAGAGCTACCTAAAAATCAAATACAATGGAATAAGAAACCATCTATATATTTTAAAAATCATTATCGCAAACTTACCTTAGTAAGTAAATAAGTTTCATCACTAGCCGTGGCCAAAAAATCACCGATCTCTTTTATGGACAAAACCTTAGACTTTTTAGGCTCGTAACCAACCGAATTCCTCTTCAAAAAAGCAATAAGTTTTGGAAATTTGTCAATATAAATATCTTCTTTAACACTTAACACTGCTCTCAGCATGGAATATTTCGACCAAATTGACGATGGTTTGAATGTTTGTGACTGTAATTTAAGAATATTTTAATTTAAAAGCCTCTTTTAAATAGGTACCTAGGTACTTACTTTTTCGTGGAAATAATTTAGCAATACATCTTCATTTACAACGAATACGCCATTTTTGTCTTTCCATTCATTAAAAACATCATATTCTTTCTGGTAAATGGCACGAGACTTCACAGGAAGTAAATCCAACACGATTTCTTTGGCCTTATTAGCAATATGTTCGGGATTTTGGAACATTTTAAAATTGTTGATGAATTTGTGTGATTTTGTGACAAATTTCGAATGACATGTCAAAATGCGATGAAATAAACAAACTCGTTACTAAGATATGAATTTATAAATAACTTTTTTTTCAACATTATAATTTCAAATATGGAAAATTTGCAAATATGCGTTCTAAAAAACTGTAAAAAGCGTATGACAAAAAATAGTGTATGTAACACGTACCTAAATTATGTTTTTTAGGACTCATCTACTATTTCGGACTCGGCTAACGCCTCGTCCGCAAACAGTAATGATTCGTCCTAAAAAACATCATTTTAGGTACTAGTTACATAAATAGCTATTAGTTTATTCTTTAGTTATTGTAGTACTGTAAACATGCCATCTATCGTTGGGAGATTCCTCACGTAAAAATAAGATTTATTTTTTTATATCAACATAGATCCAATTCTGCTGTATTTCGTAGTTACAGGGTCTTCATCTTTTTCTAATTTATTATAATTTTATTCGTCCATTTAGCGATTCGAGTGAAATTTTGAGGGTATAAGCCTTGTTTATATATTCTTAAAGTTGCTCAACCGACTAGACAAAATGTGCTGCCAACTGGAGGACAAATCGTGAACCTTTCGGGGCGGAGTCAAAAATATCGATTATTTTCGTTATTTTCCTCAGAGTAATGTAATAATATAGCCCCGGGTTTCTGCGAACTTTAATAGTGATCAGCTGATTAAGAAATTTAAACGAAACTTTTATTTTATTGTAAACTGTGGATTATTTTTGCCTGTTATTTTAAGAATTCTAAACCGTATTAACAAAGAAATTATTATTTCGATATGTTGGTACATTATTTATAATAATTTATGATAATGCTAATTGCTGTTAATTAAGATTTTAAAAAAAGTTACATACCTATTTTAATTTGATTTAATGCAGGTTTATAAACGAATCATTTCATTCTTAGATTATTTTATTCTAAATTGAGTGCTTTACGAATTTTACAATATTTTTTTTTGAAAACATAAAACTTTTTACATTTTTGATGCCAACTAATTGGCATGGTATTATTGGTATGGAAATTAGTCAAGAAAGAAAAGAATTGGCTATAACTTGTAATTTTTCGAAAAAAACATATTATACCTACATATATCGCTGAAAAGCTTAAAAAATGGCGCTTTTTATGAAGTCATGGCCAACTGTGGTTTCCATTTAAAAAAAAACATAATGTTTGTGTCATATGTCAAAAATGACAGGCTTTGGAAAAAAAAACAGAAAACACAAACTCATTAGGTACGTGATTATCTACAACTTTTATCTGAAAACTTTTTGTCTAAAATACCGTATGACCGAATGAAAACGGCGTCAGTTATGGCTATGAAATGACGATCGATGATATTTCCCATATAATTTTACATATAAAATGACAGCGATTTTCATTTTATAGCCATCGTTGACGCCGTTTTTATTCGATCATACGGTAGATTATAATGGAATTAGAGACAAGTTTTAAAATAGCCAAAATTTGTTTTTTCGAAATATCTAGTAAGCCTTGAACTTCTCCGAAAAATCCGAAAGGCGCATATTTATGACCCCACAAAACTGCAATTCTTTCCCCATTTAACCGACTCTATCTCCAGTAGTTTCCGAGATACCCATAGAGAACATCGTAGGAAACTCACCCTGTATAGTATTTAGAAACTATTATTATTATTATTTGACTAGAGTAATTTGATTAATAAGACTCGATTAATTTAATTTAAAATAAATTTGATCAGATTTTTTTTTTCGTTTATTCTACTACCAGAAAACCAAAATTATATGATAACGCACTTTTCAACGAAGTTGAAGGAAGATATAGTGTATCTATCACAATACTTAATAGAATTACTACAATTAGAAGAAAAACAAAAAGAAAAAATACCCAAATACCTTCACCTACTACTCATCTACAAAATAAACTAATATAATCTTTTATAAAAACACTACACAACTACTTCTTGTATTCTACACTGAAAAAATTATCAAACTTACTAATTAATCAAACAAAAAGAAAAAATAACCAAATTATCCCTTCACCTACTACTTAACTACAGAATAATAAACTATAAAAGCACTACTAAACTATTTCTGCTATTCTACACTAAACATTATACATAATTAAACTTAATAAAATTAATCTAATTTTATACTACAACCACTACAACTACAAAGAAATAAGAACATTTTTTAAAACTAGAAGAAACAGAACTTCGATACGTGCGACCAGTATAATAGATCAAGCGGACAAAGAATACAAAATACTTTAAAAATGTGCATTCAGAAAGGAAAAATATCTCGAAAATTATCTAAACAAACATTTTTTTTCTTATCAGTGAAAAGCATCGGCCTCGTCGGCCTTGCGGAATTTGTCGGGTATTTACAAGGGTCGAATTGTATAATTACCAGCTTTTATAGCATATCTAATAGATAAAAAGTAATAATAATCTGGTCGATTAGGTCGATCTAATAAAAAATAATCTGGTCGATTAGTAACCAATTGGCACAGTCCGAAAATTATCGATTTTTATTTTCTCTGTTTTTATTGGTCGCTTCAAAATTCAGAGTAACAAAAAATATTTTTCTGTAGTAAAAGACCGTGAAATACGCCCCGCCATCTCGTGCTTTACATCCATAAACGTCTTATGTTGAGCTACTTTAAAAATTCATATACAAGGGTATAAGTTACGATAAGTGGGACATATTTTAAAGCTAAAAAAATACATATTCACCAGGGCATATGGGTTATCACTGGATTTTTTTTATAAAAAATACATGTACGCCACTGACTTTTTTTACTCTTGTTAGCAAAATTGTATAAACCGTTTAATGCCGATGAAAAGTTATCTCTTGCTATTTTGTCGATTTCGGTCTCCTTGATGAGATAAACGAAATTTTATTAATTTATCCTAATCCGAGTCTAATAGAAACCTTTAAACTTTTTTAATATCATTAACAGGTCTAAATTTTAAATAAGTACTCATTGATTTCTCATCAAAAAATACGAAAAAAGTTCCTTTAAACTTAGATGCGAAAATGGGTAGTTTTAAAGTTACAGTATGTTAAAACTTTTTAAAATAGCCTTTTGTAATTATCTTAAATGCCATTATTTAAATGTTTTTGAAATTGCTGTAGGTAGTACTGAACATCAGTTATCATAATTATTAAATTTATTAATTTTATTTTTCTCTTAATTATATTAATTGTAAAAAATGTCTATACCTATGTGGCGGATTCATCTATCCAAAAAAATCCTTATGGGTTTTTCGCCACTGCACTGCAAGAAGAATCTACAAAATAAAATAGTTATTTTTTGTAAACACTTCTGCGTTAAACCTAAACGGACGCTGCTTGTCAGAACGATTTCTTGTAGACGTATCTGTTTTAAAAAGTAAAGTGTTCTCGAATAGTTCAATTTAAATATTTTAAATAGTTTTTTTCTTGATTCTTTATATTTTTTTGCTTCCGACGACGGAAAGAGAAAACTTTCCGAAACGTTAAGCATTTTTTTCTTTGTTAGGCAAATTTTTATTACTGTAAACACAACTTCTGACAAGCAGCGTCCGTTTAGGTTTAACGCAGAAGTGTTTACAAAAAATAACTATTTTATTTTGTAGATTTTTCCTGAAGTGCAGTGGCGAAAACCCCATAAGGATTTTTTTTGGATATATTAATTGTGATTAATAAAATTGCGTTTATTTGATCAAAAAGATCAAAATCGATAAAAAATATACAACTTTTTATCGACATTAAACGGCATACACAATTTTGGTAACAAGGCAAAAAAAATCAGTAATGGGTTACTGACTTTTTTTTTGTGATGATTTTTTAGAAAAATATTCAAGTGATAACCCATAATATGCACGTACCTGGTGAATCTGTTGACACTTTCTTAGCATTAAAATTTCTAGCAGTTATGGTAATTTCTACTCTTAAAATTTCATTCCAATCACTAACAGAGCTCTTGGGGGAAAATTATAATAAATATATAAATAAAAAATAAATTATAATATAAAATCGTTAAGAAAAAAAAATAAGACTTTAAAAATAAGACCGCTCGTTCTTTGTAATCACCAGGAACTATTCTTACGTCGTTTATGTTTTTTAAATCTAGAGTGATCCGTTTAACTTTATAAACCGCTACAGCTTTTTCTTTTAGCGTTTCTTTTATCCCTCTTGTGACATATATTCGTTTAATGGGACCTTTGGTAACAGGATTATATCGTCCAGTTTCTAAAAAATTAATAAATTCTATAGAAATCTTGAAAAGATAGAGAGGTATAATAAGAGATGGTGGTGCCTTATCGTCCACTTAGATTAGAACTAGTGTAATCCATTTTATACAAAATTGAGACTTTCAACGAGAACTAGAGGTGGGATTTCTAGTTCCTTAGTTCCAGTTCCTCCAGAGGAGTAGTTCCTTGAACTAGGTCTTTAGTTCACATTAGTTCCCGACTAATATTAACATCCCCATTGCTTGCTCATGTGTTTTGTTTAAGTCAGAACTATTCATAGTATGATCTGTATAATTTTTATAATGTGCGGCTTACAGGGTGAGTCTTAAATAGGTGCAAATATTTTTAGGTGTAGTATATTTCGAACAGAAACACGATTATTTTTTTCGAGAAAGATTATGAAAATTTGAAATTTTTTGGAAATTGTTTTAGTTTTTAGTTAAACAACATAACTTCTTGATAATATGGCAACATAGGTAGTAGATTAAATTTACAAGAAAGCAAACTTCCAGTGGTTCAGAAAAGACCCAGTGCAGTGGTTCTAAAAATTTATGCAAAAAAATATATTTTTTATTTTTAAAGTAAAAGAACTTGGATATTTTCGACTTATTTGAAAAGCGGTAAAGAGAAAATATGTTTCTTTTATCGAAATCTACCAACCCTGAAAATATATGCACATATTTAAGAGTCACCCTGTATAACCAGACCTGTAATTGCGTTTATTAAAAACATATAAGGTAAGTTTTATTGCAGATAACAACAAAAAATTATAAAAGAAACTCAAATCAGAGTTTAAAAAACTATAATCAATTGGAGCAAATAATAAAAAACTTAATACTGGCACATAAGGTGAAGTTAAATAATAAATATGAAGTTTTCTCTCTTATTTTACGAAAAATTGCATTTTTCTTCACTTCCTTTTTTTTAGTCTAAAAAGCCAGAAATATATATAGTTCGTTTTATAAGATATTTCTTAATTTGAGGGACCTAAAGCGAAACATTCCCATAAAATATTCAAGGAACAAATTACCAAGACAATTTACTTTAGACAAGGCCGAATCCGGCGTCGTCGCCTTGTATTATATCTCGGAACTACTAAATAGAGTCCCTGAACAAGTATCTTATTTAGATCCTCTCGGTCCTTTCGGTCCGGGACCGGAAACATACGGCTGGCACTCCCCACTCCCGCCTAGCCAGCATAAACAAAGTGCACGTTTAACAAGATTTTACTCACTTTTTGAATCAGTTTTAGAGTGTCTAGAAAGTTCCAGATTTAAAAGAAAACCTGACCAAATTGAAAGTAGATATGCTTATTTGATAGATTTCTTCAAAAATTTTAAAAAGATACAAGGGACAGGCTAAATTTAGCCTGTCCTTGATCCCTCCTTGATATCCTGACGATTCTACATCCCATATATGTTATTTGTATAATGCCTTGTATTCTTATGGTAAATTCTTTGAGGCTGTTAAAGAAGTATACGGCCCAACCAAGAAGGTAAGCTGCCCAATCATGGCACAAAATGGCGAACTTCTAAAAGAGGAAGAGCAAATTAGAAACCGCTCGAAAGAGCATTACAGTCATATCCTTAACCAAGAAAACAACCCCAATATAGAAGCACTAAACACAATACCTCAGTATAACAGCCTCGATGTTTTAGATACCCCAATAACAGAACAGGAAATAATGGCATCCATAAAACAGATTAAAAACAACAAATCAGCTGGCTGTGACGCGACCCCGGCGGAAATCTATAAGTGTGCAAGTAAAGAACGTATTGGTCATCTTAAGGCTCTCTTCGATGTCATATGGGAAATCGGAGAGGTACCTCAGGACTTTTGCAACGCGAATATAGTGAATATATTTAAGAACAAAGGAAGTACATCAGACTGCGGAAATTACCGGGGAATTTCACTATTGGCTATCGGAGGAAAAATTCTTGCAAAAATTATGTCAAATCGCCTTGACCCACATATAGAAAGAATCCTTCCAGAATCGCAAACGGGTTTTCGCACCAACCGTGGCACCGTCGATTCCATATTTTCCATCCGCCAACTACAGGAAAAAGTAAAAGAGCAGAAGTCTAAACTTTATGTTGCATTCATCGATCTAACAAAAGCCTTCGACTCTGTGAACAGAGATGCACTGCGCAATTATGAAAAAAATCGGAGTACCCAATAAATTTCTTACAGTGTGTAAAAGCATCCATAACAACAACCAGTCAAGAGTGTCACATCATGGATCACTGAGCGATCCCTTCCTGACTAATACAGGAGTTAGGCAGTGATGTGTCTTAGCGCCTCTTCTATTCAACATATTCATGGCAGCGCTCTCCATTATAGTGGACAGCAAACTGCAGGAGAGAGGATTGGGCATTAGATACAGATATGACGGCGGTCTGTTCAACATAATAATGAACAGTGCTTTCCATAAAAGCAATAAAATGAAAAATGTACGAAATAATATGCATGTACTGATTTCTTTCGAAAATCGACAACTATGAAACTATGAGCCCTTCCTGGACACAAACGGTATATTGTGAGACAGAAAATTGTAGAGCGAAACAAGCCCTATAACATAGGATACAACATTTTAATGAACAGTGCTTTCCATAAAATCAATAAAATGAAAAATATACGAAATAACATGCATGTACTGATTTCTTTCGAAAATCGACAACTATGAAAATATGAACTTTTCCTGGACACAAACAGTACATTGAGAGACAGAAAATTGTAGAAAGAAACAAGCCCTATAACAATAGGATACAACATTTTAAAATCAACAGTGCTTTCCATAAAATCAATAAAAAGAAAAATATACGAAATAACATGCATGTACTGATTTCTTTCGATCCGTTCTTTAACTAGTCTTTGATTTAGTTCCTCTTGGTCCTTTCGGTCCGGGACCAATAACATACGACTGGTACTCCTCTCTCTTGTCTAGCATTGGGCTACAATTGCGCTGAGCGATCGTCGCCGTCGTCGGTCACAGTCTATGTCCTCGTAACAGGTCCTGGGGAACTAGTCTTTTAAAACACCGGGAACTAGTTCCTTTCGTTCCCGGGTCGCAATAGTTCACTAGAACTAGTTCGTCCACGAACTACACACCTCTAACTCTAGCTAAATTCGTTCTGCATTCAATCCACAAGGCCTTATGACATAGTTCTGCCTGAAAATCTCAATTTTGAATAAAATGGACATAAACTAGTTCTAATCGAAGGAGGCGTTATGCAGTCTAAGTTACATTAAGGAAAAGATAATGGTACCATGTTTTGGTGTTCTTACTACTATCTTATTAGTTATATTAATTATATACTATCAGTTTATTTTTCATTTTGAATCAGCCTAAAAAGAGTTTTATTAAAAGTGTTCTATATTAGTACATTTATGATAAAAAAACGGCGTTAAGTTACCTTAAAATGCCGATCGCTGACATTCATCATATTTTTCCATATACATCTAAAACATCATCTCTTATTTCTAAGGTAACTTGATACCGATTATTTTCATTATACGGTACATACAATTACGCCTTAATAACAAATATTAAAAAATATTTTTGTAACCTATAGGATATGGAGGACCATCTTGATATATGATTAAAATGGCCCTAGTTCCGTTCTTGTCCAAAAAGTAATTTAGTAAGTGTATGTAAGTGTCGTCGTCTATAGCTCCTTCCATAATGAGGTTCGGATCGAGGCCCAAATACATAGCTACCATATCACACACGTGTCTTTGTGGTAACTGCAATTCTTGATATCTAGCCGCTCTTAATTCTTTAAATTTCACCTTCAAATAAATAAAAATCTTGCTGATCTTGATGTAATTGTAAATTAATGTACCGCAAAAACATACATAAACATGACCAAGATAGTTCTGGAAATGACAGTTAACACATCTTTTGAAGCCTAATCAGAAGGCCAGGAAGTTTACTAATACTATTAAAATAAAGTCGAAGAGCCAGTGACAGGCAACCTATATATAATTAATAAAGACTGAAATGTTGTCCAGTGAGTATCTCATACCTGTCAACCATGAGATGGAGTCTCGCTACGCCAAACGAGGTGGAACCTTGAGTTACTTAGGTGCGCCAGGTGTCAAAATTTCACCAACTTTGAAAGTATTTTATAACAGCTGTCGTTAATAAGTTTTCATTTCTTTGTTTAATTAACCAAACCATTAACTGCAATTATTTTCCCATTTAACCGACTCTCTAGCTCCAGTAGTTTCCAAGTAGTTTCCAGTATATTAATAATAAGACGTAAACTTAAAGTACTTTTCGAAACTACATTATAAATGTAAAATAGAATATTCAAATCTGACAAAATCATATGTATATGTGCCATTGGAAAACTCACATGACAAATTAAAAATTAAGAAAATTCTTAAACACAAACCAAAGATTATAGCACACAACACACAAAATATACAACGACCATTGAGATAATAACAATACAAAAGTACTATAAAAAACGTATATCATATATCATAGTATTGTGGAAAGCTACGATATTCAAATAGAAGATTTTTAACAAAATTTGGCAAAACACAGGAAAACTCAAAATCGGCCCCGTGTACTTGTGACAAACATCACAAGTACATGCAAGAGGTACGCTCTGTATAGAGTACGGCACTGTAAGAAATGCCCTTTAAATGCATCTTGTAGAGATCTTAGTAACAAAAATTTAAAGGTCTGAAGAATAGAATGTACTAGTATACCAATAATTCTTAAAAAAAAATACCATTAATTCTTAAGAATTCAAAATAGTGCTATGCTTAATTGCTTAATTGGGTGGTGACAATTTTCCAACATACCAACTTTAATAAATACTTTCGAAACACAGAGAAGCTATAACCTCTTAAATAATTTATATTATTATTAAGATTAAAACAAGTACTAGTAAAAACGTATATCATATACCATAGTATTGTGAAAATCGACGATATTCAAATAGAAGATTTTTAACAAAATTTGGCAAAGCACAGAAAGACTCAAAATCGCCTAGAATATTCTACATATCATATATTGTGCCCTTTAGTGGCGCCAGCAGTAGTATGTGGATCGGCTGTGCGAGATGGTTCTGGGTTCGATCCCCAGGCAGTACGGTAGCTAAAAAATATGTATTTCACAGAAAATCATGCACACAGCACATCAGCACACCCATGCATTGCTTCAAGCACATTAAAGTATGACAGAATAGATGTCAATGGGCTCAAACAAATACAAAGATAAATCTAATTTATCTCCGTAAAAAATACAATTTTCATTGAGTAAATTTATAGGTGACGGCTAATAACAGTCTAAAGTATCATAATTTTATGGTGGAAAATAATAAAGAAACCATAAAACATTAAAATAGATATAGGTACCTGCTTTTCTTTTATAGTCTCTTGCAAAGCCAGTAAGGTAGTACTAGTGCGATTTCTATTCTTCCCAAGTTGCTTTGATATGCCCAACAAATTGGACAGATCTTGTTCATTCTGATCTTGATCAGCTGACATTTCGAATAGCTTTAACTATTGCAAACTTTTTACATCTAGTTTTAAACTATTTTTTGAAAGATTTCACTTTACTGACACATACCAGTAATTATATCAAGGTAAAACTATGGTAAATTTGTTTGGATACTTAAAGATTTATTTATATTTATTAAAAAATACATAATAAACCTTCATTTGTACAAAACAGTTAAATCTCCAACAAGTATAGGTGTCAGGCTTAATTTATAGAATTTATAAATTCAAGAAACCATTTCTATAGCACACCTAATGTATATATTCCAGGTAGAAAAGAAAGGTATATAATTTTCTGACATAAATAACATTATTATTTGACGCACGTATTTGTATACACCAGGGGCGGGAAAGTGAAATAGCAAAAGCAGTTCCACCGTTTCCACGGAAATCTCAAATAAAATAGTTCCAGCCCTAGCCACTAGGTGGTAGTGCAATTAATTTTTAGGTTAAGAAGTTGCTACTAGTTATTGCCAGATGGCGGTAAATCAGAATTTTTTGTAGTTTCCATAGTTTCCAACGGCCATTGTCATATTATTGTCAAATTCTCAAAAAATATTGTCGTTGTCATAGCGCCAATCATAATATTATCAAAAATAATTATCAAAACCATCAAAACGTTTTTCAAACTAATTTGTTATATGTGTTTTTATTAGACAATTCCTTTTGTTTCTGGCCCTAAAAATATAATCATAGATAAATGCAACAAGTTTAGATTGGAAAGCCCGTAAAAATTTTAGGTCGCGAAATTATTTTGGGTCGCGACCGTTATACGCGATCTGGCGCTGCTATAGCGGTCGCTAAGAACAACGGGAAACAAAAACAGAAATAATTTTCTCTTGTCAAAGTCAGAATCTTCAAAAATCATAATAATTTTTCAAAATCTAAACCGCTCTCATTAAAGAAATTCCGGAAAGTGTTTATGGCGTCCATTTTCAAAGTAATTATTGCTATCTTGTGAGTTTAATTCAAGTTTTATTTACTTCAACCGGTGATAATTGTGAAAAAGTGGCATTAAAAACTCAAAAAGCTGTGCTGTGAACTGTGAACTGCAAAAACCATCCTGGATCGTGGCATAACGTCGGTTTCCAATGTTTCATAGGTATTTCATACATGCGTCCTTATATAAAATAAAGTTCCTTGTATGCAACACACTGTATTTTATCTATAAAATTAAACGAAAATAATAATAAATTTGAATAAACAATATTTGGCTATATAATTCCGGAAAAAGCCGAACCGCTCCGAAATTTTCAAAAGTTTTGGGTCGCGACCGTTGCAAGAATAGCGCCAAATAGTGTTTACATTGTCCTTATGGGCACTTTCCAATCTAAACTTGTTTCATTTATCTATGAATATAATGTAAGTCTTTTATTTTTGCCATCATTTAAGTACCTATTTATACTTACTCCATTTACAAAACTTTGGGCGTATTACGTCGGTCTTGTTTTATTATAATAAACGATGTTTAAATATTTGACTTATAAATAGGAACTTTAAATAATAAATAATATTTCACATGTTTGGCTTTAATTTTATTTAATAATTGTATATATTATACTGTTAAATCTTATTTTTTACACATCACAACGATACTTGTTATTAGTATTGTTGAATTTGTGTAAAAAATAAGATTTAATAATCAAATTTAATTATTTTAGAGTAAAATTATTTAGTAAATACGCTCATTTAAAAAGCCCGCGCTTCGATCCATTTAAAACAAGCCCTACTCAATAGATGGCGCCACTTCTGTAAGACCATTTTTCAGTATGGCAGAGTCCATTCTTTTTCTAGCTAGGTATATTCTTTGGTATACACTGTATATTAAATACAATAGAATATGATTTTTTGTATTAGGGTGCCTCGATTGACGGGTGACCCAAAAGATGTACAAAAAACATGCGAGACCTTGCTACTCCACGAAAGATTTGCTCCGGAGGAAGCAAAAGCGAAAACACTCCTCGAAAATGAGGAGGGTAACGGAATCAAGAAACAGCCTTGTGCATCTCCACTAAAGGGCAAGGGAGAGAGCGAGAACCTCTCACCTCTATTCTGGTAAGTAGAGAAAAAGCCAGGATGGAAAACCGTTCAATGTAAGGACATCGAGTTGGCGAGTCGTCAACTTGAAGGAGCAGGGCCATGGTCAGGTCCTCACAATAGGAATTCACCTCAAATCCAAGGAGGGAATAGAGAAAGAGGGATATATAATTTCTAAGGAAAGACCAAGTTAAAGAGATGGAGAAAATGGAGACAGATCCTCCAGCCTCCACCTCACGGATACCTCAGCCGGAGACAAGCTTCTGTTGTCAGAGGAGGATGAGAAATGACCTGCCCCCCTACATCAGAAAAATCCCCCTGTATGATGAGTTATAACTCAAAAAAGTTCCCACCTCCCATACATTTTTATTTATGGAGTAAAGCTTAATTATACCGTCACTAGATAAACAAGTAGATCCACCCTCTCGCTCATATACATAGAGAGGAAACGAGGAAACTCCCACTCATTATGCATTCTATAAAGTCTAAATGCCTCCAATAATAATCAATAATCCAGCTTATATTATCTTTTCTACATTCTACATTCTATAAAATATAAATGCCTTAAAAAAATAATAATCAATAATCCAGATTATATTCTGTTTAGGTCCAATTTAATACCTTCCAGTAAATCTTAAAATTATTCTAAAGTTTAATACATATTTAGTTTGCACTGGAGGTTTGTTCGTTTTATACAGGGTCCGGCAATAGTGCGTCGGGCATCTGTAGCTCCTAGAATAAAAAACTTGAGAATTTTGTTTAAGTGCAAACCTAAAGTATGTACCAGGATGTATTTCAGGAAAATATTTTAACTTCTATAGGGTGGCTCAAAAAAGTGTGAGTGGACCTGGATGCTTTTTTTTAAGTGGAACACCCTGTATATTATTGCATTTTTGGCTTCCTTTCAGATCGCTTTACATAACCCTAAGATATGAATAAATATATTTCGATAGTATCAGAGATATTAAAACATAAATCAAAATGTATATTTTTCAGCCCTTCTTAAAAAAATTATTAAAAATACAAGAACTGTTTTGAAATCAAAACTATATTAGGTATTTACTTTAGATGATCTGTTCTTGCTTTGCTATAAATATGGTAATCGTAAATCATACAGGATGTTCAATATTCTACGCCAAACTTTCTAAAATATAAAATATTTTTTCTTTGTTTTTTTAAATGGAACACCCTGTATAGTATTTTTTTATTAGATGGAGAATTAAAAAATGAACATTTTTTGTATTTAGAGTGTTTCAAAATTTTTAATGGTTTCGCAGATACACGCAGTATTATTTCATATGGCGCTTTCAATGGTAAAATACGAGTGAAAAATTATTGGGTGGCTTTGATAAAAATTTACTGTGGAAAATGCCATATGAAATATAAAACTGCAAATATCTGCGAAACCGTTAGAAATTTTGAAATATCCTAAATACAAAAATTGTTCATTTTTTAATTCTCCGTCTATTGATAAAATAATATAGAGGTTTTCCATTTAAAAAAATGAAAAAAAATTGTTTTATATTTTAGAAAGTTTGGTGTAGAATTTTGAACATCCTGTATAATTTACGATTTTCAAATTTATAGCAAAGTAAGTGCAGACTATCTAAAGTAAACACCTAATATATTTTTGATTTCAGAACAGTTCCTGTATTTTGAATAATTTTTTTAAGAAGGACTGAAAAATATATATTTTTGATTTATTTTTTAATATCTCTGAAACTATCGAAATATATTTATTCATATCTTTTTGTAATTTTTGTAATTTTAAAGACTTAAATTTTTTTGAATTGTATTATTTGTATTGTGTATTTTTTGTTGTTTGTATTTTTTTGTGATTTTGTTGTTTGTGAGTGCTTTGTCGATGAAGCTGTTTTGGCTTTTTGCACAATAAAGCGTTGTTTGTTTGTTTGTATCTTAGGGTTATGTAAAGTGATCTAAAAGGAAGCCAAAAATGCAATAATATACAGGGTGTTCCATTTAAAAAAAATTCATCCAGGTCCACTCACACTTTTTTGAGCCACCCTATAGAAGTTAAAATATTTTCCTGAAATACATCCTGGTACATATTTTAGGTTTGCACTTAAACAAAATTCTCAAGTTTTTTATTCTAGGAGCTACAGATGCCCGACGCACTATTGCCGGACCCTGTATAGTATACCTCTCAGTTACGTGATGATAGCAAAAGACAAAGCTTACTAGCTTCATGGGTGACTAAGAAATGAGAATATTATTAACAGACATGTATACTAGTATATGTAATGAGTGTGTAAAGCATATTACGCACGAGGCGCATAGTAACCATCAGTACAGTATTACGTAATATACTTTTACAACACGAATTAACATATTACTTTACCTACGTAAAACTAGTGAAAATACCCGATTTGCCTGTACATAAATACCGTATGATAGAGAAAAACGGCGTACCTATTGAGCCACCACTAGTAGCTAGAAAAGAAACAAACAAGAAAAATAATTATTTTGATATAACAAATCTCTAAAGATTTGATATATTTTTAAGCGCAGGAAAATCTTCCGTCAGTGTAGGTTTGCATACATTGCATACGTAATGCGTAGTCCGTCATTTATTTTATGCAAATTTTACAGAATCTCCTATTTAACCAGTAATGTTTTTGATTCAAGTTAACTAGCAACCACTACAGACATCACCGTATGGACTGCAACCACCGAACCGCATTGGTCTAAACAGAGTCTTCAGCTCTCACTTGTTGGCTAAAAGCGCCACACCCCAGTAAACTGTTGGTCCGCAGGCTAGACCAAGTGAGGGTAGCCAGATATGGCGAAAAATTATTGGCGGGCAGCAGCGGCAACAATACCATGTGACACTGCAAAAAATGGAATTAATTCACAGCGCTACAATGGATGTGAAATGTATAGCTGTAACAGTCCTAAAGGTTTCCACTCTGCGGTGATGAATGGTGTCGAATATCTCCGTAGAATGTTGTACACCACTAATTTCAATCTTATATTGACTATCTAATAGTACTTAAGATATCTTGGAAATTGTTTAAGGTAGAAAAAATAAAAAACGTTTATATTTAAAACTTAAATAAAAAATGTATATTACATAGGCTCAGTAGACACAATCTTTTGATACTGATTGCTTAAATCTTGAGATACACTGTCAGATCCTTTTCGACCCCAATTACAAGTCACAAAATTAATGATCATTTGGGTAAAACTATTTAAGATACCTATAAACAATTTAAATACAAAATATATTAGTATGTATAGTACAGGGTGTCAAAAAATAGTGTATCTAACTTTGGTGGGTGATTCTACAGATAAAAATAAAACAATAAGTTCCTATGAACATATGCCCTAAAATCCTTCCCAAAGAAGTTACAGCCCTGGAAGGGTTTAATAAAAATAATATTTTGGTTATTTTTGAGAACATTGGTAAACCATTTTTCCTAAAATTTGGTACTCTGAAACATTTTAATGCCAAAGCCATGCCAAAGCAAATTACAATTGTCAAAAATTTCCGTAATAGCTCTGAAAGGGTACTTTTCATTAAGGTAGGAAGTACTACTGGTGATACTTCTTTTATCCTTATAGGTACAGTAATTTCAACAAACGATATAAAAAACTAGGACACAAAAGAGTGCTCTTCGTTTAGCTCGAAAAGGTGAACAGTTTTCAAAATATTTGTGCTTAAATATTTGGATACATCTATTTTAGTATTAGGAAAATGATAAAATGTAAAGAAATTATAAATAAATTAATCTCCTGATTTCGCTAATGCTACAATCAATGCATCGGAATCTTTAAACGCAAATATCTTGAAAACCGTTCACCGTTTCGAACTAAACGAAGAGCACCTTTTTTACATAAAAATGTCCTAGCTTTAATTTTCATTTATTGAAATTGCGGCATCTATAAGGATAAAAGAAGTACCATCCCAGTAGTACTCCCTACACTAATAAAAAGTACCATTTTCGGGGCTGTTACGGAATTTTACACGATCGCCATTCGCTTTGGCATTAAAATGTGTATAAGGGTACCAAATTTCAAGAAAAAACGATTTACAATGTTCTTAAAAATAAACAAAATAAATTATTTTTATTTAACTTTTCGAGTGATGTTCATTTTTTTTAACTTCTTCGGGGAGCATTTTAGGCCATATATTCATAGGAACTTTTTGTTTTATTTTTATCTATAGAATCACCCATCGAAGTTAAATACACTATTTTTTGGCACCCTGTATATGTACAATGCTTTTGTTTTAACTGTAACCATTTGACTAATGTCTATATCTTTCTAGCGGATTAAAATCTGGCAAAAAAGTTCGAGCATTCTTCGTCTCGCGAAAAAAAACTTATTTTTTAGTTCTTATGTTTACTTTTCAAATGTAATAAATGTAATATCATCAAATGTAATATTGGAATATTGTTGGTTAGTTGATTTATTGATAGCCAAAGACTATACAGGGTGGTCCGAACTGTATTCCGGAAACTTCGGCAGCATATTCTGCACATAAAAATAAGTAAAAAAGTTCGAATAAATGTATGTCCTAAAATGCTTAGTTTCGAAGATACAGGGTGTAGAAGTTTCAATTTTATTTCGATTTTTTCCAAATAGTTTCTGAAGCAACGTCAATATTTGAATGAAAAATGGTGTCTGGGAGTTTTTTGACATGAGAAATTTGATTTTGATGTCAATATGACTCATACTTGTAGAGGGCGCCACCTACATATTATTAAACTGGTTTGAAGAGTAATAACTTTTCGTCCGTACCTGTATAAAACTAGTGAGTAAAAAAATATAAATGTGCGTCGTTTTTTACGTAATAAAGGTATCTTGGTAAAAATCGCTACGAATAATGGTTTTCGAGATATTTGGAATGGAAATTATCAATACCTACCATCAATGATATAAATTAAACATGTTGACTAAATAGTTATTAGACTGAAATCATAAATTTGAAATGTTTTTGTGCCAAAAATTCAACAGAAACTGTTTTATTACCATTTTTTCGAAGAAAAAATTATAATTAATTAAAAAAAAAATAAAAAGTTCCCAAATTTATCATTTCAGTCAAATAACTATCTACTCAACATGTTTATTTTTAGTCAAAATGACATGTATTGACTATTTCCATTCTAAATATCTTGAGAACCGTTGCGTGTAGCGATTTTAACCAAGAGATATTTTTTACGTAAAAAATCAAGAGAATTTATATTTCTTTACTCAGTAGTTTTTTACAGGTACGAACAAAAAGTTATTACCCTTCAAAACAGTTAAAACACATGTATGTGGTGTCCTCTGCAAATAGGAGTCATATTGACATCAAAATCAAATTTCTCATGCCAAAAAACTCCCAGACACAAATTTTCATCCAAATATTGACGCTACTTCAGAAATTATTTGGAAAAAATCAAAATAAAAATGAAATTTCTACACCCTGTATCTCCGAAATTAAGCATTTTCGGACATACATTTATACGAACTTTTTTACTCATTTTTATGTGCAGAATATGCGGCCGAAGTTTCCGGAATGAGCCACATGTGGCTCACCTCTATAACTTTTTTATTTTTTAAGACAAAAAAACGAGATTTGGTATGTTAGTATATGACATAAATTAGGATTGAGTGATGTATTCAATTGTTTTTGGCCACTTCCTATTTCACCGGAAATGACAACTTTTGATTTTTAAATAGCACCCTCGGAATATATTTTTACTTTATTCGATAAAAAATGACACCCTGAATAGAATGACATATCACATGTCAACTTTTGACATGTTTAATTAAAAAAAATCGTATTTTAAATTTCAATCTATAGTGCCATGGCTGTGTTAAAGACACTAATTTTTAATCAAGGAGCCATGGAAAAATAGATTTGATCGTCTAATGTTTTTCGTATCTTGTCCTGGCCGGTTAAAAGATGCCCAAATCGTATTTTTAATCATAGGTATCTCAAGTTTTTCAAATAGAACAAGGGTGGGTCATTTGCATATTCGGAAAAAAAATTTACGAATAATTTGGTACCACACAAGTTGACATGTGATATGTCATTCTATTCAGAGTGTCATTTTCTATCGAATAAACTAAAAAAATACCGAGGGTGTAATTTAAAAATCAAAAGTTGTAATCATTTCCGGTGAAACAGGAAGTGACCAAAAACAATTGAATACGTCAATCAATCCTAGAGACGCACCCGGTATATGAAAGATTTTTAATACTTAAATTATCCAAATTCAATTCTAATGCTCAAAATATTGTATAAGTATTAGAGCTTTCTGAGAAAAAGGTTAATTTAACTTTAAAATAAAAGTGACGTGAAAATAGTTTATAGAAATATGGACAATATCCAAAAATTACAGAAAATACAACTTGTCTGTGAATTAAAATGACAGACAAAACTGTCACTCCCGTTGGACAGACTATAAGCCCACGACCACACAGAAAGCGTTTTTAGCGTTTTGCGTTTTTTGCGTCTCAAGCGTTTTTTGCGATTTTACCGTTTTAAGCGCTTTTTTCGATTTGTGTCCATTAAAAACACGCAAAAGACGCGGCAAGTCTGCAGTTTCTATCAATATATCAATTAGTAACGTCGCAAGCTCGTGGATTCCCGGCCCGTCCAACAATCAATCCTGTGAGAAAGAGATAGGGAAGATCGGCGCCGTTAGCGTTGAAGAGACGAAGATAAAAGATGCTGGGATTGAATTGTGGACGGGCCGGGGCATATATTCGGAGACAAACACAATCTACTGCTAGTGCCAGTGGTGTGTGTAAAAATAATAATTATTATTTGCCATTTATTTTACGAATTTTAGTTTATATGTGTATAGTTTTTTATGTTGTAGTGTTGTGGTTAGTATTTGTTATAATTATAATATAATATAATCAATAATTATAATTATATAATAGAATAGTAAATAATATCTCTAGTTGCTAATGCAATTTTAGAACATGATTTATGAAACATTTTAGAGTGAAACTTCTTTACGCGCGCTGGGAGTAAAAATTCAAGGCCGTGACATACGAGCTAGTGAGATGGCCCTGACACACGAGCTCGTTGTAACGAAACGTGTTAACGGCTTAGAAATACGTGACGCGACGTGTATATGTGAGCAGTCCACGTGTTTATCAAAAATATTGATATTTTAATACAAATTTTGTAAAAATGAATCAATTACGCGTAAAAAAACATTTGTTACATGTAAAAAACTATTTTTATTATTTTACGCGAATAAAACTGTTACACGTAAAAAACTATTTTTTACGCGTTTTAAACTATTTGTTACTGGTACAAAACTAATTTTTACGCGTATAAAACTATTTGTTACGTGTAAAAATCAATTTGTTACACGTAAAAAACTCTTTTTTTATGCGTCAAAAATATATTGATTCTGGTAGAAAACCTTTCTTACGCAAAAAAAATATTTTTTACGTGTAAAAAAACTATTTGTTACACGTAAAAAACTAATTTTTACGCGTCAAAAACTTATTGTTTCTGGTAAAAAAACTTTTTTACTCAAAAAAAATATTTTTTACGTGTAAAAAACTAATTATACACTAAAAAATTATTTTTTTACGCGTCAAAAACTTATTGTTTCTGGTAAAAAACCATTTGTTACGCAAAAAAAATATTTTTTACGTGCAAAAAACTATTTGTTAAAAAAAGTCTTTTTACGCATAAAAAAACTATTTTTTACGCGTAAGAAAATATTCCTTTAATTTATTACTTTTTCAACATTTCAAACTACACTTTTTCAAACATTTCCTTCAAATTTTTGAATTTAATAGAATCTTCCTAAACAGTAGATGTTCTTTATAAAAATATTTTTGGGTAATACCCTAAAATGAAAAAAAAATGCATACTATTTAATTTATGTTTATTGTATTATTAAATATAACGTCCGCCTATGACGGGGTCAAACCTTAGAAAACGCTAAAAACGCTACAGAAAACAAACTGATTTGTTTTCATTTGCGTTTTTTGCGAGGCACGCCGAACGCTACACACTTTTGGTGTGGCCACTCCTATATAATCCTGTTATTTTGTTTTAGTCGCTTAAGACGCTTCACGCTAAAAACGCAAAAAACGCTTTCTGTGTGGCCGTGGGCTTATACAAACTCCGTGTTCACAGTTAAAAAAAAGCACTGTATATTTAAACTTACTAAATAATGGTCAATTACCTGAACAAACATAAACACCGCCTATTATTGAGCATAGTCTAACCAGAAACATTCCTAAATTATCTCTCTCTTGGCTAACAGTTACCCGTAAGGCAGACATATCATATTTAAAAAAAATGCCTGGCATTCCATGACTGCCCTTGTCATGGTTTATCGGTCTAGTTAGTTCCTTAACACTGTACTGGTATGTACTAATACTATTCAAAAAAGTCTTTACTGTGGTTGGAACAACTTCAACGAAATAATTAACTACAGTCATTCCTAAAAAAGTTCATTAGTTTGTTATGTTTTGTACTACAAAATAAATACCGTACGATTAAAAATACGGCACCAAGTTACTTTAGAAAAGCGTAAAAATAGTTTGTAACAAAAGGCCCAATATAAGTTAATGCAATTTTTTCTTGTGATGTTATCACTTATTTTGTTAGATTTTATGATATTTTAATTCAACTCTATTGCATGTGCTTATTTTAAATATTGAAAACTAGTATGTAGAGAGTTTTACACTCAACAGTTGCAATTATCATTTTTGTGGAACTTTTTTGTAATCATTATTGCTCTAGGCTAAAAAACTTGGCTGTAATAATTAAGGCTGTAATCTGTAATAAGAATGCCAAAAAATACAATTTAGAAATCAACCAAAGTAAAATATTACATTTTCAACTATTGAAATAAATGACAACTGTTCAACTTATTAAGAAAATTCCTTTAAAAAACTTTCTAATTCATAATCTATTTTTTATCAAAAGGTATTTTATTCTGTGACTTAAATTATTTGAATCTGGAAGAAATTAGATAGTAGAATACCTGACCTTATATTAACCATATGAAACACAATAACATTCACTTGTTTGTGAATAATTGTTGTTTATAAATAATTAATGAAATTCTGAATAAACATAAATATTAATAATTAGCACACCAAAAAATACATAAATGAATTGTTTATTATTAAAAGGGTCTATATGTCCCTTATATATGTCCACACTTGGTCAAAAATTACATTTTCCTTTGCAACATTACTTTAGACTCTTTACTCAATACCACAAATTACCTATAACAGATGCGAAAGAAAGCGACTGCATCGGAAACCGCTCGGCAAACCCCACACGCCTATTGAGTGGTGTAAATACACCAGTCGTTTAGTCCGGAAACCTACGCTGTATCGTATTCGCTTTCTGGAATGACATAGTGCGTGGTTATATGTTTCTTTTTAAAAACGGGTGTAGGATTTTTGTTGAACTTTTGAACTGTTATTTCTAAGTTTTGGTAATTTGTATATCTTATTTAAAATGGGATACAAATGTGTTTATTTATAAGGAAAAAAAAGATATTTATAGTATAAAAAATTAATTTATTTAACAAAATTTAATTAAAAATGTGACAAAATAGTACCTTTCTATTACTATATTACTATCGGACTTTTTTCGACTATATAAATCTTTATTTGTAAACTTTAATACATCAAATATTTTCAATCTAATAAATCATTTAATGATGTAAATAAGAGGAAATTTCTCACATGGGTGGTCAAATTCTATAGTTTTCATTATATCAAACAGCCTCTGAGAAATGTTTTCAACTCAAAATGCCTTTAATTATGTTTGACTACATCAATTAAAAGGGTCTTCAAATACATCAATGTGATATTTGTCTAAAATTTGCAAAAGAATCCGAATCTCTTGATAACTCGAAATTATTTACCCATTTTGATCATTTTTCCCCCTCATTTCCCCCTCATTTACCCCCCTTTGATCATGAAAGCGGAAAAATTTGTTCATTTTATTTACTGGAAATGGAAAAATTATTTATATTAAATTTTGATGAGTTTTGCACTGAAGAAAACATTCAGAGGCTGTTTGATATAATGAAAACTATAGAATTTGACCACCCATGTGAGAAATTTCCTCTTATTTACATCATTAAATTATTTATTAGATTGAAAATATTTTATGCATTAAAGTTTACAAAAATAAAGATTTATATAGTCGAAAAAAGTCCGATAGAACCAATAGAAAAGTAACTATTTTGTCACATCTTTTAATTAAATTTTGTTAAATAAATTAATTTTTATACTATAAATATCTTTTTTTTCTAATCTCCTACGAACTGATATAATATGACGAGCAATCTATTAAATTACTGTGAGATTATATGCCTCGATAACATATTGGTGCAGATTATTTTCACCCAAACAAATAATAACCCAAACTATACATTGATGCGGATTGTCTATGAACTCTTTCTGAAGGTCACAGAAACCTGAACGCGTAATTCGGTGTTCTTTCGCATCTGTTGTAGTTAATTTGAGTCAATACGATTCTATAGTCGATGGAAATTATTGTTAATTTACAGGATGCTTATTATGGTTAATTTTTAGACTGCCAGGTATAATCGAGAAAACATGCCCCAGACGCCAAGTACAAAACAACTTTTAAAATGTCTTTTTAAAACCGTTATTTTATGTTTTTACACAAAAATGTTCAAAATAATCAAAATTAAAAAAAAATCTTTTTTATTTTTTTTTATATAAATAATCAAAAATTGATGATTTTTCAATATTTTTGAATAGCAATTCCAAAACAGTGATCGTATTCTATATTGTAATACATTCTAAATAAGACCGTTGGCATACTAGGCTCAAAAACTATATTGACTGCACAGTTGCACAGGGGGCGTATACGCCCGCCTTGGCATCCTGGCCTTTTCTATAATAATTCTAAGATATATAATCAATGTTCCTTGACTTTGATCGCTAAAGTAGTCTAAAGGCTTGTTCTCAGAACTACCCTCTGTCACTGGGTACACTGGTAGACACTTCAAAGGACCAATATGAGTTGTACTAAATTTAAAATTAACAACTGTTTCAACAAATTGCATTGGATCGTTTAACGTGTCGCTGGCGACACTACATTTCTGAGAACTGGGCTTAACCATACCAAATTGTTATCATGCAAAACAAGCTTGATCATTTAAATTTTAATACTATAGTAGGTAGGTCTTTTAGGATCATAAAAATATACCATTATTTAAAATTAATTCGTCTCCCTCTAAAGGATGAACAATGCCAGGACTAGGATCTCCAAAACTGAACCGATTTATCCTATGAGTGAAATTGTAATCCCTGAAATTGTTTATCTTAATAGGATTGAAAAATATATAGAGTGACATAGAAACCTATCAGAAATAAAAGCACTGATGTGGATATGTCCTTTAACTAAATTCAAACTTTTCCCAGCAATAATGTGAAAATTTCCTGCTACTTTGTTTAGAACTAAGTTGCCATGTATCCTACAGGCATCATATGGCCTATTTGGAAAATCGTTTCTTGTGGGCAAATCACCAAAATATGTTGAAAAACTGCTTTTCCACATTAAATCCTAAATTTTACAGTTACTAATAGATATAAATCATTAAAACCATTTTGTACCTTAATTGCATGATATTCTTCACGAAGGTAGGAATTAAAATGCCTTTTGTTTTCAAAATGTATCCTCTGCTCGTGGGATAATTCAAACCATGTATCTTCCTCTATTAATTCGCCAAATTTCATGGCATTCTGGTCAGTTGAATCCAAAATATCAGCTCCAATGTCTAACATAGATTACCATTAAAAACAAAAAGATTGCAATCGAACAGAAATTAAACTTACTTTGACATGGCATAGCAACTGTTAAGTCAACATTAAGTTTAAGCTTTTCCTCTAAATCCACATCAGGAGAATATTTAAAAATAAATTTACTATTGAAGTAAAAACTAATCTCAGAATAAATTAAAAATCCAATAATCATAAAGCTAATAATTGAAACTGTAAATAAACAATTGTTAATAAACAACAAAACAACTAAAGTATATACAAACATGTTCCCCCTACAGATGATGTTAATTTATAAGGATCCTCAACTTTGAGAAATATATCAAGTTTCTTCACTTTATTCAATTTTGAACCGCGGTATCTTGGAATCGAGACTTTTTCTCCATCCATTTTTATTAGCAATTATTCTTTTATTTAAAGAAATACCTTATGGTAGGTACTAGTCTCTGGTACTAGTACTATTCAACAAATTAATAGATTTATATACCTACTAACTGTTCTCCGCGGTCGCCACAATTACATTAAAATCATAGCTTAAATTGCTTAAACTGATTAAATAACATAAACATTGATTAACATAAAATATTTAGGGCAGTCTCTGGGACAGTGTACGAAGCACAGTACGAAAAACTTGCGAAAAACCGAAAAAACAGCTGATTTTGAAAAACACAGGCTTGCACACTTGCACAGGCTTTAAACAGAAACCAAAGAGTAAATAAGATTGCTATTTCCAACATTAATCAAAAGAAGATAGTGTATGTTTATATATGATGGGTTGATCATATCCATACTTTAAACTTATTCCATGCTTTCTCCTCCCTAATTCCAAATCCTTCCAAATACCAATCACGTTTTCTCAAATCTATGGCTCAAATCTAATAATCTATGGTATATATTTGACATTTCCTGCAGTTTATTTTCCTCAAATTTTCCTATTGATAATTTTCTTGTTGACAACCGGCTTGTTTTAAATTAAAGTGAAGTAAATAAATATTGCCTGTTTCAAAATACACTTTTGGAGAAAATAAAATGGCTCTACTACCATTAGAATCAAATCCTGATGTAAATTACAACATATACAGACATACTGCTTTACTTGGTATTTTAACTATTTTTTTTTTATTTTAGGTTATGAATAAGGTCAGAATTTCAGAAACTCTTTTCAAACAAATTGTAATTTATTCATTGGCATTATAGTAATTATTTGTAATTTTTTTATCGTAATTTGGTTTTATAATTTTCATACTTTTTTTCTTTTATAATGCTTATTCTTCACTTTAGTTTATTCATCTAATGGGTGTTCCGGAAAAATGGAATATTGTCGATGTATACGGCTTGGATGCTGATGCATTGGCATGGGTACCCAGACCTGTCTTGGCTTTGATATTACTGTTCCCATATAGTGACAAGGTAAAAACTATTAACTTAAGGACTATCCTAATCTAACTATAAATTTTAGTTTTTAGAATACGCCAAACAAGAAGCTGAGTTAATTAAAGAAAAAGGTCAAACTGTTAGTGATAAACTTCTCTATATGAAACAGTATGTGTCTAATGCTTGTGGTACCATAGCACTAATACATTGCATAGCTAATAATGCTGATAGGTAAATACATGTTTCATTACTTATAAATGGAAAAAAAATGATAACTTTTAATTTAGGCTACAATTAGCCGATGGGATGTTTAAGAAAATATTAGAAGATTCAATTAACTTAAATCCCGAAGAAAGAGGTGAGATGCTTTGCAAGGTTAATAGTAATTCAGAGGCCTACAAATTAATTGCAGCTCATCAAGAGCTCGCCATGGAGGGACAAACTGAAGTGTGTTGAAATCATAATCTTTTTGCTCATATATTTTCTGTACATATATATTTTCAAGGTAAATCCTGATGAGAAGGTCAACCATCATTTTGTAGCTTTTGTAGAAAAGGAGGGAAATTTGTACGAATTAGATGGTAGAAAAGAATTTCCAATAAACCATGGACCCACAAATGAAGATACTTTCTTAGAAGTGGGTTTAATTAACAAACCCCCTTAATTATTATAACTATTGTTTGTATTTTGTAGGATGCAGCTAAAGTTTGCAAACAGTTTATGGAGAGGGATCAAGAAGATATTAATTTTACTATTATGGCTTTAACACAGAGTGATTAAAACAAAATTAAATTGATTATATTGGAAGATTATCTCATTTTTATTAAAATTTAAGGGAATAATAATTATTGGCAGTATGCTATTAAACTTATTTAATGTATAATAAATGCTGTGCTTTTGTGTACCAGTATACATATAGATTATTCTTGCTGAATTAAAAAAGTTTTTACAGAATTTTTTTTTCCTGTATATTTTGTTTCTTAATTATTAACATTTATGTTGAAAAGTAACACCCACAATGACGCGCTGATGACAGTTTCAAAGTTTACAAATAAATTAGAAGACGAAATTAAACTCAAATTAGAACTCGAAATTTGAAATTACCAGCTGTTGTAATTACTTTTTGGATCTCCCCTGTAAACATATGAGCGAAGAGCGAACATGCCATCATGGCATAAGAACATTTTTGGATGCGCTTGTCGACTCTACCCTGACTCTACTTCCCTCTATATCTCTGCTCCAAGTATATCATATATAAAAGTTTCAAGAACTGCCATGATTTCCACTTGACAATTTGCCGAACTTTAAAAAAGAGGAAAATGACAAAATTGTCCTTGAAATGTCAAAAGTTAATTTTGTTTATTTTTGACTTTTCTCTCTCTGGAGCAATAGTTAACATTTTTTTATTCTTTTTAATTAAGAATTTCTGTTAAAAGAAAGGAAATGTGATTTTTCACGCGAAGTGACTTTCTTTTCATTTAGCCCGATGCAAATTAGATTTGGTTTGGTTTCACATTTCGCTAAATATATGCATTTCATTCATCTAGGAACACTTTAGTTTTCAATTCTGATAAATATGTCCAATTCCAGATTCTCTCAGGAAGAATCATTGCCTAAAACTGGAAGAGTCAATGAAGTCTGTCAGGTATGTACAGATTGATTTAAAATATTTCTTTGTTTAAAGAATTTAAATCTTTGTAACATGACTAATCTTGCATATGTGTACTTCAAGTGTTACTATAACTTTTATAGGAATGGATGCTTAGGGAAGATTCTGCATTAGCTTATCGTTTACAAAATGAAGAATTTACAGATCATTTGTCTGGAAATAGACTAAGAAATGCTTTAGTTAGGGAAGATTTTCCAAAAGCTAGGAATGAACAGTTAAGGGAACAAGAAATGGCAGAACAAGCTGCTGCTATTTATCAAAGAATGTTACAAGAACAAGAGGAAATTGATAAACAAGTTAGCAATGTGATTAGCATAAACATTACAAAGATAATAATGTTTATTTTTATTATTTAAGGTTGCTAAAGAATTGGCAGAAAGGTTGGAAAAAGAGGATAAAGTTAGAAAGAAGGTAATTGAATTGAAAGATCAAGATATTGCTAGACAATTATTAGAAAATGAAAGGCTAAAGGTAACTGCTATTAATTCTAATTTTGATTTATCAATTACATCCTTATTTTAGGTGGAAAAGCACCAACAAGTACCCCCTTCATATTTGCATTATTCGCCTCATAAACCAGTGTTGTATCCTAAAAGAGATATACCTCTGTATCCACCTCCAATAAATTATGAACCATCACCACAACATTACTCTAAAAGACAAGGACTAGCCATGCCCCTGCCCAATGAAAATGGTAATATTAGCTCAATAAGAAACTTGGATAGTCATCAAGGGATTGTTGTACAGGATGAAACTGGTTAATATATATTACATTACATTCTGGTCCTTTTATAACTTAATTTATTATTTGTTTTAGGTGTTACAGACAGTGCTGAAATGTATGTTGAACCATACAACAGTACGAAAATGTCAAATGATCAGCTAAATCGTATAGATGTTGTAACTGATGTACCAGATGATTTAGGAATACCTTTCGATGAATTAACTTTGAGGTATAATATTTTGAGGATGTAATTTTACAAGATTTATTGAATTTTATATATTTTTGTCATTTCCTACAGACAAATTCAAGAGAAGAAAGATGCTGAATTGGCAAGAAAGTTACAAGAAGAAGAGGGAAATGTGGAAGATACATTACTTAACAGAGATAGAATGTTAGCTATTGAAGCACAAGATAAAGAACTGGCCAAGTTATTACAAGAGAGGGAAAGGGCTAAAGCAAAACGTGCTAGGTATGATTTTTTTTAAATTTTAATTAATAATATTTTATTTTATATGCTCATTTTTATGATTGCATGGCATTTTTTCTATTCAATTTAATTAAACATACTGAAATATACATAAGTTGAAAGAAAACAGGAATAACACAATTTCCAAACAGAAATCTATTTAAAAACTACTTTAAATAAAGAAAATAGTATGTTTTAATTTTAATTAATATGAAAAACAAGGCATAATTTTTTAATATTGATCATATGGATTATTTGTATTTGTTCCTTACTCAATTTGTTAGAGTGCTATAAAAGATAATTAGTCCTTTTGCGGGTATAGTCTGTCCAGCAAAAGAATTGGTATAGGCTCGGTGCATTCTCCGCCGGTGCTGCCACCATCGGAAAATAGCGTAAACAACCAGTATATGCAAATACACGGATTTAAATAGCGAGCATACGAAAAATTTATTATATAATTATTCTAAAAGTGTTGGGAAGTATAATTTGTGAAAATTCTAAAAATAAAAAAGTAAATATTTTGATATCTTCAGAAGGGCTAAGGGTGTATTCCGTTGCTTACCTTGGTTATGATTTTATGTTCCGTTTCTATCGGTTTCCTGAAAGTTTTCTTATTAGGGAACACGGTTCCTGAAAAATTCGGTTATAACTGTCACCAAAGTAACCAGCGCGGGAAGACTGGTTTTTCTGGTTTTGTTTGTCAATCAATGTCATTTATGTGACAGAAATCAAGCAAATATTGGAAGTTCGAGTGAAATTCTCATTTAATTTCTAAAATTTGTAATAATATTTTGTATTTACATCCAAAAGCAATGGTGGTAGGTAGTAAAGGTAAATAAATTTCATTAACTAAATAAAATTACTTTTTAGGACCATTTAAACTTATCATGCAGCCATTATTTCTTAAAGTCAGGAACTTTTAAAGAAAACATGAAAAACAAGACAACAAGTAATCGTGAATGTTTTGTAAGCTGTAAAAATATAAATATTGATTAGATTTTAAGCAAATCTTCACTTGAGCTGTCTAACGAGTTTAATAGTTTATTAAAAAAGTACTTTTCAATATTAAACTCCATTGAAAAGAAGAAGCAAACGTAAAAGCAGAGAATAGGTACATTAAAAATGTATAAAAGATAAATTTTATAACAGAGGTATTGAAATTTAGAAAACGTCAACATTTGGCGTTTCCAGTATTTTACCAAACCGTTCCGTATCAAACCGATGTTTTTCAGGAACCGCTCTTTACCGTAGTTTACCGGTCTGGTTCGCCTGGTTTTGCAACGGAATACAGCCTAACTTGTATCATAATTTATTATTGAAGCTAATAAAACTTTTTAGATGAGTTCAACTATGGTTCAGCTAGCATAGTTTTATGCCTTGATTTTGCTAGCGAAAACATAACTGAAGATATTTCAGTTATAACGATTTTTTTTAAGGTATATAACTATAATTTTAGAAGATGTTCATAAAAAATTTAAGCACTACTTGATTAAAGTATACCATTAATATTCTTCTTCTTAAAGTGCCTATCCTCTTTGGATGTTGGCTATCACATTGGTCCATATTACTTTGTTCACTGCCATTCTGAACAAAGCTGTTGACGTCATTCCGGTCCATGTTCGTAGATTTCGCAGCCACGATATTCGTCTCCGTCCAGCTGATCTTCTATTTTCCCCTGCAGCATGAGTTGGAGTAGGCGGTATTTCTCGTTCCGCATGATTGTTAGCAGTGAACTGAAAGTTATTGATGTAGTTCTTGCTAATGATCAACGTTTGAGTCTTCTTGCAGTTCTTCATTGGAAACCTTCAGCGGTATCTGCCAACAGAACGGTATCATCTGCATATCTCAAATTGTTTATTATTTCTCCGTTTATTACCAGCCCATCCTCTGTGCCATCCAGTGCCTCTCTAAATAGATGTTCCGAGTACATATTGAATAGCAGAGGCGACAATATACAGCCCTGTCGCACTCCCCTCCTTACACTAAACTCTTGTGAAGTTTCGTTCTCGATTCGAACCACGGCCTTTTGTTGACGATAAAGTTTTGCTATTATCTCTGTATTCTCTATCGTCTATTCCTGATTCCTGTAAAATTGAGATGAGTTTGTCATGCTGGATTCTATCAAAGGCCTTTTCTAAGTCTGTGAAGCAAGCAAAGACATCTACATTGGCGTCGCGTGCTCGTTGGGTTAGGACTTGTATTGAAAACAGAGCCTCTCTGGTGCCCAGTCCCTTTCTGAAGCCGAACTGAGTTTCACTCATTAATATTGCAAATTGTAATTTATCCTATATACGGAAAGTTGAGTTATTGAATGTTATTGCACCCAACAACCATGTAATTACGCCCTTCTTTACACGTTAACATTTTTCGGCAATTTTATTAATACTTCGAGTTCTTTTTCACTTAATTTTTACTACCCGAAACAGCGTTACGTTACACAAACTTCGTAGCTGAGTGTTTTATAGTTTCAATAACTTCACTAGCAAAAAACTAAAATATTCAAATATTATGACAAAGCCACAATTTCAATATTATTTTAATGAGATTAACATGAACTGTAACCGGGACGGCGTGAAATACATAGTGAAAACTTCTGATTTCTGTCGTATACAGCGCTGCGGTCGGAATTTTTTGAAATTAACTGCAATGCACCAAGCTTATACCTCATAGTTTTTGAAATATGACAATTTTTAAACTAAATTTTCTATACATTTAAGGGTTTCACAAAAAAATCCTAATTCTTTATTTTTATTTAGAAGTATTTTTTGAAAATTATATATAATAATATTTATTAAAAACACTCCAAAAGTAATTATGATAAAATACGCTACATTGCATGGTATTGTCTGCAATAGTCTAGCCAAAATCTGAAATAGGAAGGCGTCTAAGATAAATTTATTTGGTTCTAGGGAAAGAGCTAAACAAAAAGCTCTTGCAAAAAAACAGCAGCAAGAGTCCGGACAAATACCAGATGGCGCCCATTTACAAGCTTCTGGACAAATTATGCCGGACGATTCATATGCATTTCCTGCAGATTTAGTTACGCAGCCTACGTCCAAAGTGCCGAAAAATATATCCGCTGTCCCAGATATCTACACTGTACCTAATCCAGACGAAGAGGATATAAGCTATAGTCTTCCCGCTGATGTGTTACTAGAGCGAAATCAAATAGCTAATGGACAAAATTACAGTCCCAAGAAACAATTTAACGGAGGAGGGAGTCTTAATAATACACCAGAGAAAAATATTGGAGGAGGAAATAGACCTACACATTTGGAATTAAGGTATTTATTCGATATTGGGCGTACTGAATTTATCGTTATAGCTGTTTTATATTTTAGATCTCCATTAAATCGTGCCAATAAACCGAGATATCCTGATCCGGAATCTTGCGACACTCTAAATACAAGTAGTGGAAGTCCTTCAGGTAAGGTTTTAATTATTTAAAATGAAATACCGGTATGATCGAAAAAACGGCGTCCAGTTGGCTTAGAAATAACGAACGATGATTTACATATAAAATGAAAGCGATTTTCATTTCATAGCCATCGCTGGCGCCGGTAAATCTTATTCGGTAATTATATTATTATTATTATGAGAACCGGGAAATCTTATTCGGTTGGATCATGTTCAGGAATTGCACCCTTATCAAGGTGGAACAGTTATGGTCTAGGGAGGAGTCCAGTTAGGCCGAAAAACCGATCTCGTTTTTCTTGAAAGGTTTCTAACAGGAATCACATATCGTGATTTAATTCTTGAGCCTGTCGTGTTACCATATGCCAATGATTTTGGGAGAAACTTCATTCTCATGCATGACAATGCACGGCCTCATACAGCCAGGGTGGTGAGTTTATCAATGCTCATCAATTAAACATCTTACCCTGGCCGGCACAATCTCCTGACCTCAACCCCATCGAGCACGTATGGGACGCGGTCCAAAGAAGAATTTTGAGAATGGGTATGCCTCGTGAAACTCGTAGGGATCTGGTTCGGGCCGTGCATGCAGCGTGGCAGGCTGTACCTCAAGAAGAGATCGACATCCTGATCAGGAGCATGGAGAGACAATGTAGGGCTGTAATGAACAGTAGAGGAGGCCATACCCTTTATTAAGTAAAAACGGTTTTATCTTTTTTTTTTAATTCACAGTTTAGAATAAAAAAAAATGTGTGTATTTTTCTGAGTTCAATAAAATCAAGGTAAATTTGAAAAATTCGGTAAATTTCGCATTTTTATTTCCAATACGTCCTGTAAACTATTTGTTTATTTTAATTTTATTATATCAGAAATGCAAATAATAAAATTACTGACGATGCCTGGATAAAATTGTAATATCCCTAGACTTTTCTGGTGTGTGTAATAGTAGAGTTACATTACATAATTATTGTTATGTATTTAATGGATCCTTATACTCATCATTCAATAACAACTCTTAACTAATTTCCTATAATAATTACAATACTACTTAAATATCACAGAATAATTTAGTGTCAAGCATTGATCAGTTCTGATTGACATCTTACAAAATAAGTCCCGTATACATATAACGTTTTACCTGTCAGTGTCAGTCTTGAACTGAATTAAGATGGAAGACCATCTAGAGTAGAGGTGGGCAAAGATTGAACGAGTCGGTCATTTGAACGGGTATTAAAAATGAATCGTGAGATTCGATTCACTGCTTAGAATACGGTTCGTTCAATCGAATCGTAACCAGCACGGATCCATAAAATTTTAACGAACGAGTTGTAAAAAAGAGTCATGAGAATTGAATCGAATCACAATGCGATCGTTCGTGTCTACGGCTCGTTCGTTCAAAGGGTCGCGTCGCGTCGTGAGAATTGATTCATTGCTTACAATACGGTTCGTTCAAATGAATCGTGGCCAGCATGGATCCATAAAATTTGAACGATAAGCTGTAACAAAAAGTCGTACGAATTGAATCGGAGCACAATGCGATCGTTCGTTTCTACGGCGCCGGCGCGGCGCGCGGCGGTGACATACGCAAAGAGAGAGACTGGCACCAATATTTAGACTTGAACAAACGCTCTAAACAAACATCATGGGCATAAAATGCAAACGATAAGAAAGTTATTTACAAGAAAAAAATTTATTTATACTGTACTTAGTACGGGAGTATCTGTAATGCATTTAATTTTCACGTTAATATTTTTGTTAAAATGATATTTACCAACTATAAACCATTAAATATCGGACTAAAAAACGAAATCGTGTTTTTATGCACCTCCAAATAAATATTGTTGGCCTCTGTTCAATATGATAAAAAAAAAACATCGCCAGCGATGGTTATGAAATGAAGATTGCTGTCATTTTAAAATTATGTGGGGAATATCATCATTTCCAAGCCAACTTGGCGCCATTTTTTTTCGATCATACGGTATTATAAACTATTTATTATATGATTATTAAATCGGAATTAAAATATGCTAAAAATATTAAATTGGTATTAAGAAGTCTTTAATAAATAGTATATAGTCTATAAAATGAATAACTTTGAATTTTGACCGTTATTTTTTACCAACATGGCAAATATAAAATACCTCTATCAAAAAAGTTACTAATATTCTTTAAATTGAGTGCCTGAACGAATCAGATAGATAACTCTTTTTACTTTCGTGAAAAAGAAAAGGAAAATAATAAAACAAGTGACAGTTCTTCCTTTTCTTGCAAAAATCAACACAAAATGTAATAATTGTCAAAAGTAAAATGACATCAGCTTTTGACATTTCTAATTATCAGACCAATGCCGTCTCTAATAGAACAGCCTCGGAGCGAAATTTATGACGTCACGCTAGTTAGATACTACGGATTAATAAATATGTTGTAGAATACATGGAAAACATAATTATTCCTCGTATTTTTGGTTTGTATTTTAAAAATGATATAGTTTACATGAAATATACGTAATATATACTTAATAAATACAATATATATACCTATTTATAGCAATAAATACTTTGACAAATAAACTATGAATAATACAAATGCAGCAAATGTTTTACAATATATTATAATGAATAGGTACATAAGATAATGGGTAAAATGTAAAATATATTATAAATTTTGGGGTTTGAAAATCGATCTAATTTAACAAAAAACATTCACTATCTACCTCGATATCTACTAATAGTGATGTATTATTATTTGCATTCACAAAATTCATATGTATATTTTGCAAGTATCAATGTTCGAAAAATTATATTTGCAAATAATACAATATCATAAAAAAAGGCGTCAGCGATGGCTATGAAATAAAGATCGCTGTCATTTTATATGTAAAATTATTCTAAAATTTTTGATTTTTTTGGGATTTAGGTTCGGGAAAACGCTGATTAAGTTTTCATTTGGTTTTTCATTATTTTTTTTGGTTTAAAAAAATGTTTCGGCTAACATTATAGCCTTTATCAGTGTTGTGTCATATGAAAAAAATAGTGTCGAATATAAATCCAAAGATTACATATAAAATATTCACAACCTAACCTAACACCACATAATGTTTACTGCAATTAATAAATTAATATAAACTTGTCAAAAAACGACCACATATTTTTTAAAATTATTATTCTTAACACTAAAACTATCTACATTGACTATGGAGTACGATTTCAGCCATAATCAATGCAACCAAAAATACGAGGAATAATTATGTTTTCCATGTATTCTACAACATATTTATTAATCCGTAGTATCTAACAAGCGTGACGTCATAAATCTCGCTCCGAGGCTGTTCTATTAGAGACGGCATTGCGTCAGCATCGCCGCAAGTTGCTAACCTAATAAAATTAACACTAGAAAAGCCCGCGGGAACTGTCAAATTCAAAGTTATTCGTTTCACAGACTATATATGAATTGGATTGATAATTTAATATTATTGGTAAAATAATTAAGCCAATTACGCCAGTGCCATAAAATGTTGAAAAACAAATGAAAGAACTGTATATTTCTTTTTCTGGTCCCTTAAATAATTATCCGACCAAATTATCGCCGGTAGTGCCAGTTACGATTCTTGTTTTTATGAAAGGTAAATTGTGCACGCGGTTCTTTGAAATGAGCGAATCGTAGGAGTCGATTCAGTATGAGAAATTCAATCGTCTGATTCGATTCAGTAAAAAAAATCGTAATGCCCATCACTAGTCTAGAGAATTGATACAATATTTTTTTTTCAACAAGAATTTATTTTTTTTAATCAATAACCAAATATAAATGTTACTTTGTTTTCTCTATTTTAATAAAACTTTTCTCAGTTTCTTTTTGATTCTAATCCCAGGATTTCAAAAAGGGATCCCGATCCCGAAAATTGGAAACCCTACCTGACACCCAGGATCGGGAACGTCAGCTGTTAAAAAACTGAGAAACTCATATCCATTCATACTTATGCTCTCTGCGTGAATAAACTAGAATATTCAAAAAGATTTCTTTAGTTTCGTCCAACGGTTGTCGAGGTGACCGTCATATTACACCATACCTTTTTTAGGAAATACATCACCTCTGCACTCAAACATAGCTATGGCTATAGATCCGACCTACTCGAGAAGAGGTGGAGGGTATAGACCGCCATCTAGCTACGACACAACTTCAAGTACGGTCACTACAAGCACTTCCAGCAGTAGCCCAGGTATACTACCGCCTCCTGACATAAGTGAACAAGATGATGAAAGGTAATACCACTATTTTTAAAACATTTAAAACACGTTTATCAAGAAAGACGGAAAGAAACAGAATGTTGTTATATGTTGACAGTAAACCTGAAGAATTATTCTTTGAATAAAAAGATATCCATGTTTTTAATATATCGATAAAAACGCAGAACATTCGTATAATGCGACCGAGTGGTGTCTCATTTGGTTGAAAAATGTACATGTAGTACCAAAATATAATTTTACTGGCAATGGCTGCGAAGAAGACTGCCTATGTCTGCCATTTTATCAGTCAACTGCCGTGGACTGATACCAACGACTGCCAAGAAAATGTACGTGTAATTCCAACAGTGAGACACCCCTCGAATACTATATACCAAATACAGGGTGTCCCACAATTAGTGCGACAAACTGAAAGGGGTCGTAGAGGGCATCAAAACAAGTCATTTGATTATAGGAACCCATGTCCGGAAATGTGCCGTTTCGGCAGGAGGTGGAGTGAAAAGTAAATTTCAAGTTGCATTATTTATTCAAAACATTTACAAAAACTGCTCAAAGTGCCGTCCATTCTGTTGAAGACACAAATGCACACGCCTGTTCATGGATGTACGAACCCTGGCATCCCCGGCGTGCAGTCCGTGTTGGTACCCTTAGTGCACGTCCAGTCAAGTTCCTTCCGCTCATTTTAATAATACCGGACATGGGTTCCTAAGTCAAATGACTTGTTTTGATGCCCTCTACAACTCCCTTCAGTTTGTCGCACTAATTGTGGGAAACCCTGCATATTATGAGAATATATTGCTAGTACCGCATTTACACAATGAGTGGAAAGTGAAGCCAAAGAAAAGAAATAGAAATATCAATCTTGCATAAGTCTATCCTTTTGGTTCAACAGGATTTTCGTGCGCACGCGCCAAATAAAACGATCTGATTCGTCTACTTCATCGCTGAACGCTGCCACGGCTGCACCTGACCGCGCACTATTCTTTATTATATTTTTTTTTCTCGTAATGGCATTGTTTCAACCTATTATTTTAGATATTCTTGAAATATATATATATATATATATATATATATATATATATATATATATATATATATATATATATATATATATATATATATATATATATATCTTGGCCGTTTCTTGTTTTTGTTATAAATATTTCAGAGATTAAATTTAAATCTATAATTAAAGGCGCGAACAGTAAGACGCTAACTTGATTTATGTAGTAGATAGAAACTCTGAAAGCTACTTCTATTGGTTAGTATAAATTAAATCAACTAATCGCGAAGCACTTTTCACGCTTGCGTAGTTCAAAGCTGTTGAACAAAAAGGACCGCGACCGACTTGTGCATTTTGTATAGCTCCATCTCAAAAATTTAGCTTCAATTTCTGTTCCTTTCTAGCATATATTCTTATAATTAAAGCGCAATTTTTCGGTATGCCTCTCTATTTATTATTTTTGTATCTCTTGCTCTAGAATGCGGTTTTTTATTTCAGTCTTGGCAGACGAATTATGTTATGTATTCATTATACAGGGTGTTTCAAAAAACATGTGCCATCTCTCGTAGGGAGATTCCTCACATAAAAATAAGATTTATTTTTCATATCAACATAGGTCCGATTCTGCTATCTTTTGTATCTATTATAATTTTCTCCCAAGTGCTTTTAGCGATTTGAATGAAATTTTCAGGATATAAGTTAATATAAGTGCAATATATTATAAAGCTAAAAAAGTGTCGACTGATTCTATACACCAACAATGATATACCAACCAACCAAACCAGGAACGTGCATATGGGTTATCACTGGAATAGTTTTCTAAAAAAGATATGTGCGCCACTGACTTTTAATCTTAGAAAAATCGTGTAGGCCGTTTAATGCCCATTAAAAGTTGCATAGTTTTTGAGAAATAAATTTGGATACATTTTTTCCAAAGCAGACCTACAAAAAATACAGGGAGTTCCAATATTTCGTGGACATAGAGCAACTATCTACGTATTTCTTAAATCAATAGAAGTTAATTGCATACAATTTACCATACAAAAGTGTTTCGTTTGTCCGTTAGAGAGCATCAATCGAAGGTAAACCCGAACATTAATTAATTTAAAATTTATTAGCCTGTTATGAAGCTTGTCAAATATCATTATTTGTAATACTAACATAAAATTTCATATTTTCGACAACTTGTTATTCGATCTACATAGCTTGATGAGACAAAAAATATTTTTTAGATGATTTAAATGGCGTTTTTTACAAAAAATGTAGTAACATTAGGACCATTTTACGGAAAAAAAATCGGTCGTTGGTGGGGTTGGAAAATATTTATACTAAAATTTATGTAGGGTTGGGGTAGTTTTCTCCCTACCTGTAGTTTTTCATTGATTTTTGTGAATGTCAAATATTAAAGCACTTAGACACCCCAAATCTCATTCAAATCGGAATAATGGTTCTTAAAATATCTTTAAAAATGTGTAATTTTTTGTATCTAACGAACAAACGAAGCACTTTTGTAGAGGTAAATTGTGTCCAATGAATTTATTTTGATTCCAAAAATGCGTAGTAGTTTTATGTCCACACCAAATTGAGATTTGTATTTTATTAGAAGGAGAATAATACAGGGTGAGTTTTCTACGATGTTCTCTATAATAGGTATCTCGGAAACAACTGGAGATGGAGAGTCATAATAAGAGAGTTAAATGGGGAAAGAATTGCATTTTTGTCGGGTCATAAATATGCGCCTTTCAGATTTTTGAAAATGTTCATGGCTTACTGGATATTTCGAAAAAAAAACAAATTTCGGCTATTTTAAAAATGGTCCCTAATAGGCACTATAGGAGAAGCAGTTTTTTAAAAAATATCAAAATAAGATTAACTGACCACTTACCCAAAACATATATTAATCCACATTTTTTAAAAAACTGCTTCTCCTATAGTGCCTGAAGAAGCGACAATAAAGTCGCGAAACGTCGCAAAAACATGTTTCCTTTCAAGCCTTCCCAAACACCCACGATTTTTTTATCTGCAAATATTGTAATATTTGAGGAGCGTTTCCACCCTCTTGGAATTTGAGATTTGAGAAACCCCTCCTTATCGAACCTCTACACCCCACAGTCAATCCATTTGCCAAAAATCAGCTTTAAACGTCAAGCAGTTTAAGCAGAACACAACATCACGACATTACTCAATGACCAGATTTTTTCGAAACACCCTGTATATATTTTTAAAAAATTTTAAAATATGTAAAAAAACAAAATAAAATATCCGTGTTTAAGCGTTTTTTCCGAAACTTGACCGTTTTTTAAATAAAAAATATTGTAATATTTGAGGGGTGGTTTCACCCTCTTGGAACTGGAATTTCGAAAAATCCCTTCTTATCGAACCTCTACACCCTAGAATCAACCTGTATGCCAAAATTGAGCTTTTTACGTTGAGTGGTTTGAGCAAGATCGTGATTAATCAGTATGTCAGTCACTTAAGGATTTTATATATTAGTATAGATTTCACCGGCTCGGCTTCACAGAATGCAGTTTGGAGTCGATATAGTTACTTTATAAATATATGTCTAATCTAATACTTTTTTTTTAGAATTTAGAATGAGTGGGAGGGGGGTTAATCACTTCGACCTTACAGATCCATTGTGTCCCCCTTTCTTGAATCATAACTCATCATACAGTCCCAGGGCTTTGACAAAAGCCAGTATCTGGGACGGTTTTATAGAGGGTAGTTCTCCATCTCCAAATCTAATACTTTAAAAAGTTCCATTAAAATTTTCTTCTAAAGTCAATAGGGGAGCCAATAAACGCCACTCTTAAAATTTACATGGGATTTCCTATATGATTCCTGAGCCATGCATAACCCGGTATGTAATTGAAGCATCTATGCGTTTAGCGTACAATAATTTAAAAACTTTGACCGCTATGTCTTATATCTGTTTTTTTTGTCGATGAATTTTACGTTTTTTGTAATAAAAAGTAACAGATTTAAAATAAAGTACAGCACTAAGTGCGGGTATGTGTGTATAGCATCAAAATTTTGAAATATAACTGAAGAATATTTTTATATTACAGTCCTGCTCCTCCATATATGCCTATACAAGGGCAAAGAAGAACAGCTTCATTAGAAAAAAAGAAAAAGAAATCTAAAGAAGGTGGTTGTAAGCAACAATAAAAATCTTGAAAATTATTTTGGTAGCTAAAACATTAGTAAATTTTATAATCATGACAAAAAGCTTTTATTTATTATTGCTAAATTGATAATTAATGATTTAGTAAGTTTTTTTATTATGTTAAAAAAGATATTATAGCATGACAGTATATTTCATATTATGTGTATTGTGTTCTTAAGTACTTATCTAACATTAATGTTGCATTTATTTCTTTAATTTTAAGTGTATAGTTCATCTATTTAAGCTTTATGTTATTTTTGACCACTAACAATTATTTTTAATTAACTTTGATATTAAAAAAAAACATATCAAATAATCTTTTGATTTATCTTTTTTTATTCTTTGTAAAGCATTAAATCAAAACTTAATCAATAAGTGATTATTATTTTTTTGTAATATCTTTATAGTCTAGTCTTTTTAATTTTATCTTAATCTATATCACGTCTTTTAGAATTTAAATATGTACCTTAAATTGAAGAAAATGTATATAATACTTTTCTCCAATGCAAAATTCATTTATAATTAATAATACCAAATAATATACTGCTCAATATGTTATTTATATTTACAAATATTTAATTATAAATATCTTAACTGGTGATATAATTTACTCAGTTATCAGGTGGTAGGTCTTTAAGTATATATTGATTTTTATATACATTTTTATTCTTTGTATTTTTTACAATAAACTTTTTTTAAATATTAGTCTATATTTTCATTCACAATTTTGACAATATCTACTTTACTTTTAATAATATGGACAGGAGGCAATACATTTTTATTGCATACACATTGAGTTCCAGAAATAAAGTCAAATGCTCCTATTCTACTATCACAATGGGGACAATTTAATCTACTTTTTGTCCAATTGACTTCTTCAATTTTCAACTTTATCCAGTCTGGTAAAAAGTCTTCATTTAAATATACAATATTCTCATTTATAATACAAGAATTGTTATCTTGCCCTAGTGGTATACCATGACCATTTAATATTCTTTTTTCCTTGAGCTTATCTTGAGTTACCAAAGTCCGACATTTACGGCACTTTATCTGATACATTTTAAACTGATATTGAATACTCTATCTAGCAGATTTGTAGAAATAAAAAAAATCAATTCACCACAATATCTAGCTTCTTTTAAACTAGGTAGGTACTTTAGTGTTGTTTTACTAACTTATTTTTAGTGTTGTACTAATAGTCACATTTTTTATGCTTATACAAATTTAAATCAATATTACAAAACTGTTATTCCTATTCTTACCGGATATTGAAAAATAAGTTTAGAATATTCGTGGTAATTAAAATAATAAAAACAAATTTTAACATAACCTCAAAAATATAAAAATAAACATTTGTTGACGTTGACGTCTACATCCGACAAACAACGTTAAAACAGTGTTGCCGCGTATGTGTCTATATTCTAGATCATATATCAATATACTTATATGATCAATGCTTATGATCTGGTTTGGCGGCGGATTTAGGAATCAACATATACATATCAAAATCATGCCATAGAATCATGTCAGCTGCATGAAACTGTCAACGTCAACTTTTTTTTCTTAGTTTCCTTGTCAAAGAATGTTTTTGTATGTCTATTATCTATGGTCTATTATATTTAAAATTTAGAAGTAAACACGTGGGAAAATAATTATTGTTTTGAGTGGTATATGTATTATTTATTACTGCTAACAGCTTTAACAATTAATTGGTACTATATTTGAATAGAATGGTTGTTTTTACTTGTAACCATTGTGGAGAAACATTACACAAACCCAGTGTAGCTAAGCATTACCAGTTCCAATGTAAAAATTATAAATCTATTACTTGTGTAGATTGTTTTAAAGATTTTCTGTAAGGCGGTGTATCTAGTAGACATTATTAGATATTTTTAATTATTTTTATTTAGCGATGAAGAGTATGTTGCCCATACAAAATGTATAACGGAAGACGAGAGGTATGCAGCAAAAGGTGCTTATCAAAATGGTATTGTAAAAAAAGGTGAAGTTAAACAAGAGAGTTGGCTAGAAATGATTAAATCAATTTCTGAATCTGAAAAAAATCTTCGACCATCGTTAAAAAACCTGTTAAATACCATATCGAGTTACAGTAATGTTCCTAGAAAAAAAGTAAAATTTATGGTATGTATCGGTATATAACTGTAATATGTGTATATTTTTCTATTAATAATTTTTCTGTGTTATCAAATGATTTATTTTTTAATGTAATATTAGTACAAAGACCAGATTGGGATTATATATTATTTTTTACCAATATATCTTATTATATAATATAGTTCTGAAAAATTTCATGCTGTAATGTGTTTTTCATATACCGTATGATCGAATAAAAACGGCGTCAGCAATGGCTATGAAAAGAAGATCGCTGTCATTTTATATGTAAAATTATATGGAAAATGTCATCGATCGTCATTTCTAAGCCAACTGGACGCCGTTTTTTTTTTCGATCATACGGTATTTTTAATCACATATATAATATCCAAAGTGGCCAGTTTTTTTAAACTTACTTAATGATTTGAATTTAATTATTTATTGATCTATTAATAAATTAAATTCATTACGTTATTAATACAAAAATTTATATTTTTACCTATTTGTTTTGCTTAATTTTACTATAATATTTTTCTGTAAACACCATTTTTTTATCTCTGTCCCCCAATTTTTAGCATATTTATTAATATATTTTGTATCTTTAGAATTTTATTAAAAGTTCATCAGGAGGAAGAGTTAATATCAATGACATAGAGGAAGTATGGAGTTTAATTGAAAAATATAAAGAAAAAAATACACTTGATAAGCAAAAAATAGCTGATAAAAATGGAAATAAACCAAATGATGAAATACAATCTAAAGTAGACAATAGAGAAAATTCAAATGTTACGAAAAAAAGAAAAACACCAGATATTGAAAAAAATTCCTTAAAGGACAATCAAGAACACTTGCAAAAAAAGAAGAAAAAGAGAAAAGATGAAGAGAATATACATAATGTAGAAGAAATTAATGCTGTTAATGTTAACATACAAGATATTACTTGTAAAAATTTTAACATGAAACAAGAAATTTTAGAAATATTAAATCTTAAAAAAGATATTTCTTTGAAAAAATTGCAAAAGAAAGTATTGAAAGCTTATGTTAATTCTGTAGGTGAGATCGAATGTCAGGAGAAAATTGTTAAGAAGTTTAATAAAAAATTAAGTAAAATTACTAATATAAAGATCGAAGATGACAGAATATCACTCATTATTTAAGTTTTAATTGTAAATACAAATGTATAGAAATATATATATATGTTGCTTGATTGTATCTTGATTTTGGTATTTCCTTGTGTCTATAAACTCAAAAAGTGTAAATATTTTCGCTATGGTTTCTCAAGCGAGGGCGGAAAGGGAAGATTTCGATAGACGATATCCAAAAAATTGCAGAAAATGCAATTTATTTCTGATTTAAAATAACAGACATAACTGTCATTGCCACGGATCCTCTTGTTGGACAGATTATATAAAATATTTGAAATAAAATACATATTTTCATAGCAAAGATTCATAGAGTATCATATTTATTCTGGTTGGCACAAAAAGAAATTTTCTTAATTTTTTTTAAATAGATCATTTGAGTAATCTGTGAGTTCTTTAAAAATGCCGTAAAATCAAAAAATATTCCATTTTTGTATACTATTTATTTTATTTTACGAAAAAATAATATAAAAAATATGTAAAGAATTATATAAAAATTAGATTTTGCGTTTGTACGTGTATTTTATCCAACATATCCTACCTGGGTAGTTCTATTGAAAAAGTTCGATTTTCCGACACATCACTAATATAACTCATTATAAGGTTGGAGACACTGAATAACTTTTGTATTCTGTGGCTATCCTCTTCTGACATTTAAATATGTGCTGCGATTGGCTGTTGGCTTTGATCCATTTGACATTTGATCGGCTTTGTGGATCGTGGAAGGTGGAAGTTATGGAGGGCTTAAAACTTATTTCCTTTTAGACTCCATAGTGGAAGTGGACGCTTCGTGGAAGCCATTTTACTTTTCGTGTAGATTTTCACATAATTTTATTTTCTAATCTGCCGGTAAAAGGTAAATTACTAATTCACTCTAAACTTTTCCTACTGACACTATCAAGTTATATAAAACAATAAAATGGGGGACGCAAAGTCGTTCCTTCATCAATTTTGTCAAAAGAGTAAGCTAGAGCCGGTTTTTGAAGTTCGACCCACAGGTAAATTTATTTCACATACGTAATTAATAATTTGTAATTACTCAATAAATTCGTTTAGGGCCGAAACATAGGCAAAGGTTTCTATGTGAAGTTAGAGTTAATGGTCACAGTTATGTTGGGGCGGGTAACTCTACTAATAAAAAGGATGCCCAGAGCAATGCATCCAGAGATTTTGTTAATTACCTTCTTAGACAGGGTTTAATTGCTCGTACCGATATTCCATTTGATTTAGACGCAGCTCCTGTTTTAACAGGCCAAGGTAAGGCTAATATCTAGTAGTTTGTTGACAAGTAATATAAGTTTTATTATGTTCTAGCTGAGCCACAAATAAGTGATGTTAATAAACCACAGCATCAAGTCTTTGGACAAGGAATGGGTCCATCCAATTATGGAGAAGCGTATCGGCCACGAGGTGCTGATGAAGGTAAATGGCATTACATGGACCGAGCGCAAGATCAAAAACGTATGGAAGAAGCTGAAGATTTGGATGTTAACGCGGCAATTCATGGTAACTGGACAGTAGAAAATGCTAAATCAAAATTACATCAATTTATGCAGTCAAACAAGATCAATACAGATTATAAATACACTCAAGTTGGACCTGATCACTCAAGGTTTGTTATAAAAAAATTAGCTAAAATCGTGTTGATAAAAACATAATTTTATTTTATTAAATATATGTATTTGTTTTCAGTATCGTAAATGTTTTTGAGTAACTTATAGGAAATATGCAAAGATTTTTTTAATTTTCTAAACTACAATAAACACTTAACAAATACCTAATATTTATAATTAATTGCCAAAGCAAAAAAAAATAATTTAGGTATATCTAATTAATAGAATTTTTATTTTTTTTTTAATATTAGCAAATACCCAGTGGTCCGACAGTTTAGAAAAAGTTAAGTTAAAATTGTTGATTAAATTTTCTTTATTGATGGCATAGAAATTAAATTTTATGAAGTAGATAGTGTGGTTATTGGGCTTCACGTTAAATATAACAGTTTTTTTTGTATACTTACCAATGATTTTAATTATTTTTTTAAGCAATAAAAATGCTGTTTTGTCAGTAGTTGGACAACACTTGCCAGTGTCTGGCCGGGTAGTTACCAGAAAGCGGACACTTTGTGATTGGCTGATTCTGCACAGTCCCTTATTTAATATAATATATTATACATATTATGTATAATTTTAAAACAAATTTAATCTTGAACATTATATACCGTTTTTTGTTGCATGTTATCTATATGAATCAATTATCTTTAATATATATACCAGTATATCTTAATAATCTTTAATATAGATACCAACGCGCTTCATAAAACCATGCTTTCATTAGTAAAAAGCGTTTTCAATTTTTCTTTTTCTAAATACAATTTTTTTAACTGTATTAAGTAACACCTGTTTTTTTTATTGGAAATCCACAAACGGCTAAGTTTTCAATCCAGGTAACTTTTTTTTTCAATTTCTCTGGTTAAAACAAATTCTGGTTCTATTCGTTTGCAAACGTCGCTTATTTGTCTTTAATACAGTCCTGTACTGTTGACTTGGAATCCTGTACTGACTTCACATTTTATGTGGTGTTCCCTCTTCTCGGACAGTTTTGACTGTTTTTTCTAATGTATCTTTATATTATATATTTTTGTATTGATGAAAACTTGGACACCCGTCCGACTACTGGACTTGGAACAAAATTATACAGTGTGTCCCAGGCTGAGCGTGCATTAGAAGTTTCTATAGAACTACAACATCTAGCTCAGAGATTTTTTGCACATCATAGTCGATCAACGAGATGTATCGATTAAAAATATTTTCAATATGGCGGCACTTCCGGAAATACCGGAAGTTGACAGCAACTTTCTTATTTTAAATGGGTGCCTCAAATACGTTTAAATAAAATATACGACGGCCTCCCCATAAGAGCAATGAGAGGATTTACGTCCCAGTATTGAAGGAGGACAGAAAATCGAGTCGAATGGTTTCAAGACATAGGTTCATTCTTGTTTAGTCAAACCTCCTACAACACAAGGATAGACTTATGTAGGAAATGCATTGAAATTCTATAGCCATCCTTCAATATCAGGACAGGCATTTAAGCGGTATCCTCCGTATACATTATTTTAAACGTATTTGGGGTGCCTCCATTTTTTATTATGTACTTAAGTTCTCTGTAAAATTTTATGAATTTTGTTATTAAATACTCTATATCTAACATTAACCGTTTTTGAGGAAAAAATTATTTAAAATTTTTGGACGAAAAAATCTGCCTGTCAAAAATATTTGTCTAGCCTAAACGGCAAATTTAGTGATTACCACAGCCACTGTGCCATAAAGAGGAAACATGGGGCTATCTTTTTCAAATATTAAATTGTTCGAATGTTATATAATAATGGCCGCAGCTGTCATAGAATTGAGCGATTAAAAAATTATCATAAATCATTTTTTTCAAATGAAAACCCATTTTTTTTATTTCACTAGTGAAAAGGCTAATCAATTCGTTACTTTTTAACTGTACATGTTCCTATACCTAAAATAAATCGTTTTTGAGTTATTTAAGATTTAGTTTTAAAGCGTATATTTTTCTTGATTTTAACCAGTAGCCTATGACTTTAAACGTCAAGTGATGTAAAACACTAGATCTGGCCATGTCATATTTTGACGCTTTGTTCAAAAAGCGGCATCATTTTCGAGCCAACTTTGCGCTGTTTTTTTCGGTCATACGGAATATTAATATAATATCAGTTATTAGATATCACTAAAGAGCGAAAATACGAGATATATTTTTATAAATACACTTTTTAAACTCTTAAGGTAGGCAGTATTTGTACTATGGAAATTCAAATAATTCGTTTTCTGACAGATGGAAATAAATTGTCTGACCGTTTGATACTTAATGTCAAAGGAAGCTACATAAAATCAAGAAAAATTACGTTTTCTAACTCATTCTTAAATAACTTAAAAACGATTTATTTTCGGTATAGGAACATGTATTGTTAAAAAGTAACAAATTGAAAAACCGTTTCATTAGTGGAATAAAAAAACTTGGTTTCCATTTGAAAAAAAATGATTTATGATAATTTTTTAATCACTCAATTCCATGACAGCTACCGCCATTATTATATGACATTTGAACAAGTTAATTTTTGAAATATATAGCCACATGTCTTCTCTTTATGTCACAGTGGCTGTGGTAATCACTAAATTTGACTTTTAGGCTATACAAATTTTCTTGACAGGTAGTTTTTTTCGTCCAAAAATTTTAAATATTTTTTTTTCTCAGAAACGGTTAATGTTAGATATAGAGTGTTTAACATCAATATTCATAGAATTTTACAGAGAATTTAAGTACATAATAAAAAATGGGGGCACCCATTTAAAATAAGAAAGTCGCTGTAAACTTCCGGTATTTCCGGAAGTGCCGCCATATTGAAAATGTTTTTAATCTAATAGATCTCGTTGTAAAACAATGATGTGCAAAAAATCTCCGATCTAGATATTGTGGTTCTCTAGAAACTTCTAATGCACGCTCAACCTGGGACAGCCTGTATACGAATGTATTGGATACATAAATTTAACATTAAAATATTAAAAAGTATCCTTTTTTGTTATTTGAAATAGAAGTTTAGAGTATCCTACATACACGTAAAGTTATAAGTACTTCATAAATTAGATACAAAATTTTTAATGTACAGTTTGACAAATATAGGAAGAGACTTGGGGATAGCACCGGTCGCGCACACGATAGAGAGAGAGAACGCATTAGGCGGAAGAGAGATGCAGTTACGCTACGAACAATCTGATTTAAGCAAATTTGTGGGCTGTCCACTGCGCATCGAGGGGCGTCTCTTATTTTATATTTCTTACGTCTCTAGCTATACTTGTTAAGTTGTACCTTACAAACTATCTCACCTCCATCTTTAACAGGCAAAAATTAGGAAGCACAAACATGTCACTTTCTCGAATTTTTAACGGTTTTAGGGTGACAATTTAGGCAAAGAAAATGTTATAGAACAAAGCGGAAGAATTGGCAGAATTGGGTGTTTAATTATGTAATTGAAGCGATACTAAGCCATATTTTTAAGTTATTTCCCAATAAATACGTTTTGTCCGACCACTGGTGTATGTCCGACTACTGGCATGTTCACCCTATATGTATTTGTATTTTTTTATATAATATGTATTTGGATATTTTATATTAAAGAGCATATAGATTGTAGTGGCATATATCACACATTTTATATGCAAGAGAACAATAATTCTTAGAATGAGTATTATGAATATAAACAGAAATATTAATTCGGAGAAGTGAGTCTGGCTGTAGTTTCTGTTTACTAAATTAACCAAGAGCAGTTTTTTATATAGTATAATAAGTATGCAATTAAAAACTTTCTCAATACAGAAAGATTTTAATTACATTAATATCTGGATGAATTGCTACAGCATTATATTATTAAGCTTGGTCAAATTTTTTGATATAATTCTGTAGTAATGAACTAATTACTTATTGTGTTTCTTCTATAAGTGGAGAATAATTTAGACTAAACATTATATATAAATGTTTAGCTAAACAATTATTCTCCTTTGAAATGAAAACCTGCAAGTCCTAAATCGTTCTTGGTTTTTTTAGTTTTCTTTTATTCAGAACCTGCAGCCAGGCCTTCTGCTGTTAATATACAACGTAAGTATTATATTTTAGGCATTTTTATTAACATTTAAGAAATATAATTATTATCTTATTTAACAATTAATCGCAAATAAATACTTTTACAATTACTAGTTTACAGTTTTTAAACTAACGTTTGAATGGTAGATACAATAAGAGAGCTTTCTTTCATTTTCTATCATTTAAATATAAGGGAGGCTGTCATAAAATGTGTACTAAACATGACTAGACTACTTAATGGTTCTTTATATTGCTTCAAAAATTAAATCTGTAGGACTGACATTTTTGTAACGTTTTTTTTTAAATCAAGTTGTAAAATATTCAATTTATTTAATTTTTCAATAGCTTTACAAGAATAAGTTGTTTTATTCATTCTGTACAGTGTACAGGGTGTCTCAGATTTTAATCGGGAAAATTTAATAGACGATAGAACTTTCAAAAACAAAACAAAAAGTTCATATCAACTTGTAATGTTTAAAGCTTTTTTTCGAGATAGATGGCGTTAAAGTTAATTAAAAAAGAAAAAAAAATTAAGATATTTGAAAAACTATTTAATCGATTTTGATATAACTTGACCCGTTTATAATACTTACTATGGGACTTAATTTGATGTAATTAATTAAATTTAAGTTTAATGGCCAGGGGCGGCGGCGGCGGTGGGTCATCACTCTTAAATTATTTTAAAGGTAAAAATGGGCACGCCACTGCTTTTTTAGAAGTTTAATATTATTTTTGGATTTAGTAATTAAAAATATTATTTTTTTGTCTCTTGACTTTTTTGTCTATCTTGCTTACTTTTTGCGAAAAAAAATAAATTAATTTATTCACTCCACCATGGACAATAAATTAAATAATAATTCTTAGTTACAACATTACAATAATTGTTCGAATTGATAACCACTAACATCAACGCATTTTCTACAACGACGAACTACGGAATGAACTGCGCTTGAA